TAGTAATATTTCAAAATTCCCCATATCGGCATAGGACACAAAATTCTGAGGGATCCGTCAACGTCAGATCTGTGGACAGAACCGTATTTTTTGTGCGCTACATATTCATTTTGTGCTTGCTAACAGCTCTTTCATTTAGAAAAGTTCATTTGAATACAAAAAACAAAACGCTACAAACAAGTTTTACTAGATTTACACCCGATTCATTATTGCCAATGTCGCAGACTAACACCAAAATGTCACTTGCTACTAGTGAAATAGGGTGTAAATGAGTTTTATATGTCAGGTTCATGATGATATTATGCATTTTCATTTGCTACTTGCAGCATCCGCCTACCTGTAATAATAAGGGACTTAATAAATTCATGTTGAGCCACACAAATGAATATTCAAAATATTATCATGGACTCAACATGTCGTTTAAAACTCTTTTGAGGTAAAAAGTAGTCTGGCTTTGAGGATAGATATATAAAATAAGATTTTATAAAAATATTTGCTTATGCGTAAAAAATAATACTGTTAACCATAAAAATATACAAGTAATACCTGAAACGGTATTATTTGTATATTTTTATTTTACAATGGCACACAACCTTATTTCTAGTGGAAACATATAGGATAGGAACTATCAACTAAATAAATTCATCATTGTATAATCAATATTGCACACTATAACAACAAAATGTATGCATAAAAATGTAAATATAAAAATATCACTTTTATTATTATATTCTTGATTCAGCAGTAACCTTATTAAACACATCATTTTATGTAAAGCTATATATCTTATAAAATGCATTGCTTTCATATACACAGCGAAAACCAAATTTTTCTCACGGCTTGAGTTCAATGTGTACGAGAGAGAAGCGCGAGAAGTGTGTATCAACACATGTTAGAAAGAGATAGAAGCCTGCTGAAGAGCGAATGTCATCCCCACATTGCCTAGCAACGGTGACGCGGAAGGTCGTGCAATCTGCCGCGTTGCCAATATATTATGTACACCAGAAAATGTTCGCCCAGGCTTATTAATAGGTTAGGTTGCTGTCGAACCCAAGGAGATTCGAACGATTAATTTAATATTTCGTTTTATTTTGATTAGTTATTTATTTCAATTTTGATGCGACTTAGTGTTTTAATTATTTTATCTTTCATTTCCACTGATGGTGATACAATATAAAAAATACCATTAATACAAATTATCACTACCTGCGTATACGCAGGGGAAAACCTTTCGAAATCTTGCTTCAAAATGTACGAGATGCGGTATTGCCAAGCGAAGCAAAATTTGTAGCGATCTTGCCTTTCATTTCAACCCAAAATGAAGCACCGTTACTACCGATCCGGACACGATTCAAAAATGTATACGCTCAAAATAAAACCATTATTTGGTCGTAGAGAATAAACTAACGCATATTTTCAAGATGCATCTTAATTCAAGGAACTGGTATAACATATTGGGAACGCGGCAGATTGATTGATTGGTAGGCAACGCTATCCAGCCGTTTTGTATCTCTTTCTAACATATGTTTGTGTCTATGCACTTCTCTCTCTCTCGTACACATTGAACTCAAGCCGGCAGACAAATTTGGTTTCCTGCGTATATTACTTTATAGTAAAATAGTAAAATTTTAAGACCTTCGCAGTCACAACTGAGTATGTTTGAGACTGGTTGACCTTGATCGAGGTTGAACATTTTCCTTTTGCATGTTGTTCATGATCTTAAGTAGTTGGAAGGCTCTCCGTGTGCCTTCCTGTGTCCAGATGATCGATCGTCGCGTATTGCTCGCTTTGCTTCCCATTGTTTCATCTCCCTTTTGTCTGCTACCATCCCCAACATATTCAATTCCCTCTTCCGAACATGTCACCCATCCTTCACTTGTACCGCTACCTAAAGCTTTTGACACCTTATTAGGCGATTTACGAGGAAGCTGGAATTAGAAATCCATGAAGTTATAAAACGTGTATTTTACCGCTAATATTGAACATCTCCAGCATCACAGGCAGTGTAAATGGTAACACTATACCCCATTCGTAATCCATTTACGCCCAGACAAAACACAACGTGCCCAAAAGCGAGATTGTACAGGTCCGTATTTTCCTCAATGGTCTTGGAATAATCTTACAAAATAAATGATTATTTTTATAGAAAAAAGTGCACACACTTTTCACAATTCTTTATTCTGGAAGTACTATCATCCTAATGGTTAATATTACTTATTACAGGTTCAATTTGAATATTGATCATATTCTCCAGATCCTACATCTTTGTTTCGATTGTCTCTTGAACGTGACGGATGCAATCTTTCCAATGTTTTGCCGTCACTCTGTTGACAGCTTCATGAAACACCATTTTTACAACACCAATGACGAACTGGTTAGATACACGTACCTGACGGATTCTTTAGGCCAGTGGTTAGTCCGTCTAAGAAGGCTTGTAATTGTAGAGTCAGCCCATACTTTAGGTTTTGTATGTCCTGCATTTATCCAGGTTTCATCTAAGTAATAAATCTTTCTGCCTTGGTGGCGGTATTTCTTTATTGATTTTAAATAATTTCTTCTCCATAAAATAATCTCTTGGCTGTCCTTCAAAATACTATTTCTGTCCGTTCTCTATACACAAAAGGAAGTTCTGTGAGTAAACGATAGAATGTGGACCTTTTGAAAGTAGATAAGTCATCACTATTAACCTCCTTTAATACTTTGTCTATGGCGGGAAGATCCTGCCTTTCAAAAAATGGATGGACTTTGCGACGGATGGCACTCCGATCAAAGTTATCAACTGTATCCAACAGCTCCATGTAATGCAGCCTCTTGTATGGTGGAGACAATTTTTTCTTTTTAACAATGTTGAAAGTTCAATGCAGGATGCTCTAACATTTAGCTCTTATAAACGTTAAGGACAATTTCTTTTGCCTGAATATTCAAATGTCCCTTCTTGTCACGTTTCCGCGGAGGAGACATCCCTGAAGAGGAAACATTGGGAGAATTATTCTCAGTTTCATCTGCTGTATCCGTATTTATAAACACACGCTATGTAGGCACCGAACATGAATTGCACCTGCCAGCGTCGGCGTGCCGGCGATACCCCGAGCCTGAGTTGTATCCTGTCGAATCCTGCACTTGTTTTATGGTCGAATGACCAATAGCTATTGCAACGCTTAGGCGGCTGCCGCTTTGCCGCGCTGCATCTTTGTTGGGCTGGGGCATAATGGACTACGAATATGGTACAGCTAGGTACTTCTATCTATAGGTGAAAATCGCTATATTGGTATGCCATATTGTCTTTGGTGACAGGATCAGTCAAAGATTCTTAACATACAAATCTGTCCAAGGGACATGAGTTTATGTTCCGCACAACTTCGCCGGTGTTTTCTCGACATATTTCTTTTTCGTACAATTTCGTTACTTTGTGTGTGAGTGCAAACAAACATAGTGTCTTGTGCCCTGATCATGCGCGTTGCGTTATGGATACCAAGAAATCGCAAGCGTAACATTCCTCAGGTAAGGATGTTCTAAAGGTAATACCGAACTATGGTTTCCTTAACTGCTGATCAGTCGCCGTGCGCTGTGCGGGTTCGAGTCCCGTTCCAGGAGAAATTTTTCTCTTGGCTATGGATGTTGTGATTGTCCGTAGGTGGTAGACGGTCTCTGACTGTCGAACGCGGAGGTACCACCCGGCGGATCTCATAGGCGGAGCCAGAATGTGTGCATGTTGCATGCACACGTGTTCCCTCGCCAGAGTCCGTGTGGCGCCCCCCACCCCTTTCCCCTGTATCCCCCTATAGCCGCACGGTAACCAATGGGTGTTTAGGCCTTAGGCCTTGGTGGTAGTTGGAGTATAAAAAAAAATAATATAGTATGAAACTTAAGCCAGATCTGTGTCAATATGATAAAAGAGATTTTAGTGGCACCTCTCTAAATACTATTATCTTGATGACAGTGGAATTTAGAATGAAAATCACCAGAAACTATACTAACTACATCAATTTCACTTCTTATTTTGCTTGAACCTGAAGGTTTATTTCGTCTCCTGAGGAGAATGATTTTCAGAAGTAATGCTACAATGGGGTTGCCAGGCCTCGCTTGCCTATCACCACTTCTACTACAAAAGTAATAAATAATAATTTTCTACCATAATTTTTTTTTGATAATTTGTATAATACCTTTCCAGTTGGTGCCAATTTTTTTCTATTAAAGTCTAGTTCTTTCAGTGGACTGTGGCCTTTGAACCTGATCCTCCTTTCTGAAAGTGTCCTGGTGAAGTTCTGTGGCTTCATAATACTACCCACATCCAGTTTCTTACTGGTGGTAGCAGTTTCTTGCACTACTGAATCACCACAGCTCACATATGTTGCGTCCAAGTCTTCATATGATGGCTTAGGTTTGTTTTCCTATTCTGTTATAAAAAAATATTCAGTTAACACATTTTCAAATATCATGTAGATAAATCAGATGCGTTTTGTATTTATATCTGTGCTTTTCCAACAAAGCTGATTTTAATAGTTGCCCAGCTTTAGTATATGTTATGAGATCTCTTTTTGAACCGATAACATGTTTTCAGATGAATTACTTATGCAGTACATATAGAGTATTGAGTAGTTTTAACTATTATTAAAGCTTAAAAAATGGTATATACCATTACTTGCTGCTGCTTTTTGTAATACTGGTGGCAATGCTTCAGGTAAATCTCAGCTTGATGATACATTTCTTCCATCATTTTGCCCTCAATGTAATTTTCATTTCAAGTTCTGCCAGCTTTTGCTCTCGTTGATTAAGAATTTCTTCTCGTAGTCTTAATGTTAATTCTCTGTGCTTTAGCTGATCCAAAGTTTTCAAAATTTTCTTGTCAGGCATATTTAATGTAGTTCTGTAAAAAAATATGTACATGAATTGAGGAAATATTCCGTTGAAATTCAAGGTTTGTTTTTAAATGAGAGCCACTTTTTTGCACTAAACGATTACTGACTAATTTTCAAAAACAAGAGTTCAACGGGGGTTGTCAGGGATACTAAAGAGATGCTTTGACAATTACTGGAAATGTTAATTTGACATTATGAAAAATTAAACATATCAAAAGAACGATGCTTGTAGTATACTGAATGCAGCATAAAAATCAAAATATATACTTACTGATCGATAGAACCAACACTAAACATCATACAAAACTCTAGGGTTTTAAAAGTGCAAAAAACCGTTTGTTATTTTGGTATTTTAAAATCAGTGCAAGAGTGGGGATTAGAAAGTACCCGTTTGGATAAATCGTAAAATAGGTGTTGCCAGGCCTTACGATTTATCACGAGACTTAAGAAGAACATATGCAAAAGGCAAAACTTCGGATCCTCCGATAGAAGCTGTACAGGATAGGAGATATTTAGGGGTTAGCGGTAACTCGTAGATTCTGGAACAGTGGTGAGTTTTGTAGTTTTACCTCTCAAATGAGGGCTCTGGGATGCCGGCCTGACACATTCTGAAATACAATAGGGGCAATTTGGCCCGCTGTCAATAAATGGCAATGTCAAAAACCAAATGTCAAGTCATACGCGATTAAGGTTAAAATTTGGACATTTGTTGGAAAAACTTTTATGAAACTGTTTGGCTTTTCTGTATTTTTGGGAATTACGCACAAGAAACAATGGAGCAAGATGAGGCGTCGTTGGAGGAAGGAGAAGTATTACTTTCCTATATATGCATAAACTGGCACACCTAACCAATCCGTTTTTTAGATATCTTACGATTCAGACCCTGACGAACCAAAATATGTTCCCCTAGAAAGGCCTGCAAATTATTCAGCAATGCAACCCACCCCTAGATTCCCGAGAAATGACTACCAATCTGAAAGTGAAGAAGAACCACAGTCCAGTGATACTGACAGTGACTCTGAACCTAGTTCAAAACAAAAGAAAAGACCCAAGATTAAGCTAAAACCTAAATCACGTAGAACAACTGCCCCTAAAGAGAAAAAGTATGATGTTTGGAGCACACGAGTGCAAGAAGATTTTCTAGCGGAAACATTAAATTCCTGTGATGTAACTTCTAAGGACAGATCAAGAAATGTAGAGTCATATGACTATACATTAGCTTATAAGCTTTATAATAAAGATAAACCAGAGTCAAAACCATTTGTTGATCAAAGGAGAGGTAATAAGAGGACTGTAGATGATAGGAGAAATTCCCATTTTAGACAAAGAAGGAGATCTAGCAGTTCAGATAAGAGAAAAAGAAAGGGAAGCCAAGGATTATCTTGGACTTGGCTGTTGGCACAGATGATAGTCCAGATGAAATTGCAAAGGATATAGGAAATAAGTTATATGAAGAGAAAGAAGACTTGATATGTGAGTGTCCTGTATTATTAAAAAATTTATAAAAATTGTACACTACTGCAAGAAACACTTATACCCATCAAAATAATTTTTTAGGTGGCTTCAATTCTTTATTTGTGTTAAGTACACCAATATGCTAACACAAGTAAAAATAAAAAAAAATAGAAAAAGCTGTCTGACAAATGACTGGTGTTCAAATTGTATCAGCTCATGATACAATACATTATCATTCAATAAAAGCAGATACAACACCACATAACAGCTTCAAAAACTGATTTCTTTGTTTGTTTTATTTAGCATAAAAAACAATTTTTGTATTTATAGCTAAAAGAATATTTTAAAAATAATGATTTTGTGTGGTTGGTGAGTATTTTAATTAAAACATTCAATTTACAATTGAAAAAGGTTATCATTTGTTAATAAATAATGTTTAAATTATTGTATCAATGATACCTACATATTTATTTTCAAAAGATATTGTAAAAAACTTGAAAAGAATGACAGTTTTTTGAGTTATGCTGCATGCTATTTCGAAAAATAGTGTTTTGAGATAAACACTGCAGTACTGCCATTTCTTAATATTTATGATAATTTTTTTTTTTTGTTGCATGAATATATGCTCAATAACTTCCTCTAATATTATTATTACTACAAAAAAAAAATGGACAAAATACTTTTGGCCATCACAGTGGTGTTACCCCCTTAAGAATAGAAGAAAATTGCTTGTTTACTCTCAAAGAGTAGAGGAAGCATGTTGCTGGAAAATAGTAGATTTGCTTTTTCCATACATGATGCAGAATGTACAGATTGGTAGCTCAATTCAATCAAAAGCTAGATTTACATTCTTCTATTGGAGTCTTTAATTACACCAAAGTGGATCATATTTGTTAAAACTTCAATTAATATTTATTAATATTATTTACATTACCTCATTGTTAATCTTTTTACATCATTAGCATCTTTTCCTTAACTTCAAGACTATAGTTTTTACAGCTACTTTTACAAAATAATGTAAGTTAAAATTTTAAATTTACTCCAGTCTTTTAATATTTCATTACAGTTAGTGAAATTTGTTTTTGTCAATTGTTGCTAAAATTTTTGTTGGTGTCATAAGTTCTATCAAGTTTTACTATAATACTACGTATTTAACCAGTACTTGAAATTATTCTATAAAATTACAGTATCAAATGAGGCCAGTTGTATGTTAATATTTCTTTTTATAGTAAAAGTTGTTCAAAACCTTGGTAAGAAGAGGACATTTGAGATCTTCAAGGAAACTAAGAAGATTGAAGAAGATGGTGGCATGCTTATTATGGTAAGGCATTTTTGCTATATGGGTAGATTATGTAGACACATAGCCCCTAAGTCATTACATGATGCAAGTTGACAATAAATTGATTTAATTTGTGTGTGCCTTACTTGACATTGATCAAAAGGAACATTGAAAATTTATGATCCAAGTACTCTTGTAATGCAAAGACCATTACAAGGTGTTCCTTCATTTTTTGTTGGAAATTGTTCATCTAGTGATTTCACAGATTCCAGCTAAACATTGCAAAATTTAATATAGCATATATGTATTAGTGCCATTTCTGCTTTTAAAGAGTCTCACTCCTCTTGGATAATAATCAACTTGATTGATCTATTAAAAAAATACGTTTAGCCATTACAGTGGTATTACCTGTTGAGAATAGGAGAAAATTAGTTGTTTACTCCCAAAAAGTAGAGAAGGATGGGACTGGAAAAGGGTAGATTTGCTTTTCCCATACACAATGTAGAATGTACAGATTGGTAGCTCAATTTAATCAAAAGCTAGACTTAAGTTCTTCTATTGGAGTCTTCAGTTACACCAAAGTAAATCATTATCTATACCTGCTAAAAACACCAACCTGTGTATTTATCAATATCATTTATATTACCTCATTGTTAAGCTTTTTGCATCATTAACATCTTTTTGTTATTCATAATCGTTTTTCTTATTTTGGTGTTGCAGTGCTTTTACTATTTTTCAAAGAATTTATTTATTTAGTTTCACTTTGAAGGCAATGGGTTTTTGGTATGCCATCTACTAGCTTTTATGCGATATTCGTAAAATGTTAATTGAAATCATTGTCATTTAAGTGACCTTAATTAAGAGGAATTAGATAGAAAAAATTGATTGGACAATAACATGGCACTCATTACTTACCAATAACAGAGGAGCTTGAGGCAGTTGGCTTTGATCAATCATATCAAATGATAACTTTAACAGCTTTGGTTGATACACGTATGAGCTATTGCTAAAGTTACATTATTTTTCTGGATACTTGTTTCACTCTGCCTCTTAATTGACAGTACAATATACAATTTTAGAATACTCATGCACTAAATAGCTTGTTCCATCTATTTGCTCAAATGGATAAAAGACGACATTTTATTTTTAATAAATAATTACTCTTTGTTTTCTGCATTTTAGAACCAAACAAGAAGAAGAACTCCAGGTGGTGTTTTCTTATATTTGGTCAGAAATGACTACCACATTACTCCAGAGCAGAAACGTAATATTTTTGGAGAAGATAGGAAGAAAAATAACCGTGCAGCCAAAGAGAGGCAAAAAGAAATGCTGAAAAAAGTCAAGATGCAAAATGGTGAGTTTCAGAAAACCAATTGTGCTGATATGGAAAGCTATTAGCAATGAAATGTTTAAGTTTCCTTGTCCATAATTTCAATAGGTTCACAAAATGTATACGTCTTTCGATTTTTCTATAAATGGTTCCCATTTATATTGGCATGGGCAGTAAGCAAGTTTTGGAAGGATATGTAGCTCATTCGATTTTTCATTCTCGCGCCAACTAACAAGCAAAGTATACTAAAGTCATGAAATGTTTCCAAGTTGAAAATGAAAAAATGGCGTCAAGAAAAGGTAACTACGAACATATATAACAAGGTAATTAAATGGCTCACATAATTGAAATATGCCCATACAATTAGTCCCTAGTCCCCTTCCATTTTTCAACATTGCGATCTAATCACAGTTGCAATGACTAAATCAGCTGCAGCCAGGTCGCGATATGTTTATATTTATCTTCGTTGCGCTTACTCGGCGGATACCACCGAAACAAAATTCTGGCTCCACGCGGATATTTATTAATTCATCATTCTCTCTTAAGGACAAATTTACGGAAAAAATCTATGGGAGAAATATGACAAATAGTTACATATTATGTAAAATCATGAGAAATGTCTAATAGTTACATACCTCAGTCTCTGAAACTAAAACAAAGTCAATGTATGACGTATTATACAATTTTGGAATCAGAATTACTCTATTGATCTGTGCAAAAATCCATTATGGCACTATAAGAAAAAATAAATTTGATGCTGTAGAAGAGGCGAAACGTTATATTGAAATTCTAATTATGCCATCTTGTAGAGGATAAATGTGGCAATGCTAATGTGCAATTTATTTTGAAATCCCACTACAAATAAAGTCAGGAATAAATTTTGGGATTTTGGGAAACTTCGTTTTTTTCCGTCTCTCTGCGGAACTACTTTGGATTTTAAAACTTTTTTTGCGATATTTTGTTGATTACCTGAATACGCTACTTTGCCCCCATTTAAGCGATTTCGTATCTTTCTCAGTTTCCGAGAATCCAATGCTGAGGGTCGACTTTAAAACACCCTATATTTATATCGGTGCCTGGGAAGTACCGATACAATCTTATCGAAGCCAGCTGCTTGGAATAGGTAATCAGCTGCATAGACATTTTTTTTCAGAAGCTGCAAAGGCCAATCTCCTTCCGGACCTACTGAGCCGTGGCGACCTTTTCGCCGCAAAAGATGGCGCAAGTCATCGCCTGAAGGAGACCGATGAGAACGACAGCGGTTTCAACAATCCTCCCCCTACTCCCGAGACAGATGCCAATGAGAACAGCAACGATGGGGTTGATGCCTCGCCTTCCGCGTCGCTGGCAGAACACGTGGTGCATGAGATGGAGGACAAGAGAGGGAAACTCAACTCCTATGATGATGACTTCCTCGATATCAGCGGTTCGGCCGAAATGGATTTGTTTTAAAAGTGAAGTAATGTACATTTTATTATCTTCTCTAGCAAATGATCATGCATACAATAAATAGGAAGCTGATTTAATTTTCGGAAACTTTTTTTCTATGACTGAATAAAATGTTCTTATGGGCTCAACGCACTTTGGGCACATCATCATCTTCGATTTTTATTAGTTGAAGCCAGTTAGACTCAGATTTCATAGCATTTTATCTACCCTGATAAACACCTGAATCAAATGGGAGTTTATATCAAAGTCTTTTGATAGATAAAGGTTGTCTGTTTGCTGAGTATGCTAAATGAATATTACAGGAAATAAACATCGGGGGTATATTATTAAAACAAATGCATTGTTTCGATTCGTTTACTCAAAATGAAAAGAAGAAGGATATCCTAATGGGATAGAAACCAATCTTGGCATTAATGGCAAAAATAGCTGCCAGTTCCTTCATAGGCGGTGCAGTCCTCATGCGCCCAACTTTTCAACTGATTACACTGACTCCTGTTTTGCTGGAGTCTGCAAACTCAGAAGAAATTTTCGTTTTCTTGTTATTCACCTTTTTAAATTTTATAGCTATATCTGCCTTGACGGGTGTATATGTTAACATCTCCGATTTTTGCCTTTTGTGTTTGCGACCTGTTTTAGGAGTAGCCATAACTGATGGTAAGGGTCTAATTTGCAATGGTGTAAGATTCACAGATTTTGGATGTGCTTTTTCTAAATTAGCTGATCCTTGCTCCGGTACATCATTGGACAAGGTGAAAGCAGTCACAGATGTAGAAAACACCTCAGTCATAGTTGTGCGTTGGTAGGGTGCCAAAGATTCAGTTATTGCATCTATAGGGACAGCAGATGCAATTTCGGGTGAAAGAAGAGTCCAGTTTACTACCGGAGAATCATATGAAGGGCCATTGGCCAAAAGACGATCTGTAATACTCGAATGAGCGTAATCTTCTTCTCCAAACACATTTGGGTCATAGGGCAATATTCCTGATTTTTTAAATCTGTTGACTGCGTTCTGAACCGAAACACTTTTGGCGTACGCTGCTCCAAATAGTTTTGCAACATCATCCAGCTGCATTACAGCAGCATATGACAGTGGTTAATTGGCCTCTTTCCGCGCTGCATATTACTCTAGACAATATGTTGGGTGGTTTTGTTGTCCTGCTCTTAAGTCCTGTATCGTCCATATTATATATTGTTGTTGCATCAAAGTTGTATTTTTCTACCAGGTTCCAATAGTTAGTATAAAACAATTCCACCTGTGGTTTGTTGAAGCCTCTTGTTCTTGCTAACGAAGTTGGCTTCGGCGCTCTTAGTACAATCTCTTTGTGTCGGCGTTTGAAACCCGAAAACAGGTTGTCCCCAGCTTTTCCATTTTTAAATGGGTGAGAAATATTATTTTTTGAGACATAATTAAAACCCAGTTTTAAAAAATCTGAACGGGAAAGCCCAAAAACTATCTAATTTTTTAAGATAGGCGCTTAACTCTTCTTGTTCTTTACTAAAAACTACCCAATTTCTTCGATTTATGTCCAGACTTAACGTGTCTCTGCAAAGTTGTAAATGGAATACCAAATTTCTTGTTGAATTAATGGACTGCTTGTCATCTTTTACAGCTTTCATTGCCCTCTCTAGTGCTGACCATGCTGCTCAATCACTTTTACGTGTGTATTTAACACCATCTAAAATAAAGTAAAATATTTTATTCATATGTTATCAATAGTTGTAAGTTAATCTAAAATATATAAGTACCAGTTAGATATAAATTAAATATAAATTTAGCTGAAGTGGGCATAATATACTAAAATGAGGCTTATTTTAGATGAACTAGATTAAAGTACCACATACGGGTAAAACGGATAGCCTAACCGGTTTACCCTTATCCGTTTTGCCCTGTGTATCAATACTTACAACAAGTGATGACACTTGAAACATTGTATCTATGTAAATAAAAAACAGTAATCACAAATCACACTCATTTAAACTAGCAAAACTAATGTATAAGTAACTAATTGCTAGTATAAAAAGTTAGTGTACAAACCTTTGCAAAACATTTTTTTCATCTCCACAACACATACGCGCGCTTATCGTTTTGGATGAACCGTTATGGCTTATACAACGTATAGCAATGCCATCTCTTATCGATTTTTAGAAAAAAAAACGATTACATATTCTTTTTACCCGCCCTATGCTTCTTGCTTGGGTTTACTCTAACTGTGGCAAGCTTCGGAAGTAGACCACCTCAGTTGAACATGCTTCCAGTAGCGTATTTGAAGATTCAGCGCCCTTGGCCTATAAGTTTTACCGCCTTGCCTTGTGAAGGAACAGAAAACAGCCCTGAGCCATGTCCCTTTTGGCCTTAGGGTAAATACGTCACTGCACCCTTGGCTGTTGCGAATTTGATATAAACATCTTTTTGAATATAGGTTTTTTTCAGAATATATGTTATTATTATGGGATCTGGATTTAACTAGTTTTAAACATTTAAAAGTTCGAGGAGACTGATAGTGGACCCATAACGACTTCTTGATCCGCGATGTTGAAATGACTAAAATGGCACGTTATTAGGAAAATTATCCGTGTGTGTGATTATTTGATTCAGAAACCATTTTGTGATAGATTTTTAAGGTGAACATTTAAATTAAGTGTGTACTCATTTTGAAAAGTTAGTTATCCGACAGCTTAAGTAAAATTCATGCTAAGATGGTGTGGATTTAAGATATGGCAAATCATTGTTGGTGTTATATCAGCAGAAATAAAGCAAATTGAATATGAACTGCTAGACTTGAACAGCCAATCACATCGTTTATCGGACTTTCACTTGTCTAAATTCATGCGGTTTGAACTGTAATGTAGTCTTGAACTTGCTTGTCATGGTGCTTCAAAGTTCATAGAGTTCGGATGAAAGGTGCGGGCTCTGTGGCTCAGGTGACGGGGTATTCTAAAATAAACGTTGAAATGTGGCATCTCAGCTCAAGGATAAGGAAAAAGATGGTACAGTGGGGGCAGCTCAGCAGCTATGTACGTGTATGTAATGTGTGTTTCAAATTCGAACCTCGCCTTTGAGATCTCGGAATCCGTAAAACGTAACGTAAAATGTTATACAATCAGTATTGTAGTCCATACCAACAGTGGATTTCTTCCCAACATTATGCATCAATAATTACTAATTTCTTCGTAACATTATGCATCAGTAATTACTAACGTCCAGGCTACACAGTCAATATATGTCACATCTCATGATAATTTGTCGAGGAATACTATATATAAATGAAATGCGAATAGAAAGGAAGATATCACGAATGTAGATATGTTTTGTGGGACTTCCACCAAAAATTTCTGTTTGAGCTGTTTGCCCTTGATTGGGGTATCAAATTCACCTGAAAAAGTTTCTTTTTGAGATCAAAGTCAAGGCTATATTTCCATTCAACCTGCAAAGATACGAAAGTCAATTCATATCTTATTATACCCGCCTCAAAACAAATGCTTTTCGCTTCTATTCGCTCCTTGCCACCTACCAGGGGATTTATGGCATGCTGGTCAATAAGAGCACGCGACTTTGAACCTAGCACGCTGGTGTTTGTTTTGACGCGTAAATGAAATACCCAAGACAAGTGAAAAACAAATGCAGGTGATTGAAGCAAGTGAACCTCTAATTGGGTTGAGCAGTTTGCATAAAACAGTATCTACCTACTGAAACATGCAACTGATTCTTTGAAAAAAAAATACAATAGTCTTAAACAACTGTCAGTATTTACATCATCATAGATGTTACTTTATGAGAAAAAATGATAGCCTGTTTTTAATTTATGAGTTTCAGATTGTTCATTGACCAATAAAAAGGAATCAATAAAATATGTGCCAATTGAACAATTTTATTGTATATAAAACTAAAATAATTTCATCTTACAATTTTGTATTATGTAACATTTTTCAAACTGTAAGATATTATGATTCTTCATAATGTAAATGAAAATAGACAGAATATTATACAACCAACATAAAAATCAACACTCCACCATTATCCTTAGTCCATTGACATGTGAAAGTAGTAGTATAGATGTTGTATAATGAACAGTCTCCAAAATGTAGCAGAAATGTGCTGAGTGTTGCCATGAATGACTGCTCATGAACTTAGCCTATAGCTAAATTTTTGTTATCTACATTTTTGCATCAATAAAGAGTTGTTTTGTACTTCATCCTTTCTTTTATGGAAAGTCCAGTATCTAAAAAAAACATGATTTTGTAAGACATGGGACAAGGTATGCGAAAAGGTTTCTGGAAAAAGTTGTATTTTTTTTATTTTCGGTTGACTATGATCCTGACAATTCAAGGCATGTACATTTGAACTCCCATCATTATAGAATCGGCCAAATGAAACTGCATTTGTATAAACTACTTTTTACTGACATTTCATCCACCACATGGCTTTCTTCAAAGTAAAGATATGACAATGACAATATATTTTATATTCACCTGTCATCCAGGTGACAGTTCATTTGCTTTTACTTATTCTTTGTCACTATACAGTGTGTTGTAACAACACCCTGAATGGTTCCTGTACCACATTGAGATCGCATGAGACCATCACCGCGTAAAACCAGCAATGAAGTATGAAGTTATTTGTTATTTTGGATTGTACTAGACACATCACCCTCCCTCATGATCCCAAAAACATGGTATAGTAATGATCTGCTACTATTTCCTTTTTCACTTGTGTAAATGCCATTGGACGTAACACCAATATTATTAATGAGAAGAACTTCATACATTCAGAACTGGCCAATATGACTGCTCCTTTCTTCCTAGGGTGTCGAGATTATTAAACAATATACCTTAAGAAGCTTTTTTAAGTTCTTCAAACCTTAATCAGTTCATAAATCAGATTAACAAAGTTTCAAGGTCCTCATAATAGCTGTGGTGCACTGGTCATTAGGCTACCGCCTTTGTGGCTGCTTCATATAAAAAAATCAACTGTCACCTAAAAAACATATAGTCTCATCTGTACATCAAAAGAGGCTACAGTGGACTGAAAAGTCAGTAAAAAGTAATTTATACATAATGTGGTTAAATTTGGCCAGAAAGTCATGGAGCTCTACCAGCATGAAAACCACAGAATAAAGTATCATGTGTTAGATTATTGTATAGATATTACTATTGTTTCTGAAAATTGATAAATGGACATTAGCTTATGTAAAAAAATACCAGTTGAGGAAGAGTGCCTTCAATATCTTCCAATGTTACCAGTGTCCTGTTTTCATTGGAAGCCACCTTAGCAGCTCTGAGGGATGCTTCAACGACAAGAGCTTTGGCTATTTCAGAAACTAATTCAACAGCTTCATCTGTTATTTTGTTCTTTGGGTTTGTGCACTGGGTTTTTATTACATCTTTTATAATGTCCTGAATAACAGAAAAAATTTAAAATCATATCTCTCTTCTTGACATCAAAGAGCTTACATGTTCAAATGTTGTTGTGAATTTTTGGAGAACTGCATTATCACCTTGAATGTCATCATTTTTCCTTTTGGAAGTTTCTGCTGAAATATCTATAATTTCTGGTTCCATATTTCTGTTCACCAATATTATGCAAATCTTTTAAATTTCAACAAATCAACCACTGTTCCAAATTCTAATAGTTTTGTTTTGAATTCAATGTGTCAATAAAAATTTTACAGATTTCTATAACAATAAAATGACATTGTTTTTTGAACTATTAATAGGTGGTGCTTTCAGGAGCATAAGTTAGCATCTGCTGGTTGATTGCTAAAACTGTTATGTCAAAATGGTATGCTTACAGATTTCTAAGTGAGCTGAATGCCTGTTTTAATTTATACTCGAGAGATGGCACATTACTAAATAGGAGCGACATCTAGCGTCCTTTTGTCTATTTATTGTGAAATTAAGTCGGATGTCATTTGAAAATAAAATTATAAGGAAAACAAAAAAATTGGGAGTAAATTCAAATATCAATAACTTACCTTTTGATACTTCGGTTGCGATATATTTTAGTACTTGCTGTTATTAAACATTGTTTCATTTTAATTCTAATCATAGTAGCTACTATGTTCTCAAACTGCAGAAAAAAAAGCGAATCTTATCTATCGTGTATTCATTGTCAAATGCATAAATGGTATAATTTTATATAAACATGCATATTAAGAATAAGGTGGCAATTTCTAGGATACTCTACATAAAACAAAAAATAATTCAAGTTTCTAAGAAAAATGTCTTGCAGAGCTCCATATTGAGATACAGGCTCATGAACTCTACTGGAATTTTTTTTATAACTTCGCAAAATTTCAACATCATGGAAACCACTTTAGGCCTCCTAAATGGTTGGAACTCATTCAGATCACCAGGGGCGGATTAGCCGAAACGCAATACTACTATTTTTACACCGATAAAGTGAGGCAATACTCTATCAAAGTTTCCTTGAATTAACTGTCATAAACGATTTCTAGAAGCATCGTTTAGAGAGCACCATATGAAATGTTTTATAGTAACTATCTGGGATTTCTCAAAGGATTGTCATCATATTCTGAGACTGATATCAATAATTGTATTTCACTTGAAATTGTTTCACTTTTATATAGTTGATTAAGAATGTATGTAGCATCAGCTACTCTACTAAAATTCAGCCCAAGAGAGACCACAACATCGCAAACTCGAAGCGTGATCAGCGCGTGATCGATGTTCCCGCAGAGGGTCTCATTATAGTTCAGGCATTTACGGTTTGAAGTTGTAGTTTGAAGCGCTTGCTTTTTCAACTAATAGTTTCATTTCGTAGCTTTTATTTTTCTTTTTTTAAACTTTCCGCCCCTCATATTGATGCTTTTGTTAAATACAATGTCCTGAAGTGGCTCCAATATAAAACTCCATGAATTTGGAAAACATGCAGTTTCGAACATTTTTTAAGACTTAGTTAGACTATAGCAATACAAAACCCGCCGTTGCGCCGCGTTGATGTCTACAAAAACCAGAGTTGTAATCAGGCCGTGGCGTGGCGTCGAGTGCATCGCTGTTATAAGTTCTGTTATATTTGGTGTTTTTTGACCATGTCTTCTACCGACACAACTGACGAAGGGAGAACTACATTGAGTCCACCCAGGAAACGATCAAGACAAAACCATTTGAGCATCGAAGTGAAAGAAATTATTTTAAATGTTTACAAATGTGAAACGGAGGAAAAACCTGAGCTCAGCGTCAACGATGTTGTGCAGAGGGTGGCGAATAAAGTTGGAGTTTCTCGTGCATCGGTATTTAGAGTACTCAAAGAATATAAATTACGGAATGCATTTGCTGAACCTAAAACGAATCAGAACCGTAAAAGCCAAATTAAAGAAATAGATGATGCTGACAGACATGCGATCAGAAGGGAGGTTCATGAATTCTTTTTCCAGAATGAAATTCCTACAATTGATAAGATTTTGAAAGTAGTGACTGAAGACTCAGATTTGCCGAATTTTAGTAAAACGACGTTCTACAGGCTATTAAAGGAACTCAACTTCAATTGGCAGAAGAGAGGCCGAAACAGTTCATTGATGGATAGAGATGAAATTATACTAAGGCGGAGAGAGTATTTGACAAAAATAAAAACATACAGGAGCCAAAACCGTAGAATTTACTTCCTGGACGAGACGTGGATAAATGCTGGCCATACAAAATCAAAAGTTTGGGTGGACCAAACAGTAACGTCAGCAAGAGCGTTTTTAGATGGGCTTAAAAACCCTACAGGTAATGCAGACATTCCATTTTAGAAAATCCAACAATAGTTATTAGATAATGTTTCATAGCCAAAGTGATTTAAATGAGGCATTACACGTTATCAGATATCTAGAAAAAACGAGGGGATGTTCACTCTGGAAATCAAGAGACAACATACCTCGTCCGTCACGGAATGTAACACGTTAATTAACAACGTCAGACATTGCGTTGATTTGTAAATTTTTCGATAAGTTTGTCACACTTGATAATTTTTTAGTTTAATTGATGTTGCCTGTTTCTTTTTGTTTTTAAGCTAACCAGATTCATCAACAGATTAAATGATGCATTGGTTGAAGTGTCCGATATATCTCACCGCATGCATCCCGCTATCATGAGAAACAATATAGCATCGTATATAAAATACAGAAATGTGTCCCTATCTCCGTGGCCTCAGTACTCTTGTGAAAGACATATAATGTACATCCGTATTTAACAAGTTTTATCTTTATAGGCAAAGGAAAAAGGCTCATTATTTGCCACATCGGGAGTGTAGATGGCTTCGTGAAGGAAGGACTATGGTGTTTTGAATAAAAAAAAACCACTGACTACCACGAAGAGATGAATGGTGAAGCATTCGAAAACTGGTTTTTAGGCATTTTACCACGTCTTAAAGACAATTCTGTGGTGGTCCTGGATAATGCTCCGTATCATTCTCGGAAATTAGAAAAAATTCCAAATTTATCTTTTAAGAAATCAGAGATACAGGACTGGCTACGTGCAAAAATATACCTTTTGATACGTTTATGTTGAAATTACAACTTCTAGATCTTGTGAAACAACACAGAGAATATGATAAATATATAGTGGACGAGATGGCAAAAGCGCACAATAAAATGGTACTTCGTTTGTCTCCTTACCACTGTGAGCTCAACCCCATTGAGCTCATATGGGCAGATATAAAGAATTTTGTTGCTGAACACAACACAACATTCAAGTTTTCCGACATGAAAGAGCTGTTCAACCTTGCGTTGCAGAGAATCACACCAGAAAAATGGTTAAAATGTGTGAAGCATGTTCAGGAGAAAGTGGAGGTTGCAATGTGGGAGCTAGACAACATAATTGAAAGGCATATTGAACCGCTAATTATCAACATCTATGATGACAGCTCTTCTAGTGAAAGTGAAAAATATTGATGTTGTCAAACACATATGCATAATTACTTTTTATGCCCCCCTTAACTTTCAATTACCTCTATTGACTCTGTGACAGTAGTGTTGTGTTATTATTTACTGATGTCTCTTTTTCAAATATTTAGTTCTGAAATATCACCTTAATATTTCCATAGTTTTGAGTCCGACCCTGCTCGGTTCTTGTGTCTACGACCATCATGCCAGCGACGCGTGCTGGTTGTTGTGTCTGGTCTCACTTGAAATTGATTCAAGTATAGTCTAATCATATTAGACGAAATTACCCCTGATTTGCAAAATAATTGTAAAGTCTGATTATATTGCTGCAAGTTGTTCAACGGGATATTCAAAACATGGACACACAAAATGGGTAACACCAATTTTTATGGGAAAACTTTTTATTGGCGACAAATAATGAGAAAACGTGTTTTTTGCGATTCAATCGAATATTGACAGGAAGGAAAAAACTCTTCCTATAATATTTTTTGGTATTTATGAGACCTACAAAATGAGACCACACGTAAAAAGATCCGACTAATAGCAAAAAAGTTACGGCCGAAAACTGAAGCAAGCTGCAGGTTTTGGCACTTTTTAATACGACGATGGTTTCTCGCAGATACCTGAAATTCTTCAAATTCGTACTTCTAAATATGTAATCACAACAAAATTGTAGTAGATTGGTTTATCCCAAAACACCTGTTTTCCGGCCATCGCTACAAGTTTATTGAGCAATATACAGGGTTAGTTCAAAGGGAACTTCATAGCAGAATACACTAGTTCACCTTACCGATACGAATCGCAAACTATTCCGGGAGATAAACGTTATTTTTATGCAAAAAAGGATGAGTTACATTTTTTCTTCCAAACATGTATTTGTAACTAATTCGCAACAAAAGATGATGGACACATTCGTTGTTTTAAAATATGTAGTAACGTATGTTTTTGAATATCGTAGCTAATTTGTTCAATTACAAATACGAAATGTTTGAATTACAATTTTAATCCTTTCAACGACATTTTAAAACCGTTCTTCTTGGGAAGTAAAGACGAATTCTCATAACAAAAAAAATTTATTAATTAGATTTTTGTTACAAATAAAATAATAAAAACAAATGCTGTACAAGTTGTTTCCAAAGACCGATGTAAAATCCTCGTTTTCTCCTAACATGTTAACCATGTATTTAAATTTTACAAATAACATACTCCTATATCTAATAATTAAATATTTCATTTTGAATTCTCAATCGATGCAACAACAAAATGCACAGCATTCTTGCAATCGTTCGTGGTGCCACAAATGTAGCTAGTATGCAAATCAAAATGGAAATCTCACATCGATTAAGAATTGTGGTAATGACTGACGCGTTCACTTAACCAGAGAAGTTGGCGATGAATTCTTGTACGATCTTCTTTAATTTCGCGTCTGTGTCATCTGTGATCTTACCCTCTTTCGCGATGCTGGTCAAGATGTCTTGGTGGCTCGCCCTGAAATAAATCAATTTTATGTCTCAAATCATACAAAAGTGCAATCATTTGGAGCTCAAAAATGGGGTACCTGGAAAGTTTTGGAGAAGCTTGAAAAAGTGGATGTTTTTATAGGTTTTGGTGGTGCTTTTTTAATGTTCACCTTGCTACCTCGTATCTTTGTGTGTTAAACTATGACCCCCACGGCCTAATACTGTTTTCCTTACATAAAAGAGCAATAGTATTTTTATTAATAACTTTATACCAATTTGAAACTTATAAAAATATTAGAATCTCATCAAAAAAGAATGTAGAGCTGTTGGAAACACAATCGTTAAAGAATTATCTGAAAGCCATATCAAACAAATAATGAGACGACCGTTCTGCTACAGAACCAATGTCTCCACATATTTTCAGAAACAAATTAATTTAGTTTTGGAGTCTCTTGGTTGGTGTACTCGCCACCCTTAGATGATAATATTCCATGGTACATACTTCATGTGTTCAGAGAACTGCTTCTCGAAAACGGTGATCTTGGAGGGGTCCAGTTTGTCCAGATGTCCCCTGACACCGCAGTAGATGACGGCGACTTGCTCTTCAATGGCCATCGGCACATACTGTCCCTGCTTCAGTAGCTCAGTGAGACGCACACCTCTATTCAACAGCTGTTGGGTGGCAGCGTCCAAGTCGGAACCGAACTGGGCGAAAGCGGCTACCTCACGATATTGGGCCAATTCCAGTTTCATGGAACCGGCCACCTGGAACAAGAATCATCGAAATTCACAAAAAAAAAAAGAATTCTGATTTCTAATCAACTTCGCCTTTGCAAAAATTTTCAAAATCGGTGATATCGAAATGATGATCTCTCCAAGTAAAAGATTTTACAATTAATTCTTAAAGCAAAGTTAATATAATGTAAAAAAGAAAAAGCAAAATGTATGAAATGTTGGAGATCCGTTGGTGTAGCGACCAAGATTAAAACTGTCCTAAAATGTCCCCTTTCTAAGATACACTAGGAGGTAGTGGTAGATTTTATCCTATAGGAAAGTTGTCAATATTTTTTCAATCATCCTTTGTAAAATCACACTGAAATAAGATTCCTTTTTGGAAATGTTGGAAGGTTACTATCAAACCCCATTCATAGAAGCTAAATAGCTTCTCATGGTGTTAGCGAATCCGTCCATTTAATTTATGCACAACATTCAACATACTGCAACATTTTTTAAAGCAATAGTTTTTGAGCTGTGCAGTCATTACAATTAACTTGTAAATCTAAAGGTTGTCGCAATAGGTACTTTGGGATATTTGGTTTTTAATTAGGCCAACTCATACATGCAAATCAGTTTTTTAAATATCATTCTCAAAATGTCACCGTCCTAAATAACTTTGGAAATGTCGAGTCGAGATTACTGTCAAACATTTCGCAGGAATATTCGATTACCATATTTTACCTGTTTCATGGCCTTGGTTTGGGCAGCAGATCCTACTCTGGATACACTCAAACCTACGTTGATAGCTGGTCGGATACCTGGAAATAAAAAAAAAAACATTCAATATATCATACGCACATGTATGGACCAATCGACAGAATAGACGACAATGACAAAACAGTCCACCATGACCGCATGCCGACAGGCTTTTAAATTTGTTTTTGCTGTCCAGTTGAACAAGAAAAAGCATTCTTTTATTGAGAACATGTCTGCAAGATGCAACTTACCCTTGTAGAACAACTCAGTTTCCAAGAAGATCTGTCCGTCAGTGATGGAAATGACATTGGTGGGAATGTAAGCTGACACATCACCGGCCTGTGTCTCGATGACGGGCAGGGCGGTCAAGGAACCTCCTCCGTGAGCGTCGGACATCTTGGCGGCTCTCTCCAGCAGACGGGAGTGGAGGTAGAATACGTCACCAGGGTAGGCCTCACGACCTGGGGGACGACGCAGCAACAGGGACATCTGAACGGAGGATATCATAATTTAATTTTAATTCATGAACTATGCACTCAATTTATTCAAGAGTTTTGGTCGAGATTGCAGATACGCAAGGTTCTTTGAACATTTCCTTTAGTAGTAAGCATTCAGAAGTTTTCACGGCAAAATATCAATTTTCGTCCAACGTGGCTACAAACGAACAATTCTCGGTACACTGGGGATGCTGATTTTAAATGGGAACGAAAGTGGGACTTCTGGGGTATACCGTCAATCTTAACGAAAAACCGACATCGTGTTTATGATTTACACACTCGATTTATCCAAGGAACAGGTTATGCATGGGACTGCAGATCCAAAAGAATGTCATAGAATTTTTGTTGAAATATGCTATGACTTCAAAGACTCTGAAATTTCTCATTATTTATGAGCGAATGAAATTTTGTACAATGAAGTAATTTGGTACCTTCATTCCAAACATGGCTATTAAAAAATCCTAAAATGTCGCGAAGCTCTAGTTGTAGTTGAAAAATGGTCTCGTATCAATCTGTTTAAACATCCGATCCGAAATACACGAAGCCGACTTCAAGAAACATGGTTTACAAGAATCTTGTGAAAATCTTCATCAATAATATTTATAGACAAGAGACTCCAATTTCAGAACTCGAAAATTCCATTTTCGTCTCCTGAGGCTACAAGTGAATGAAACTCGGTACTCGGTAATTTATCAATACTCAAGAAACGAGTTGGTCGACATTTTAGCCACACAAGAATTTTTCAAAATTTTCTCACTAGTAAGTAAACTTACAGGTACATAATGTAACACGCTCGTTACTAGAACAATGGCACATATTCTGAACGCCCATGCTTAGGCAACCAATTGGTTAATTATAATATAATTATGCGACCGTGCCTCGAGGGCGATCAAGTTCACGTCCGAGAGCGTTCAGCGTCTCCTTGATTTGATGAATCTACTGCCATCTAGACCGCTTCCATGAAGGTTCACGACTCTGCCTGGAAAACTCTGGCGTATATCTCAACTCATCGATAGGGGAATAAATATAGGCAGAAATGGCGGAAACGACACAGTCAACAGGCAGCGTCCGAAGAAACAACAAGCTAAAGTCAAGTCGACATGGTTAGAAATTGGTCATAAATTAGTTGCAAGGGAATTAGTGTACAAGGGATTAGACTTTAGGCCCGTATCGTCAGTCGTTCCTACAATTGTAGGGCGCGTTTATGACCTCCTTGATTGTCATACTCCTTTCTCCCCTTCAAAAATTTCTAGATTGCACCTGTCCCATGTCAGCGTCAGCGCTCTCCTATTGTGAAGATATGTTTTCTTTTTAAATTGTAGGAAATTTCAGGCTGATAAAACATGATATAACTCAAAAGCAAGCACAATTTAATGCAAATAGATATTTGTGACATAACCTCAAAATAGAGCGCTGACACGGAAAAGTAGAAAACTATGACAATCAAGGAGGCCATAAAGGCGCCCTACAATTGTAGGAACGACTGACGATACGGGCCTTAAAGAGCAAAAACGGTGTTTTCGTTACAATAGATTCCAATTTTTGTTCTTCGTGACAATGAGCCAACGAAAAATGGTAATTTGGAATGAAAGGTCATCGAAAAATCTAAAATTGCCGGGAAATCTTCTTTGAAGTAAAAACGTTAGTCTTCTGAGAGCTGATATACCCAAACTACTTTTCACCTAAACTGCAAATACATAAGAATTTCTGTAAATTTTGCCTTTATATGGGGTTGGCCAAAACGGACGCAAGAAAGTAAACGCATATTAAAACAAGAAAGATTGATATTCAAATCAAGTTGGGTACTTTATTTTGAAGGTTCATTTATACCATTTATGTATGAAAAATAATATCACTCAAATGTTCACCACGACTGGATTTACAGACGTCCACGCGATGGTCGAAATTTTCAATGACATTTTGCAACATAGTCGGTTCTATGGCATTTATCTCGGCAATGATGTTGTTTTTGAGTTCTTGGAGGGTGGCTGGTTTGTTGACGTAGACTTTGCTTTTCAAATATCCCCATAAAAAGAAGTCCAAGGGAGTCAAATCGCACGATCCTGGTGGCCATGGCACATTTTCTCTGCGCGAAATGACGCGATCACCGAAGAAGGACTGCAATCGATGGATATTGACGTTGGTTGTGTGGCATGTTGCACCGTCTTGTTTGAAATAAACATCGTCCATATCCATTCCTTCAAGTTGCGGCAAAAAATAGTCATCTATCATCACGTGATATCGCTCAGAATTGACGGTAACGGCGTCCCCGGCCGCATTTTCGAAAAAGTAAGGTCCGATGATGCCTTTTGACCACAATGCACACCACACAGTCACTTTTTGAGGATGCATCGGCTGCTCTTGATACTCACGGGGATTTTCGTTCGCCCAGATGCGGCAGTTTTGCTTGTTTACCGTCCCATTCAAAGTGAAATGCGCTTCGTCGTTGTACATGATTTTTTATGAAAAATTGGCATCAATTTGGCGGTGTTCAAGGAGCCAATCTGAGAACGTTCGGCGCGAAAAATGGTCGACCCGACGCAGCTCTTGCGTCAATTGGATCTTGTAGGCGTGTACATTCAAATCCTTGTGGAGAATGCGGAGCAAACTGGTTCTCGAAATGCCCAATTCTTGGGATCGACGCGTTGTTGATTGTTTCGGATCGTCTCTCACACTCTCCTTCACAACAGCAATATTTTCCGGTGTGCGAACGCTCCTTGGCCGGCCAGAGCCTGGCAGATTTGCCACAGAACCTGTTGCCTCGAATTTACGCACCAGACGACCGATGGTTGTTTCGTTTGGGCGGTTGTTGCGACCGAAATGTTCACGAAGCGCGCAAAAGGTGTTTTTTATTTTTGCACCATTTTTGTAGTGCTCTTGAATAACTTTAATGCGGTCTTCAATCGAATACGACTCCATAGCGATCAATGGTAAACATTCAACTAACAAAATGACATGTCGGTGACAGAAAACAAAGATGGCGTCTATGTCAAATTGACGTTTACTTTCCTGCATCCCTATTGGACAACCCTTTAGTTTAAAGCAATTTCGCGGACCTAACTTCACCGTGGTTAAGCCAATGTCTGTGAGAGCATCCAAGTACACTTGATCTTGGATAATCTTCTATAGCTGGTTTTCCTGTCAGATCTGGTAAGAGAATAGCCAAAAATAAGAAACAAACAAAATGCGAAACATAAAGAAATAGTGTAAAAACCGATTTGATGCTCCTTAAACTTGTAAAATAGGATCCGGAAATTTTAAATCGTTTTAGTAAGTTAATTTTTTAGGTTGGTGTGGTTGAACGAATCAATTTTGTATCATACTAAAATTACACGAGTTGATTTTGATCACCGCGGTACTGCATGGTTGCGAACCTCTTCGACTGTGTTTGTTTGTTTTATCCTCTGAGTAAGAGATGTCGAGGTCTATTGTTATGAAGACTCTTATTAGAGTCGGACTACAAAGTTTCCAGTGAGATTGGTGTAATGGATGTTAACATCTTAAAAACAAAAGTGATTATCTGTTACCTGACGGTAGGCGACGGCCTGCTTGGACAAGTCGTCATAGATGATCAACGCGTGCTTGCCGTTATCCCTAAAGTACTCGCCCATAGCACAGCCAGAGTATGGTGCGAGATACTGCAGGGGGGCGGCATCGGAGGCGGTGGCAGACACGATGATGGTGTACTTCATGGCGCCGGTGTCGGAGAGTCGCTTCAGGATCTGGGCGACTGTGGAACGCTTCTGGCCGATGGCCACGTAGATACAGTACAGCTTCTTCTTTTCGTCGTCGCCGTCATTGAAACGTTTCTGGTTGATGATCGTGTCGATGGCCAAAGCAGTTTTTCTGAGAGAAAAACAGTCGTACAGACATTGTATATGATGGAAGAAAAACGGCGGCTAAATACAGGGTGGCCGATATGTAACTGGCTGCTTTGTATCTTAAATATACTAAGTGACATATAAATCCGAACACCCAGTTTAAATGGTCTTATTTTAATAAAAGTTGGTGAATGTATTTATCTTACTGTAAATAACAAGTGAAAAAATTTTCAGCCTTATCAGTGGGACATTCCGGTTTTTATACTGCTTTTTTTTAATTCACTATCGCTCTAAAAATGAATATTTCAGCCGCAGTAAAGAATCAACGTTGGCGGATTTTGGTTCTTGACATCCTTTATGATCGGTTACGATGCCTAGAGTACGGAGAGCTGTACGATTTCGTCAACTTAGTGAGTTTGATAGGGGCCGTATAGTGGGACTTCGGGAAGCTGGACTTTCTTTTCGGGCAATTGCAGTTAGAGTGCAAAGAAGTGTAGACACTGTGGTTAGGTGTTGTCAGGCAGGGCTTCGAGAAGGCCGAACGCAAAGAGCAAGGGGCACTGGACGCCGCCGTAGAACAACAGACCGTGAAGATCGCCGCCTAAGATTATTGGCCTTAAGGGACCGTTTCTCCACTACCAGGTCCATTGCAAATGAATGGTTTGCAGAACACGGAAGACCTATTGGCATGCGAAGTGTCTACCGATGAATGAGAAGTTTTGGCTTGTTTTCATAACGGCCACATTGGGTCCTCCCTTTAACTCGAGAACACCGACGTAATCGCCTTGAGTGGTGCAGACAACGGTCACTCTGGGATCAGGAATGGAACAGTATTGTCTTTAGTGACGAGTCTCGATTTTGTTTAGGCATGGACGATGGTCGTGCCAGGGTTAGAAGGCGACGTGGTGAAAGGTGGAGTCCACAGTTTTTTGTTGAAAGACATGTTCATCACACTGTTGGAGTTATGGTTTGGGGTGCTATAGCTTATGGTTCCAGGTCACCTTTAATCTTCATCAGAGGTAACATGAACGCGCAGCGTTATATCCACGAAGTTCTAGAACCCCATCTTTTACCCTATCTTGACACCCTGGCAGATCCAACTTTCCAACAAGATAATGCCCGACCACATGTTGCAAGAGTCACAATAGACTTCTTTCAACATAATGATGTCACATTGTTACCATGGCCACCAAGATCTCCCGACTTATCCCCAATTGAGCACGTGTGGGATATGATGGGTAGGAGATTGCTCAATTTGCAACGTCCTCCTCAGACTCTAGAAGCACTTCGATAGGAGTTGGTGGTTGCCTGGAATGAGATACCACAGGATGACATTGACCACCTGATCAGAAGCATGCCTAGGCGCGTTGGAGAATGCGTAGCACATCAGGGTGCATCCACACATTATTAAAGGTCAAAGGGCTTTAAAGCAGTGCAATCATTTTGAAATTTTGATCATTTACTTATTATGCTTCATTAAGTACTTATACAAAATTTTATTAAAATAAAACCATTTAAACTGGGTGTTCGGATTTATATGTCACTTAGTATATTTGTGAAATGAAATAAAATACGACCATTTTTTTCATCTTAGTCTTTTATTGAAACTCAGAAATTATGTATGAAAAATAATATCAGACAAATATCAGCCTCTAGAAGCCGCGCAAACCTGAGCTCTCTTGATTACATTTTCCATCACTTTTTGGTAGGTTTCGACGGAAATATTTTCAATCGCTTCCGTAATATTTGTTCTTCTTGGTTTGTTGGAATAAAACCTATTATTCAAAAAAGCCACGAGCCGTTAAATCTGGTGACGTTGGTGGCCAGTTCACATCACCAAATAGAGAAATCAAACGTCCCGGAAATATTGTTTGCAAAAGATTCATTATTTCCCTAGCTGTGTGACAAGTTGCTCCGTCCTGCTGGAACCAATTGTTTTGCAGGTTAAATTGGAGGAGGAGCCAGAAAGTTTTGCACCATATCACGGTACCGCTCGCCAGTGACAATAAGAGAATTACCTGCAGCGTCTTCAAAGAATTAAGGTCCAATGACACCTCCATACCAAACACCGCACCAAACTGTGACTCGACGAAGATGTAGTGGTCGTTGATGGATGACACGAGGGTTATCTAATGCCCAAATACAATAATTCTGCTTATAAACAAATCCGTTCATATCGAAGTGGGCTTCATCGCTCATTATCAGTGGTCGGGAAAAATCGTTATTTTGTATTAAGCTGCAATATTGCATGACTGTATTATGGGCGACTCTCGTGGTCACTAACTAGGCTATAGTTCTTGGGTTAACTGAATTTTGTATGGCCGCAAATGCAGATCTTTTTTTTAAAATAGTGCATAATGACGTGCGACGAATACCCAGTTCTGGAGAACGATGTCTGGTAGTCGTATCTTGGCGCTCCACTACACTTTCACGAACTCCCCCGATATTTTCCGGAGTACGAACAGTTCGAACACGGTCCGAACTTTGCAAGAGTTTTTTATATTTTACATGGAGGCGTTGACCACGCGCTGTTAAGACGGTTGCTGTGAATGTGACGTCTATATAACGAATACGATGCCGCGGGGACTCGTTCCAACCTATCTTGCAAAATTTGCCGCAACCATAACCAATAACCATTTATGAATGTATAGACTTGAATCGTTCGCAGCAAAAACTGAACAGTCAGTCAATCACTATAATAATTAATGATATGCGAATATTCAAGGGTGTGAATTTACATGAAAAATTAATGTTAGTTTCCTTACTTAGAGAGTTCAAAATAATTCATTGGGCGCCGCAATTGGCTCGAAGAAAGCGAAATCTGAATAACCATTTTCGAACACTTCATTGACATCCGAATCACATGCTACCAAGGCGCAACAGTCTCCGACATAAAATAACCCATGCGTGAGGTCACATGATCTACGACGCCAATAATAAAAGTTCCCCACTCGTAGACCTCACTATTATGAACTATTAAGCAGTGGTCGCTTTACAAGCCAATATGCGTCGAGTGATTGCGTATGTCAGAAATCACTTATGAAATAAACTTACAGTTACAAAAACTTTTAGTTTCCATAAGCTATATTCAATATAAGACAAAATAGGAGTGAAAAAATGTACTAAAACAATACTGGGTGCTTTCCAATTATAACTATAACATAGAACACTTAATGAACAGACTATAAATGTGTTGGGGGGCTACTATCAAACCCCATTCATAGAAGCAATATAGCTTCTCATAGTGTTAGCGAATCCACCCTTTCAATATATGCACATACATCTCACTTCACTGTACAACTTTTCCAATGAAATGTTCTATAACTGTGCAATGACTTTAGATTAGATTTTATCATCATATATAGCAATGACTTTAGATTAGATTTTATCATCATATATAATGTCATAGCTCAGAGCGACCAGATGAACGTGTGTTGTTGGTTAAAATTTCGATTTTGTCTACAAATTGGTCTGCTATGTCTAGTTGACAAAAGAAAAACAGACAAATGCAAGAGTAGAAAAGATGGAAGGAAACGGAAGATCGGGAGGGTAAAAAATAGAGAAAGTACATAAAACTTATTTAACGAGTATCCATCATGTTTTCACGTATTGGTCTGTAACGTTGGCAATAATTAATAAGGTGTAAATATAGTAAAACTTACTTGTGGAGTTTTTTTTTTGTATGCACATGAGCTTCTCTAAATAAAAGAGTTGTTAGCAAGTACAAAATGAATCAGTAGCTATAAATATCCTGAACAATATACGGCTGTTTACCTGGCGTTGACGTAAGCGTCAGAATTATGTGTCATTTGTAAATTTGGGGATTTTGAAATATCACCAGATAATCAGCTGATATTCTTCCGTAATGGATACTCGTGAAAAAGAAAATCCATTGATTGGAGAAGTCGCTTGGCTTTGTCAAGTACAATACAGGAATTTTAAATTAATCTAGAAGCTTGCATGGCTGTGAAGTCTTACCGACAAATGCATCAAAGGCTTGCTGAACAAGTTTACTAGACTGCAAGGGATGTAACTGTCTCAATGAAGGAAATCATTATCGGCGAATTTTATCTAAGATTATACTTACCCAGTTTGACGATCGCCAATGATCAACTCACGCTGTCCACGACCGATTGGCACCAGAGAATCCACGGCCTTGATACCGGACTGCATGGGCTCCCTCACCGAGATACGAGGGATAATACCAGGTGCCTTGATGCCTACCCTGAAACGCTGCTTGGTGTTCAATGGACCTTTGCCATCAATTGGGTTACCTGGATAACAAAAAAAACTATTATGTATCCATCTACTAAGATAGTCAAGACTTCAGCTCCATTTTTTAGAGTCAAAGTTTTGCAACTATTCACTATTTGCTCTGTGAGAGAGCAACAACTATATCCAAAAACAGACGCGGCTATTACCAATAATTGTATATCATTCTTCGACTATTCAAAAACTAAACATACTATTCACAATTTAATTGCATACCTAAAGCATCTACTACACGTCCCAAGATCTCATCACCAACAGGAACATCTACAATGGCACCAGTTCTCTTGACAATATCTCCTTCCTTGATCAGTTTGTCATTACCAAATACTACCACACCCACATTGTCAGGCTCCAAGTTCAAGGCCATACCCTAAGGATAAGGAAAATATATTAAGTTCCAAAATGTTGCCCAGATTGACCAAAAGTTACTTATTCTATGTTACATCATGTTAAATAGCAAAAAATGAACCCTGTTATAGAAAAAATGACTATAGACTAAACAGAAAAAAAAATTCTGAGCTAATTTTCGAAAAATTCTGTATTATAGTGGACCTCCGGTAATCCGACAAACATTATGCAGGGCAGTGTCGGACTATCGAATTTGTCGGATTATAGAGCACTGCCGAAGACCCCCTATAGCCCGGAATTTTTTACAAAAGGGTACCTTGTAATCCGACAAATTACATATCCAATGGTAAGATTATATATGTTATGTATATGTATGTACTTTGAAGTACAAATCATACATAGTTTATGTATGTCGAATTTAGTAAATTAAATAACAATAGAGAGCTTACGTTTTATTATAAAATTAAGCATAAATGCACATACATATGTACCAAAATAATCAAGAATTATTAATCAAAATCATTAATGAATTTATCTAATTATGAAGCTTGGAAATTATTTTTGTTTAAGGTTGTTATAACGCGAGATCAGAGCTTTGTCCCTCAGCTTTCTCAAAAGTAAAAGTTCGTTGTAGGATGTACCATTCTCTTCAGCAAATTGTAAACCTAGCTCAAAGGCGTTAACTGCGTCTTGTGCTGTGACTTGTGGAGCAGTTGCAATCACGTCGTCTTTATTTTCCTGATTGTTTGTTGTATAATCAGAAACCTCTTTTATAATCTCTTTGTCAGACATTTCATGAAAAACATTTTCCTCTTTATCCATTCCACGGCACCAGATTTCCAAATCTTCCGGACTTATCTGTGTTTCAGTAGCGACTTGTTCTATAACTTCCGAAGTAACACTGATTTGTGGAACGTTGTTAGGAGTGGTGACTATATCTGGCCATAACTTTTTCCAAGACGATTTAATAGTTGATGACGGTAACGCATTCCACGACTGACAAAGAGCAAAAACCAAGTCTTTCATATTAAATTCTTTTAAAGTTTTTTCTACTGGTTGGTCTTTTGATACGGCTCTCAGAAGTAGGTTTTTGTTATAGTCTTGCTTGACAAACTGAATGGTATTCTGGTCCATTGGTTGAATCAGTGCAGTGCAATTTGGCGGAAGAAACATCGCAGTGATGCATTTATCCTCAGTTGTTAGTTCTTCTTCAGACGGATGACCGTTAGCGTTATCAAGAAGCAACAACGCTTTTTGAGGAAAATGATGATCTTTTAACCATTTTCTAACTTCAGGTACCAAGCATTCATCAAACCACTTTTTGCAAAGGTCTTTTGTCATCCATGCACTTTTTTGTCCGTAATAGTGTACAGGTAAATCAATGTTTTTGAATGCCCATGGTTTATTAGATTTCCCAATGACCATCATCTTAAGCGCGTGTGTGCCCGCAGCGTTAGCACATGGTAGTATGGTTACACGCTCTTTACTTACTTTTCGTCCAGGTACGGATTTTTCGTTACAAGAAACGAAAGTTTTGTTAGTCATCACACGCCAAAAAAGCCCTGATTCGTCTGCATTGTACACCTGTGACGGGTCAAGATTTAAATCGTTCACCTTTTGCAAAAATCTTAATTCAAAGGGCTCTATGCAGGTGGCATCGTTAGAAAGTTTCTCTCCTGTAATAGTCATTAAACGTATGCCATGACGACTTTTAAAACGGTCTAGCCTTCCTTTGCTGGCCACAAAATCATCTTTTTTTGTTATTTACTTATAAAAAAACTTAGCTTTCATGGCCAACATGGGTCCTGAAATTGGTGCATGCCTATTTCTTTCCTGAAGAAACCACATGTACAAAGCTTCTTCCACTTCTGGATGTTCAGCTTTCTTGAGTGTCTGTCTCTTGCCTGGCCCGCAGTCAGTAGTTGACACGAACTTCTTGATCTTCTCGTGGTTTCTTTTAATGTCATAAATTGTAGATCGGCCTACGCCGTATTCACTTGCTAAACTGCTAAACTAAACTACTAAAATATCACATTTTTCTTTAATTGTCAATGTTTTGTGCTTTCGCTTCTGAGTTTGTGATGACATTACTAGGTACTATACTTAATACACAATGAATAAATAGTAAACAATGAACGCACGCTAGGAAGTACCGCTATCAACAGTAGTTAAATTCAAACTAAGTAAAACAATACTTACGCGTCGAGCACGATAGCGGTGGCGCGTACAAGTTGTAACCTGTTCAAACCTGCGTGATCCACATTAGCGAAGATTGTCAAATACGTATATGTATATGTAATACATATTCAAAGACATGTCGGATTACAGGGGGCGCCGGATTATCGGGGGTCCACTGTATTGTTATTAAGTGCTGCATAGTATACAGTTTCGGCAGGGCACCAATGGGGCTTGTATTTAATGTGTACGAGTGAGATAGAAAGTGGAATGGATAAGTTAGAGCAAGAACGCGAATGAAGTGCCCACATACTCGTTTCTATGTCCATCTCGCTCATGAACATTAAATTTGGACCTCAATAATTCTCTGCCAATCCCGTAACTGCAGGGAATAAAAAAAAATTCAAAATGACAATGCATATGTTCAATTAGCTGCAGAAGCTATGTTGGTAGACAGTTCTTCAAAGATACCATTATTTTCAATTACTGACAATTAGAAATTTGCAAAACTGATGAACATTAGTAAAGTAAACTGAACATATAATTTCAATAACCAAACTTAACATTAGTCTGAATTACCTTCAATCCAGATGAGAATTCCACCATCTCATCAGCCTGGATGTTCTTCAACCCATAGACGCGAGCGATACCATCACCAATGCTGAGTACCCTGCCAGTCTCATCAAGATCAGCCTTGGGCGCAGCTCCCAGGATACGTTCCTCCAGTATGGAGGAGATTTCAGCGCCATTGTTTGGTGCAGAGACATGCAGTTTACGTGCAGCTACTGAGACGGCTGGGAAAGCTACCCCCGCGACCTAGAGAACAAGGAAATAATATAGTACATACATTTTTGCTGTATTTAGTACAGTTTTCGATTACCTTGACTAATCACTCAATTTTTTTGATGCAGGCGATTTGTATTGTATTTTGATTCGAATGCTGAATGCGCACAACAGAAATAATTTACGCGATTTGTGTTGCGCACCTTGCTTTTCTGTGGCAAAACTCAACTCAACACACTAAAAATTTATTGGTGCTATTACACAAAAATGGTTTGCAATTAGAGTAGAACATAAGAACATAATTAGAAACAACAAAAAATATGTAAATAAAATGAACATAAAACAAAAAGTGGCATTAAAAGGTAAAAAAGTTAATAAAACCAAAGTTAAAAATTAGATGAACCCTAGAAACCCCAGAGATTAAATACAATAAAAATTACGCCTGGCTGAAAAAATTAAAGAAGTCTCCAACGAAAACAGAAAGCTTCGGATTATGGAAACATTATACAGTTTTGCCAAACTGTTCAAAATTATTTTATTGGGCAACATATATAATTTTAACCCATCATAATTAAGACCATTTCTGGTTTTGAAAAGGCGCTGTAGATTTGGACACAAATGGTCTTTGTTTCTGGTGTTAATCATGATTATACAACATGAGTTGTATAATTGTGATACCAAGTTTTAACATACATGAGGCAAGCATAGATGTATATGTAAGGCAATCTCATGATATTCAATTTAATTAATTCATTCCTGCAAGGATACCTCAATTTGATATATACCTAAAACACATCCGTGTAAGCAGAAAACTCTAGGCATGTGTGGAGAATGACCCTATGCCAGAATGGTGAATGTCATCTATCTGTGGAAGTATGCATGGTAACTGGTAAGCATTAAATTTCTCAGACTACATATCAGATAGATAGCTTCTGTCAAAGATTTTGTAACATGATTTACATGCTCACCCCAACTCAAAAAAGACACAACATACACCGCGAGAAACTTTACTATTTTTGCGTCTTCAAGTCGTGTGGAAAAGTAAAACGTATTTGTGGATGAGTGAAAATGCAGATGTCTATGAAATTTGGGCTCATTTTTAAAGCAGCACTTTCAATGTTAGATAATCTTTTAAGGGTGATTCAAAATAGAATCATCATATTCCTAATGTAGAAACTATGTTGTAAATAAACATAGATCCTAAGCTGGTTGCTTGCTAATGCTTATCTAGAGTCTATCGTAAGACATATCAGTAGCCTATTTTCAAATGATTTTTTCCTGAGAAAATCGGGATTGCTAAATTAAGTATTCAAATCAATTTTCTCCAAACTACCTATGCCAAAAATGTGTTATGAACGTTCATATTAAATTGAGTTTATTGAATGTATCTTAACACTTTAATTACTGATAGTACAGTACATATTATGTTAGTTGCTCAAAAAGTACAGATAGTTTCCTGGGATTCATATAGTTTTAATCTGGACAAATTACAAAGTATTGATACTATTATTATCAAAATGAACTGCACAAAATTTTCACATAACCTAAAGACTATAGCAGACCACAACAGCAAATTTTTGAAATTCTATACAGATTATCATGTATTTTCTGTTGTTAACTGTTTAATACATGTATAGTATAAAAGTGCATACTAAACAGTTTTCTATGCCTCAATGCTTGGTAATTACTTGTCCGGGTAATTACTCGGTCTGAAACACGCAACTTGTGTAAATCTAAGAATTGTAGCTGTTATGTGTAAAGTAAAAACCTATGTTTGAGATATTTGTATATACCATTAAGAAGGATTGAAAAATATATCAATAAGAAATAATCCAAAAATGTAGTGTCAAAACAGTGAAAAAACTGCCTATCTGTTGCAAGATTATTTAAAAACTCAAAACTACTATAAATATACTGACCTACAATGCTTCACTCAAAAAAATGTCTTAGCTGCATAACTGTTTTTTGTGTGGTTCATTGATGTCATGGAAAAGTAAATCAAATTTTAGAATAAAGGTAACCTTCCAAAAATATCTGAATATCACTTTCACTAGCTGCAATAATCCAGAGTGAATCATTCCACCAAGTACCAAATACTCCACTTCTTCAATTTGAAATATATCATTGCAAAACGCCAGTAGGATTTTTGTCTATCAATATCAATGACTACAAAAAAATACTCAAATTAAATATCTGAAACAATTTTATCTAGGTGATTTTATCCAGAATTTACAAACAGCTGTCTTAATAAGATTCTCACAGTTACCTAAGGAATGACAAACTTAATAAATAAAACAAGTAGATAAGTTTTTATATCATTTTTTACCATTCACCCTGTTATCTTTCATATGAACACTCAAAAAACAACAAAAACTACAGAACAAAGTAAGCAAAATGCAGCAAGTCGAAAACAAACATGAATAACTAGTATTCTGTGTTTCTGCAAAGAATACCTATACTCATACAATTGGATAATTTATTTATCAACGAGCGACTGCCCAATTAAAGTGCAGCATAGAAAATCTAATGTAAACCTAACCCTACTTTGACTTAGATATTTAACACTTAATTAAAATTTAAATATATGGAGAATTCAAATAATAAATATTACACACAGGAATCTAATTGAATTTTGAATGTTTTCTGACTTCTGAAAAAATCCAATTTATTAGAATAATGATTTGCTAACCTTGTAGATCTAGACAGGAAGGAATTAATAGCATAATTAGTACGAAATGATCTCACATGGAATGGTTGATTCAGTCTTGTTTGACGAGAAGGCACATGGAGATTAATATTTCTAATTCTGGAGCAAAACTAAGAGAGTGCAAAATATTATAAAATAGTGACAGGTTTATGTTTAGTCCTTCCAAAATAAATAAAGCCATAAACCTATAGAATTTAAATTCAGTGATGACCATGGTATGGCAGCGATTCTATAAGGTACTTTTTCAAATATTTAACAGCTTGGGGCATTGCATTGCCTATCTTCAAGGAAAATATAGGTTCAAGATGTTGACTGTATATCTTCTGAATGTTTCGTAAAAGTGTTGTAATAAGAAGGATTTCAATACTAGTGCAATGACATAGCTGCTGATATCCACAGTAGAAAACATATACTTATACACACATCATACGTTATTTCCAGCACGATATTGAATCCGTCATGTTACTACGTGCAGATCCAACCGTAATCAAAGACCATATGATGTGTTTTATTCTTATCCATTTTGATAACACACTATAGCTGTTGCAAAATTTTGATAAGTTTAAAAAACAAAACCTCCTGACAAACCATAAATATGACACTGCACCTACAAAAAGTTGTCTAAGCTGCACAACTGTTTCTGTTTTTATGGTACATTAGTTGTTTGAAAAAGTGAACCAACATTGAGAATAAATGCATATTTCAAAAGCAAAAATTCAATCTCATCGCTAATTGTAGCTGAATTAATCAAAGTATATCACCCCACTCAGTACCTGTTCTCTGAATTTAGACAAAAGTACTTGCATCCCTACATATTAGTGTAAGGTGTTATTTTTGTATGCAATGGAAATCATAAATTAATATATTATAGGCAACAAACAATTACATAACATTACAATAGTGAAAAGAGATAATAAAAAATGCTATGCCAAAGCTACGGGTTTAAAAATTCACTAATTTATACTTTTTTTACCATTTATAGTAGAAAAATATATATTTTAGATAAGTAAATAGATAGAAAAACAAATATAGCATTGTAAAATTATGAATAGCAAAGTAATTAATGAAATTCATATATACTTTTTTAGAATTGAAATATTGTAGTAATTTGGCTTGAGGTTTCAAGTTATATTTATTTAAAACCTCAAATACAGATAAATAATCAAAAATATGACATTTCGTTATTTGCTTTTATTTTTTATTAAAAGCTGTTAATAACTTTCAAACACAATGAATTATAAATTGTAATGACCTGTTGGATGTTTGAAGGTACATAAACATTTTATAATGAATAAAATAAAATCCTGCTGGTCTGTTTTAATACATGTACAATATCAATTGTATCAGGAGAATTCCATTACAGGAACTACTAAATTAATATTTGTAAAAGAGATTGCAAAAAATGTTTATCTTTAACCTATCCTGGGTCATTCGACATGTTACCTAATTTTGCATATGTCAAGATAAAAATCCCCAGAATGTCCAAAATTTTGCAACATACAGATAGAAGATTGTTTAGTCTAATATGTACCACCAATGATTAATCTTTGGGGGTGTTATATAACTATTTGATAAAAAAAATTGATATGTCTATAAAACTTCAGTTTCTCTTGTTAGGTTCAAGAAGAATGTTGAAAAAATATGTATACCAAAATGTAATAAGACAGTGATTGCAATGAGACTGCCTCTGTGGTAAGTGCTTATTCGACATAAAAACAATATTCAACAGATAAAATGCAAAAATGAATTGAGAGATCAAAAAGGTTACGAGTTATGTAACACCTGGCAAATTCATGTGCATCACTGGAAATATGCAGTATTCATTTTAAATATTCACGATATCATATTCTCCAGACGATTTATTGAGAATTAAATGCAAAAAGTGAGGAACACCTGATGAAATATAAAAATGTATGTGCTGATTATGTCACCAATGTCGGCAAAGTGCATGAAGTACAAACTCACCACAAAAACAGCAATAACACATTATAAACACTATAAGATACAGTCGGTTACACAAAGAAGTATTACAATACCTGGGTAACATTTTTAGGCAAATTCCTCGCCACGGAGGCAGCTAAACGGGCCGAAAGCAGAGACATTTTTGCTGATCCAGTCGTCCCAGTGCCAAAAAATGGAGAACGAGAAATGAAGATTAGAAACGTCACTTTGCGCCGAATCGGAAACAGCACGTGACCTCTATCGGTTATTTTTAGAAGCTCATTAGGCAGTTTTACCTCACCGACCAGTTGACCTGTTATAGTACGGTCAAATTGGGCAAATTCTAAAAAAGCAGGAATAATAATGGGATTAAGCCTTTATTAGTATTATATATTATTTACTATATGTTTTGTTTTAAGTATTTTATTAATAAAATATTGAACCTAAATATTTGTTGCTAATTGATCCCTCTTGGAGGACCGTTCAATGACTTTCCAGTTTAATGTTGAATGGCCTAGAGATTATATTGCTTCCAGACAACTATTAAATATTTGTTGTCCATTCGCTTACCTTTATTGTAAAAAATATATTGAGATCAGACGTGTTTTCCAAGATGCATGTTTTCCTGATATAGCACCTGCATGCATATTTCTGTAATTATTCATGCTTAAGGCAGCCCCGTAAACGTACATTTACACCGACAGAGCTGCCTATAACTAACGGAAATGGACTTTATAGCTGTCAAACCAAAAAAGGAAAGCGTAAACAGCGTAACGTCAAAAAAGTAGCTTATCCACAACCATGTAGAACCTGTCGTAGTGAACGTACCCCTTACTTGACATGTCAAATGACAAATCACAGAGGACAGAATAAAATGACGGCAATGTCAAATTCAAATTTTCAAAATTTGAGGTTAAAAATAAGTTCAAATTTTGAAGGTTTTGCTTGTGAAGCAAAAAAAAACATGAAATTTCGAGCTGTTATTACCGAAGCTCCCGCTATGAGGGATTTTATGAGTACGTTAAGTGCAGTTCTTTTATTATAGCCAGTATTTAACGCACTGTACTTTTTCAGATATAGCATTGAGTTTATCAAAGTTTTCCAAAGAGTGTGTAATGAGAATAACTACAAGAAAGGTCTATTTTATTATCTCGGAAGAAGATTCTGGACCACGACGTCCTTTGGTGTGGTGTGAATTACCCATAAATTTTTATTTCAAGGAATACAATGTTGTAGGAGTTAACCAGCAGTTCAATGAAATATATTTAGAATTTTCTACAGCATTACTCGCTCGATCATTATCTGTGCTGAAACAGAATGTTAAGTCTTGCAAGATTAAGTTGACTGATAAGGACTCACCATGCCTAACAATAGAAACAGAATTGGTAAATAAATTTTCAGTTTCAGCATCTGTCGATCAATTTCTAATACAATGAAATATGTTTAACAATAAAACATATAATCTTTATTTCAGATGGCTGGAGATATCATCAGTAGACAGGTTGTACATGACATACCAGTTGAAGTTATTTCAAGAAAACATTGGTCTGACTATGAAGAACCCCATTTTAATGACTTCCATGTTAGTCTCATTATGACATGCCAACAAATAAGAGTGAATTATATGAGTTTTCTTTCAGGTCACTATACAAATGCCTAATCTGAAGTTTTTGAAGAATATTGTTGATAAAATGAGAAATACGAGTCATACACTGATTGTTAGTGCAAATAAAAATGGCAGGCTTACATTACAAGTTAAAACAAATATGATCAATTTGTCAGCCCACTTTACAGATTTGAATGTGGATAGCTTTGCTGGTAAAAACTTCAAAATACTTTCAATTCATCCCAGTATAGGTACAGCAAAAATTGAATTTCATAAATTTTATTACCCTGATTTAGAACCTTTTAAACTTATGTTTTCTATTTCTATTACAATAATTTCAGTTTTCATCTCCAAGAAATTATTCACATTTTTATAGGTAGGTTGTGTGTAAGCTGTAGACTGAAACTTGGTACTATAAAATAGCACAATAAACATTTTATATTTTTAGTTGGTCACACAACTACCAACATACACAGTGCTATAGAAGAAAATGATTCAGATCTTATTCAGTCTGTTGTGGACATAAAGAAGTTTGTCATGTTCCTATCAGGTCTACAGATCAACAATTGTAGGACCACTTGCAGTATTGTCCATAGCAAAATGGTGAAGCTCTACATGGATCAACCTGGATCACTTTCCATTCAAGTATTCCTTACAGAAATGAGTTTGTGAAATTGTTAGATTATGATAAGGCTAATTGTGATGTTTACTGGTTGTATTATCTACTATTAAAATTAAATTATTTCACTGCTTTGCTTTTGAATCAGTTTAAAGGAAAAGGAAAGGGGTTCATCAGATCTCTTGTAAGCCTTATTATAGATCCTATTAATGTGTCCAAAGATATGACATACAATTAATGATATCCAGATGCTGAAAACTCTGATAACAGGAAACATTTTTAAATTGTACCATTAATTAACATTTCTTCCTGGAATATTATGATCAATGGTTGCATGTACCCTGAAAATAAAGCCTTGGTGACACGCTGATGGGGTTATTGCTTGTTTAATTGTTTAAGATTTATTCAACTTGATTGCTACAATATTACATTCTTCTGAAAAACTAAACAATTACATAACAGATATTTAGAAAAAAAAATTTCATTGTCCATGAAATATTCCTTTAATTTTCTTTTAAACAACTTTGAATCACAAGAAGACTTTATATACTTATTTAGTTTGTTAAATTCAAGTAATCCTTTCTGAAATATTGACTTGATAGTTATATTACTATTGCAATTTTGTAAATGCAAATCTATATTTCCTTTTGTATAACAATTGTGGTAATGATTATTCAATTCTATGTAGTGTTCCAATTGTTGTGGCAAAAGATGATTTTTTATTATAAGAATAATCAAATATATGATTTTTTTATATCCAACCGCTGCAATTCTTGTAACAGATTTTATTTTGGTGTACTTATTTTCATTCAATACTATTCTCATAGATTTACTTTGAGAATACAGCTCCATTGGCAGTGAACAAGATAGTTGAATAATATAGTAAATGCGGTAGAATAATTATATTATGAACTATTTTCTTGGAATATGTACCAAGACTATGAGAAGCCCTATAAAAGTAATTTGTTTTTTTTTTGCAATTTTTAAAATAATGTATTCATAGTGATCCTCAAACTTTGGTTTACTATCAATATATATATATATACCTGAATATTTAATTGATTCAACATTTTCAATTATTTCACCATTTATCCTAACTGATAGTATTTTCATTTAGGTATGTTATTTCCCAATTAGCGTACAGTTTGTTTTAGAAGTAGGTATGCAATTTTAGTTTATTACATTTAACCAATTTATGATTTTTGCAAAGTCAAAACTCAGCATTTTTAAAGAAGTGTCTGTATTTTCATCTGATATGTATAATGTCTACAAATATCCGAGTTTTACAATAATCTAAAATATTATAAATGCCATTAATGTATAAAATAAATAGAAGTGGACCTAGTTTAGTACCTTGTGGGTATACCAACAGAAATATTTTTTGATTGTGGTAATATAGATCCAATTTTGGTGTTTTGACTTCTGTCAAATAAATAATTTTGTGGAATTTGGAATAGTGATGCAATTTTGTAAGTAATTTATCTCTGTCAATAGTCTCAAATGCCCTTTTGAAGTCCAAAAACACTGTTACTGTATGTTTCCTATTACATACATCTGCTCCAGTCATTTAAAACCATTTGTGTTGTTGTTTCAATTGAGTGTTTCTTTCTGAATCCAGCTTGAAATTTGGTTAAAATGTTATTTCCCTCAATAAATTTTATGATTGTTTGTAAATAATTTCTTCAAAGACTTTTTCAACATCCGGCAGAAGATTTATTGGCCGCATGTACAACTCAGAATTCTTAACTTTGGAAACAAGTTATGGTAGAACACTTCAGTTTTGTTGGAAATTCGTCATATTTTAAACAGTAATTCATCAGGATTCTTGCTCCAATAATATCAAAACATTCATTACGCACACTTTTGGACAAAATCTCACTCTTATTTTGATTTGATTTAATTTTTGATATAAACTTGAAACGATTAATGTGTATTATTCTAAACTTACTGAATGAAGCATTATAATCTGAGCTAATGGGACATTGGTTGGGATCCCCCATCAATAATTGATCTTACAATGTCGTTGACACTTTCTATGAAATAGGTATTCAGTCGATCTGCTATTATTTCTTCATTTTTTATTACCCCGTCGTAAAATTTCATTTTAGATGATGTATTTTTTCAGATAGAAACAATGTTTTTCAACGTTTTCCACATCTGTTTGCTATTATTTTTACTCTCATCAATTTTGGCATTGTAATATTTTTTCTTTTCATATCGTAGAACTGGTACAGATTGGTTTCTTGATTTTCACTCCCAGTAATAATAATACAGTACCATGACTGTGCATCATGTCCGCCATGTTAAACTTCCTATTAACGAATGTTGTATCATGTCAAATATCTAGAAAGTTATAAATCGTCTGCCATCGTGGATGGTGGCACATGCAAAATGCAGTAATGGGTGTCAAGCTGTTTGAAGTGATAATGAATGTCAACTTAACAGCATGCTAAACGTTCGAATCCTTCGATCGAATATTAAACCCTGCAGAAATAACCAACACTTAAACATAGGAATAACATTCTTACCTATCGGGAAGTAAAAACAAAAATATTTAAATTTTTCAATGTAATAAAAAGTATAGCTAACATAATTATATTATAGAATGTAGAATATTTTTTTATACAAAAAACAAACTATCGTTGCTAATAAATGCATCATGTAATATAAAATCTATTTGTGGCTCAAATCTTCACTGCTATCCAAACATTTATCAACATGGTCATTTATCAAATCTTGTGAAATGACTTTTATACAAATAGGACATATAGATTTATCACTAGAGCTGCCACTATCACCCTCCTCTGGTTCAGGAACTTCAAAAATCTTACTCATGCCATTACAATCTTCCAGATGTTCATCCAATTCACTCCTCGAAATCTGCTTTCCACAAGCCACGCATTCAGTCATCTCATTGTCTTTGTACTTTGCATCAAGGTCGTCCAACAACGCAGTGAGGCACTGCTCTACATGTTCTTCATACTGATCTTCAGGAACTGACTGTTCACATGAGCCACACCACTTGACATCAAGTGTATCCACGCATTTAGCAACATGGCTTTCAAAATAACATAAGGATACGATTTCTTCACAAACAATGCATTGTCTGTAATGCTCTTTAGTGAGACATTCGTCAAGATGTTCATTGAGCCTTTCAGTTGAAATCATTTTTTGACAAGCAGGGCACTGAGTGCCAACTGGGACTATATTTTGAGCAGTATCTGAAAGTGGTTTTCTGGCTGCATGATTTAAGTTATGGAATTCAGTATCATTCGAATGACGACTAATATTTCTTTCATTTACTTTTGGCACTTTGGAAGATGTATCATTCAGTTTTGTTTTCTTTAAAGGTCCAACATGATTTTTGGTAACTTTTGAAGGTACATCGCTCTCACTATGTCGGCGTTTGCCAAAATCAGGGTCAAATTTCTGTAACCACTTGTCCCTTAGTTTCTTGGGATCCACTTTCCGACCACCCAAAACTTTGCCTGCTCCTTGCATTACATTAGCTGGCTTTGGTATCTTTGGCACTGTATCAACATCTTTAATAGTACGGATGTTATTATCTATAAGCTTTGCAGTAGTATGAGTATTAGAAGCTTTAGATTTACTAGAAGTAGGAGTCACTTTTGGCGGTGATTTTGATGTGGGAAAATATTTCCTAATATCTGCTGCTGCAGAATTTGGATTTGATTTTGATTCTGACTTCGTTCGTTTTGGTTCTGGTTTAGGAGGCTCTTTCACCTGAAATAAGTTACTGACTTAGTAGCTATTTTTTATGGCGCTTCTAAATTACTGCAATAGAGTAGGCAGCAACATTTCAGCTAGCAATATATTGTCATCAGATTGCCGACCAACGCCACCTATGGGACGCTAACCTTTTCAAAGTAAATATATACCCTACTTCACGAGTATCCATCACGCTATGACGTCTACTGAGGTGTACAACTGATCAGCAAGTGACATTTTTGTGTTAGTCTGCAACGTTGGCTATAATGAATCGGGTGTAAAACTAGTAAAACTTGTTTGTAACGTTTTGTTTTTTGTATGCAAATGAACTTTTCTAAATAAAAGAGCTTTTAGCAAGTATAAAATGAATCTGTAGGGTACAGAAAACCAAAACAAAATATTGCCGATATGGGGAATTTTCAAATATTACTATATAATCAGCTGTCATTCTATGTAATGGATAATCGTGAAAAAGACTTTAGATATAGAAACAGCTGTGACAAATTCTCATAGATGATGATAGATTTATAACCTTTCCGATGAGAAATTCTGAAAGTGGAGGCAATATTTTCATGATGTAGCCAAGATATTGCTGATATAGTCAAGAAATATAGCCGGGTCATTAAGATCCAATATGGTTATAATGGCTGGGCTACGAGAGCAGATGCCACAGTTAATGGCAAATATTGCTACAAAAATGTTGCTCATTTACATGCTCCATTACAGAATTACATATTGTTCTGTTCATGGTGCAGTATACTAAATTAGTTATGCAACCAAACCCAAAAAACAAATGAAAATTAACTACCACATGGACTATTATGGAAAGATTGGTGTCTTTATCATTATTTATATTGAACAGTTGATAGAAATTATCATATGAAATTTGCGTTAAATTAAGGAAATTCAAAAACTCTTGCGAGTCAGCAATCTCTACAAAAACAGGTTAGTTGAGAACATCGGGCGTGTACATTCAGAATCTGTAGTCACTCTTTCGCTGAAATCGATGAGAGGTCCCAACAGACACATTTTTTTTTCTACGCCAAATAAGGCATCGTGACAGATTAGCGTTTTTTAATGACCATATTCGGAATCATAGACCCAAATTATTCCAGTGTGCCGACTCTTGTTGCATTGAGAAACTTTATAATTTCGAGGCATATTTGATCATTCCAAGGCATTTCTTCTAGATTTTCAGATTACTATTTATCAGTGCCATCTTAAGCTGCACATTATACAGCTTTAGGGACCCAAGGGCCTAGTGAAGTGCGGGGCCCTCCTTAGAAATTTTTTTAAATTTCATTTGATTTTTGGGCTACTGCCCCCCCTTCCAAACAGGGACCCTGAGCACATTTCGAGTGTACCATTAGGGTAATTAATAATTCTTACCTTTATGAAAGTTCCCCCACAACCTCTTGCATGCTCTCCCCACCATCTGTCTTGAGGCCCTGGAGCTCTGTTGATTGCTCGGCATAACATTCCAAATCTGGGTTTCCACCTTTGACAGGGACCATTACAACGCCACCAGTGTTGCCGATAGTGGTTCACTTCATCATGGAAGTCATGGTACACTGTGATGTGGGTACCTAAGGGAGCACATATGATGAAGAGGTATGGTCAATACGGTTGACTAGAATAGAACAATCAGCGTGAAGTATTAACGATTTTATTAATTTAAGAGACATGTACGAGGTTTTTTTTTTATACTCCAACTACCACGAAGGCCTAAGGCCTAAACACCCATTGGGTACCGTGGGGCTATAGGGGGATACAGGGGAAAGGGGCAACGCCACACGGACTCTAGCGAGGGAACACGAAAAATTTCTCCTGGGACGGGACTCGAACCCGCACAGCGCACGGCGACTGATCAGGAGACCGAAGAGTCTACTACTGCGGCTACCGCTGCTGCCTGAGGTTTGTAAATTAAGTGATGAGACTGGCAACATAGTTGTTCGATCTGGCAACACTGGAGGGACAGACTTTGAGAGGGGACAGAGGAACGTGTGGTCCGCCTTCAGAACAAATTTGAACTCGCTCGAGTCATTTGGTTGTCCATTGTTTTTTTTGTAATTTTTTTCCTATTGTGTACTAAAAATGAATCACATCAATTTCGAGCAACACAGCGCTATCTGCTTACGGAGGTAGTGTTTTGTCAGAAGCCCAGGTTTTTCGGGGGTTTAAGGCGTTTTCAGGAGGGAGAGAGAGTTGATTGAAGATGAACCACGAAGCGGAAACCGATGAAAATATCGACAGAATCCGGGATCTTGTGCGTTCAGATCGTCGGTTGACAGTCAGAATGATTGGGGAAGAGTCATCGAGCAACACAGTGCTATCTGCCTACGGAGGTAGTGTTTTGTCAGAAGCACAGGTTTTTCGGGGGTTTAAGGCGTTTTCAGAAGGGAGAGAGAGTTGATTGAAGATAAACCACGAAGCGGAAACCGATGAAAATATCGACAGAATCCGGGATCTTGTGCGTTCAGATCGTCGGTTGACAGTCAGAATGATTGGGGAAGAGTCAAATTTGACTCACATCACCATTCATCAGATCAAGAAGAACTGGGTGTTGCATCACGATATTGCTCCTTGTCACACAGCAATGTCAGTAAACGTGTGTTTGGCCAGTAAAAACATTCCTGTGGCTCCTCAACCTCCATAATGGGCTGACTTGAGTTCTTAGGGCTTTTTTATCTTCCCGAAGTTGAAAAATCACCTCAAGGAACTCATTTTGGGACAGTTGAAAACATGGGCTTCATAAGGAAGTTACTTTGTCAGTCTCATCACTTGATTTACAGACCTCATATGGTATTCCATGTCTGAAACAATTTTGTTGCACAGTAATACTGATCCAAGAGGTGACAGTTGCATAGATCTGAGTGAATGTGTGTGTTTACACGGGCTATGTAAATCAATGACTACAGAAAACCAGGCGCCAATGCAAATGCAAAAAGTGACTAAATGTTGTGAATTTGAACATTAGTGAGAACATGATAACAAATTTATGGTTACCCATATTGAAAGATGTAAGTGGACAACATGTGAGCATTCCACACAAAGTGTTTGAAGCAGCAACCATTTCAGGACACCAACATTTGTGATTTAACTTTTGTCATAAAGTTTTCTGCAATCACATTAGGGATGTCACAATGAATGAAAAAAACTGATTAACAAAAAACCACCTTTTTTCAATGTCAATTGATTTGTTAAAAATAGATCTTTGAAGAAAAAATCTATTTTTCTGAATTCTTTCCTTCAGTCCTTAATCATGCTTAGGTCCAGAAGACAAAACATTCTTGATAGGAAGTTGGAGTATTGAAATACTCTATGTTGCTACTTTGTAACTATTTACCTGCATCGGCATTGATCCTATACATATGTTTGTGAAATTCTGGTCCATGATCTGATCTGTCTTTGTTATTGAATGTCACAAAGAGAAAAGCATGTATCATTTCATGCAACAAAGTATTAATGAGATCTGCCCTTGGTCTCAATTTTAAAAGAGGAGCACTAAGAAATATCTGACATTCCCACATCCATCCTTTGGCCCTAAACAAAGTACGACCTGAAAATAATTAATGCACAGATTCTATGAAGTTTGAATTGAATTGACCTCTGAATCTATTTCCACAGCCCTTACAGTACATAAACTTAAAATATTATGTACAACTATGATCCAACCATTAGAGAATTTACAGTTTCTACAAGTTGTAATCAGGTTTTCTCTGAATAACAATGAAAATTACACTAACTGTATTTAACTGCAACAATATCTGAATAGATTAACACGTTCAGTGCGAACAGCGTCAAAAGACGCCCTCCGCTCCTGTGGTGGGAGGCGAACGGCGTCTTTCGACGCTCTCTGCCGCCTTCCAAAAAAGTATTTCAGTTTCTGAGGTGGGTATCCTCATCCCAGTTCGCAGTCAATGTGTTAAGTCAATAATGTGAAAACAACAAACTTAATTTTAATATAGCAAAAATTATCCACAATCAATTTTGTTTTGCACTCCAATGAAACTTTTTACAGTGTTGGGGGTAGAACTACTTTTTGTAACTGTAGCATATTCCTTAGTGTGCAATTTGTCTTTCATTTATGTCATTTTTATGTTTTTTGTCTTGTAAAACTTTTATCATTAATTAAAAATTACTAAAATTTTAATCATTTAAACAGCTGGGTAAAGGTAATTGCTAATTTGGATCTTAAGACTATCTATTGTGGATTATTAGGTGTGAGCTGTTTTTATATTTAGAAAGTACCCAGCAGTACAGAATATCATAATTGATTAAATACCTGCATCACTGAGGAATCTTCCCCATTGTACTGAAACTGCTACAATTTGCCCACTAAAAAATCTCTGGTTGAATGCCTCAAATAAGGCATGGACATCTGGTGTGGGATCTATCAGTTCCCAAGAAGGGTCAGTCAGAGAGTTTTTTTGATCATTAGCTGACTGACTCTTAGCTTTGTTGCTTGGTAATTTATGTACCCCATGTACCCTTACTGCCATAGTGCAAGCAAATACGTTAGATTACACCATCATTTGCTTTATAGTAATCCTGGCTCGCCAATATTAGATAATAAACCGTTGCAAAATTTGACCAAACAAACTAGCTCAAGCTCCACAGAATCAGAAGCCTTTCTACACTTTTTCAAGGGACAGTGCCCTAGGTAGCATTAAAACCGTATGGACTTCGTAAAGATAGAAATTACACTTGACTCTGTTCGAGTGTTCGTGTGCTTTTTTAAACCAGTTTTTCAGAAACGTAAAAAAACCTCAACAAAAAAAATGTCCTCAATTCAAATGTGTTTAGTTTACGAAACCAACCGAACCGATCAAACATCAAATTAAAATTTCTTTTGATATATGACTGGAACTGTCAAACACAGACGAATGAAACAGAGGTAGCAGACACACACGTAAAATGATCTTACGCGACGATTCTTTGTTCATACTGACATAACTTCAGGCAGCAAAAATAGTTCACATGAAAAGCAAGGTTAAAAAGAGTAGCTGATAAAGTTAGTTCATATATAAATAATTAAGATGTTGACAAAGTTCAGGTTTGCCAGCTAGCCTGTAGATAGCGCAAAACGATAACGATTTGTAGCATTGCCATTCTTCTAATTCTTGCTTTATGGTTTCCTCATTCTATGGCATTGACAGACAACTTACCATCTTGTCAATTATTTGTTTTGATTTTCAGTTGTGGCAATGTGGATGATTTTCATCATTTTCATTATTGGTGGTGATTAAAACAAAGAGAACATTACTGTCTGGCTTGGCAAAACATTGTTTATAATATATATATATATATTTTTGTGCCTGCATCATATTTTTCGGTACAAACATGTATATTCCAAATTTCCTATTCGCATTAGCACTGCTTTTTGTTGCCCATGCAGAGACCAGTGTAGAAGAGGAAAACGATGAAAACAACAGGTATAACATCGAAGGGCGCATTTTCCCACTGTCCGACTACCATACAACTCAAGCCAATTGGCAAGCTAACACCAGAGTCCACGTGAATGGAGGAGAATATCTTGGCTTCGTTAAACGAGATGGCTCATTTGTAGTACACAACTTACCTGCTGGATCTTATGTTGTGGAGGTGTTTAATCCAGAGTATACCTTTGAGCCTGCAAGAGTCGAGATCAACTCCAAAGGAAAGTTTAGAGCAAGGAAGGTTAATCATATCAGAACTTCTGAGGTCATTGTGGTACCTTACCCATTGAGGATGAAAGCATTAGGTAAATATTTATGGGTCTACTGCAACAATTTCTTATAACTGTTCTGTCAAAGCAAAGGCAGAACTATGAAGACATACTGCACATTGAGCCTTATAATGTGATTGTAAGAGCATGCTATGTGCCCCTTTCTATGTCCTTTGAGCCCAAGAGACCTTAGATCTGCCACTGTGGCTAATAGCTCATTCCTGTTGCCAACTATATACAAAGTTTTTGCAATAGCTATCTCTCTAATATTAATTAGAATATTCTTCTATATTTAGCTTGTACAATTTATTTTTATTTCAACATATTTAAGTCCTCATCCAATCATCTGCTCATAAGCACCTGCAAGGGGATGTGGCCTCTCATGAGAATTTGATTGGAACTTAAAATTTGCATATTTAACATGATTTTGTGTTCAACTTTATGGATTTGCTCTTCAAATAGTTTTTAGGCAAGCACAAAAAATTGTCTCTTGCCAAATTGGCCACCCTCTAGATGCTTTTGCTTCAGTCCAAATTCTTTATTGAGACAGAGCAAAAAATAAATGTTTATATTTTAAATACTACTATTACTACTTTTGAAGCTAAACCTTACCCAGATATATTGTTTCAGGTAAAACAAGATATTTCCAAGTACGAGAGCAATGGAGGATAACAGATCTTCTCTTCAACCCAATGGTGATGATGATGGTACTTCCATTGCTTTTTATCATGGTTCTGCCCAAAATGATGAATGATCCAGATACCAAGAAAGAAATAGAGCAAATCCAGAATATGGCAAAGTTCGAGTTACCTGAGATGTCCGATATGGTATCCAATTTCTTAGCCGGTTCTACTATGCCTTCAGAGAAGAGTGAGAAGAACCAGGTTTCTGCTAGTAAGAAGAATGCCAAGACAAGGAAGAGGGTAGATAAGTAGTTTAATAAAAAGTACAACTAGATACAAGAAATAATTTAGATTTGCTTATTGTCTCTTTTAAGTGATGTTTTTTCTTAAACATGTGTGATTTTTATAATATAATGCACTGAGTAATGTGATAAACACTATCTTTCATAAAAGTTAACATGCAATAATTTCTCCAATAATTTTTTTCTTTTTAGTTGTGATAGTTCCATTGATTTAAATTTAATACCACTTTTGCAGTCAGTGCATTGTTTATATGTTGTTGATACCTACTTTACTTGTTGAACAAAATATACTTCACATTTTTATGATTCAGTGTGTTTTGATCACCTTCTCACCCATTTTAACTGATAATTACTTCTGTATGTTGGAACAAGGATTAGTATCATTTGCTTTTGATTCCAATATTGTTTGTATACTATTTTTGTTTGTTTGTATTACTAATTTTGTACAGTAACTTCATATCTATTTTGGAATAGTATATGTGCAGTGCATTGTTTTCATTTTCTTTTGAGAGTATGAATAAAAAGATTTACTAAAAACATGTATATTTAAAAATTTCCATAAAAAATATATTGAAGTTTTCTACATATATATGATCATACTTTGAACAAATAATTCAGATTTATGCAATAAAGGTTCCTGTTATTTAAAGTTCACTTATTTAGATAGTTTTCCTGAATGTAGTATGTGAAATTGAACCATAACATGTTTGAGGACCTTATAACATGGATGTATGACCAAACAGATAAATTTTAACAAAACATATAAAAAGTTTGACAATGAAAATGAAAAAGATCACTTTACAATACACTCATCAATGTGTTTGTAAATATCTTCATACAAGAACAGCTTTATGCAAATAGGGCAGGCACATAGTTCACCAACAAGGTTTTCTTCTTCTTCATCTGAATCCGCTTCGTTTTCTACAATTTCCACTAAACCATCACATTCTTCCAAATGTAGATTCAACTCTTCCATCAAAATACACATACCACAAACGATACAATTAGTCTTTCCATCATTTTGCTCGAAAAGCCTAGGTACACAGTTTTCTACATGATCATTATAATTCTCTTCAGATATGATTTCTTTGCATACCTCACAATATGAGATGTTCTCATCAGTCGGAGATTCTTCTGCTTGGCCACATGTCTCAACATGTCTATCATAATCTAAAACAACTATTGAACTGTCGCATGTAGCACAATACTTGTGGGTATTAATGCAATCATCTACAAACGATGATTGATGATGATCCGAACATTTGGCAAGGTGTCTTTCAAAATCTTTCAACAATATTTTGCAACTACATATAAGGCACTCTTTGAATTGCACATCATTAAATTTCTTGTCGACACAACTAATAACATGTTCTTCATACTCTTCTCTCGGAAATGGCTCACTGCATACTATACAATCTTTGGGTTGTCCTTTTTTCAGGCATTCATCTAGGTGTTCATTGATGAAATGCATATCTACAATTTCGTCGCATGCTGGACATGGAGAGATACTTCTGGAACGTTTACCTACGATTGCTGTCTCAAGAGAGCAACCTGCACGGCGTTTTGAACCTCTAGGTTGTGGACCCTTTTTGACTGCTTTTTTGCCTTTGGTCGCCATCTTTACTGGTTTAGCATCCATATCACCGGGTTGTCTGACCTAAAATTGTTGTATCATTGACACACTGACATCGTAAAAAATGGCCCGAATTTGCATTTTAATATACAGGGTTTGTCCGGAAAGTAATAGGACGCATTTTCTTCCGCCATGACTGTACTTCGGAGCGTGCGCGCACCGACTGGATTCAGTAGAGGGCGTTCCTAGCTAATGGATGAGCGGCTGGTCAGTTGTCTCCGAGCACTTGGAGAGTCAAGACAGGCATTTTCGCGCGACCTGTTTCTGTGAGTGGTGCAAGCCGAAAATGCGGCGTTCGTTATAGCAGAGGTACGCGATTAAATTCTGTGTGAAACTTGGTAAATCTGCGACAGAGACGTTTGATATGATCAAGCAGGCTTACGCAGGTGTTGCTTTAGCAAGAAGTGGTGTGTTTCGGTGGCACCAGGCCTTTTTGGAGGGCCGGGAAGAGGTCGCTGCTGAAGACCGTGCTGGAAGACCGTCGACTAAGTATTCGTTTAATTACCCAGATGTTAAATTTACGAAAATCTGTGGTTCATGACATTGTGACACAGCATTTGAACATTCGCAAGGTGTGCGCGAAGATGGTCCCAAAAGTGCTCACTGACGACCAGAAATTGCGGCGAGTGGAAGTGTGCCAAGAAAATTTGAACATGTGTGAAAGTGACCCCCAATTTTTGAATAACGTAATCACAGGTGACGAGTCGTGGATCTTTGAGTATGATCCCGAGACAAAGAGGCAATCTTCCGAATGGCACACGACGGCGTCTCCTCGCCCAAAAAAGGGAAGAATGAGACAATCCAAAGTGAAAACGATGCTTATAGTCTTTTTTGACATCAAAGGCATCTTCCACCATGAATTTGTTCCTCCTGGACAAACCGTCATCGCCAAGTTTTACGTGGAAGTGCTCAGGAGATTCAAACGAAGGGTCAGTCGGGTCCGTCAAGACATCGCAGCAGACTGGAAATTGCACCACGACAATGCCCCGGCTCACACCGCCTTTCTTGTGAACAGCTACCTGACCAAGGCCGGCATCCCAACGCTTCCGCAGCCGCCCTACAACCCAGATGTGGCCCCCCCGGACTTTTTTGTTTCCTCGCCTGAAAAGGCCGATGAAAGGCAAGCATTTTGAGACGACAGAGGGGATCCAAGCAGTATGCACCGCGGCTCTCAAGGCTATTCCGGAGAATGCCTTCCGTGACGCCTTCAATGCTTGGAAATCGCGCTGGCAGCGCTGCATCGACGCAGAAGGAGCCTATTTTGAAAGTTTTTTAAAGAATTGTAACGATTGGCTCAATACATTTTTTTTAAACCGAGTCAGTCCTATTACTTTCCGGACAAACCCTGTAAATGAATCGGTCATTTCAAAAACCGCTCAAGTCCGTTTTTGTACAAATGTTTACCAAATACGCTTCATTAGAGGTAGGTGCATTCTGTGTGTACACCTCGTAAGTCACTACATTCCTTCCCCTTCAAGGACATTTGAAGGTCAAATCGGTTTTTTAAACCGGAACCCAAGGTTTTGACCACGAAAATAAATAGATCGGAACATTTTACGTTCAATAGGGTGTTACCATTCTTAAATTGTGACCTTGGGAGGTCATGGTCCAGGTTGAACCCAGGTACGGTGATATATCTTGAAAACCAGTAGTCGTATAGGGAAATTACCAAGACATTTTCATGATTTTTCTCTGAATATCAAATGATCACCTTGGAACTGACATTAACCATGATGACCTTCAAGGCCATGTGGTCAAGTAGATTTTTGTAGGCACGAAAAATCCTGAACGAATAGTGAAGTCTATCTGGGGATTACACAGCTTTCTGAATTATGAAGAAATTAAGGTAAATTTGTGTTTGACCTTGATGGTCAAGTTCTAAAAATGGCCAGGGACATAGTCGAATATAAAATTTTTTCCTTTCCTCCATATTCGCCCCGACTTTCGCGATCAAAGGTATAGGGTCCCATTAAACGAGTTGACCTTCAAATGACCTTAAAAGGCATAGCCAAGATCACCATTGGATATCCGGGGGAAAATCATCAAAATAATGTCTGTGTAGTTTCAATATATGACTACTGGCTTTCAAGTTGTATCAGCGTACAATGTCAAATCCAACCCCGCCACCAGCAAAGGAGATGAAAATTTACAGGGTCTATCAGTATTCAACCCAGGTCCCAGGACAGTTGTAGGTAAATTGCGTTGTATATAATCAGATTTGAACAAACAGAAATTGGCATATTCCTATGGCAATACCTACTTGTAGATTTTATATTATTTTACGGTGTCTTAATATTACTACGGATGCTTTGTGTGTTCAGATAGTATTCCTGGGTGTTTCTAGCCCGCGCGTCGTACATTTCTTTATTTCGTACAAAAGCCATTCGTAGGAACTTCGACATGGGCGCAGTACAAAACTCACTACATTCCTTCTCCTTCAAATAACACCACCTTCAAGGTCATTTGAAGGTCAAATCGCACGAAAATAAAAAGATCGGAAAATTTTACGTTCAGTAGGGTGTTACCATTTTTAAATTGTGACCTTGGGAGGTCATAGGAATTGTAAATTCGTATAAATAACAACATTGGTTTGGTGCTGCCCGTCCAGCGGTGTACGCTTTGTAAGGGCAAGGGGGCCTGAGTCACATGGCGAGTGACTAGATTAAAGGGCTGTCAAATGAGATCATTGATTTTAGTCATTGCAGCACAGAATTTTACAACGGTCGCGGTTTACGAGATAAAGGCTTCCTGTGATAGTGAGATAATTTAGTTGTGCAATATATTAAATGATAACAATGTTGCGATACCATCAGTTACAATCCTTTCTTACCTTGATAAAAGTGCCTCCACATTTCCTCGTATGTGTTGCCCACCATCGATCTTGCGATCCGGGAGGTTTATTCCTCATTTTACGTACTAGTCCAAAATTAGGTCTCCATGTTTGACAAGGACCATTGCAGCGCCACCAGTGTTGCTTAGTATAAAGGTCAACTTCATCGTGAAACTCATGATAGATTGTTATAGCTGTTCCTGTTTCAAATAACATGGAGGATACTTTTAAATGTACTATAATCTCGTGAAATCTTTTAAAATAGCAAAAGGTCGTTGCGTTGCTAATCGAAAGATAACAGGGTGTTCTAAAAGTTGGGACTTTTTACAGAGACAACGACGCTTAAAATATGGTTGGTGAAACATCAACAAAAAAGTAAAACAAAAAGTGAAGAAATTTCAGTTACCATTTCGTTAGAAGTTGCTAAATTTTAAAGAACCTTTGGGCTTCATAAAATACTTGAAGTGTTAAAAGAATGGAATGTCGGATAACCTGCACAATTTAATATTATTAATAATGGAAAATGCCCGAAAAACTGATCTGGATTAGTGGTACATAACTTTAGAGCGTTTCCAGAAAAAAAAGCATTTTGGAAAAAATGTGACAGGTGGTTTTTGAAATGACCGATTTTCATGATTGTTAACTTTTTCAATTTGCAAAATTCGGGGACGTCTAGGTCTTCCACTGTACCCATTTCGACGTTTCTGCAAACGGATTATGTCCGTAACTACTTGTACGAGATAAAGAAACCCAAGTGGCACGAGATGTAAAGTGCAGAAAAACGATTTGCATACACTCACAAGGAATCGGCAGCATCTTAAAGACACTCACTGTAAACTAATATCATATCTGCAATTTCGATATCTCTATAGGAATTTTCCATTTTCAATTTTAAGATCCGATTTATAAACAGCTCAGTTTTCTTATACGGCACACAGAGCTTGGGTTGGATTTTAATTTTTCACCTAATTCTTTGCGGGCGGCAGGCCAGATTTTTTCAAAACGTAATATCTCGGTAAGTCTGCCTATTTTTACCATGTGCAAATTCCCAACTTTAAGAACACCTCGTATTATCAAGCAAAAAAAATCAGATTTTACAAATGAGAATTCAATAGTCGTGTTTCAATGTGAATGTTAAATTTATTAAACACTTTCGGACCAAGAAGAGCTGTTACATTTTTTCAAACTGACTGTAAAATTATATTCAATACTACCTGCTGCCGTATTTAATCTACGCATATGTTTTTTGAATTCTGTGCCATGTTCAGCTCGATCTCTTTTATTGAATGTGACGAAAAGAAAAGCGTGAATCATCTCATGAAGCAATGTATTGATCAGATCGGATCTAGGCCTCAGTCTGAGCAGTGGTGCACTCAGAACTATTCTGCAATCGTAGTCTTTTCGTCCATCACGTTCTCTAAAGATAGTGACACCTGAAATAATTTGATTTATTTACATGCAGTTCAATGATTTGATAATTAAACATATCTTACCGGCTTCATCCAGAAGCTTGCCCCAAACAACAGTCACACCTTTAATTTTGCCACAAAAATATTTTTTGTTGAATTCCTTGAACAGATTTTGTATATTTGGGGTAGGATCCAGAAGTTCCCATTTAGGATGAGTGAGTGAAGTTGAAGGGTAGTTTCTCTTAGTCCGTAGCGGGCAGAACGTTTCTGGATCCAATAAGGTCAACCAACGACGAGACACTTGCATGATTATTAATACAATTTCCTACTATCATTAGAAACACGAAACAAAGTTTTTGTACAATGAGAAATAAATTGCAAATACTGCTGATTAGGTTTTGAAAAAACTCATTTGACTAAAAAAATACCGAATAACATTATACTTGAATCAAAGGCTTGAAACCTTGAAAATTGTTGTTACATAAACCCTCCTTAATAGTTACTAGCAACTTCTATTCAAATTCACAACTAAAAGATGTAAAAATACTTTTCGTCAGGTATGAAACCTGTTTTTTCTTCAATTTTTTTATTCGAGCCCAATACATTACCAGTGGCATATCAATGTATTTTATTTTCGGAACCTCCTGTACGTAGAATAAGCGACAAAACAAAAATAAAAAAAATAGTCAAATTGGTACATCTAGTTGTATTCAGGACGTTTTTAAGATCTGGGTCAAAGATTCAACCGATGGGTCTATTGGTATGCTGTCTTTTGACGATACGGTTTCCTTTTGGAGATAGAGCGTAGAAACATGAAAATATTATTCTCTAGAATTAATTACTTCATACTTTCGACTGGAGTATTGTAAATCAATAACTCTAAATCGACTCATTGGGAAGGTGCTCTGCGTCCCAAGATTGAGCTGGTGATAAATAATAAGGTTCTTAGTGGAGTTGCTGGATGTAATTCAATAAGCAATGACTTAAAGATTTCGTCAGTCTGTGACAAAGAGCCGTACTCATAAAACAAAAGATATCCTTGTACTTGCAAATTTTGAACGAAATCATCCAGATGGTATTTATAATAATTTGAAGTAAATGCTTTTGCTTTTTGAATATAACCATATCCTTCAAAGCAGTGACATAAGTAAAAGGATATTCATAATCTTCACCTTATACTTGGCACAGGAAGCATATCCCTCAAAAATTCTGAGTGTGGTCAGTAGCAGACTCAACTTCGTAACGATAGGTGGTCAAACGATGATGACGGAAATTGTGGATGTTAGGGATGTTAAAACGTACAAATCTCGTTTACCTTCACTTGGTCGTGACTTCAAAAAATTATATCGGTTCGACGAAGCCAATGTACAATGGTTTGCGGACAGATTTTTAGTTCAGGATGAGGAAACTCGAGGAGGAGCTCTTTCATGTATTCATAAAATGAAGATATGTCTACGCTATCTCGGTGACCCTGGATATCAACAAGATATTGGTCAAGAACTTGGTGTTAGTCAAGCAACGGTATCTCAGACTGTGGATAGAGTTGTGAACAGCATAGTTGCATAGTCGAACGAATGGATTAAGTTTCCACCAACCATGAACTGATGGAGGCCAAGCGGATATGGCAAAGCATGTATAAATTTCCGACAGCAATTGGTGTAATTGATTGTACACATATAGGAATCCTGAAACCAAATCGCTATGGAGATGAGTATATCAACCGAAAAGGGAAACCTATTTTAAGTGTGCAAGCCACTAGTGATGCCAGAGAGATGTTCACAAGTGTTGATGTTAGTTGGCCTGGATTAGTGCATGATTCCAGAATATGGAGAAATTTACAGGCTAGATCACAACTAATAAATAAAGCAAATGTTGTACAACTTGGCGATGAAGGTTATCGTATTGAGCCATGCCTTATGACTCCCTTCAGAAATCCTACTCCAGGTGCAGAAATAAATTATAATAAGCTTTTAAAACAAGAAAGTGTTATAATTGACCGCTGTTTCGGCCAACTGAAACGCCGGTTTCCTATCCTACAGTATGTTTGCCGCGTAAAGTTGGAAAATGTGCCGAAAATAATTATTGCTTGTATTGTACTCCATAATGTTGCGAAGAGCTTGGGCGATCCTAACTTTGAGGTAGTTGAACAAGACCCAGATGAAGATGAAGGAAATCATGAGAATGACGAACTTCCTCTCTGCCAACTAGGTCAACAAATAAGAAGAAACTTGAGTATTATAATAAATAGTTTTACTGATTAAAGCGTATTTTCGTGAACATCATAAATTCCAGGTGGCTTCTGATGGTGCATCATTTCAAATTTCGTTTTATAATACTCTTGTTGAAAAATACTTGTTTGGTACTGCTGTAATAGCACTAGACGTTGCAATTCTTTTGTAGTTAACCCTTTGGTTTCCTCAGTTTCGTATTTCTCTGTTGCTAATTTTCTTTTTGGTGGCAATGTCTTCTGAATTGCTGGCACTGTAATACTGTTTGCTCACTGCGCTCGGTATATAGTTCACTTCCTTCTTCTTGAACACTACCAACCTAAATGGCACCTCTAATTTTCCCAGTTGTAGGATTACAGTCACCTTCCACAGCTTTCAGCAACTTTCTTTCCCAATCTAACAATTTAATTGCTTTATTACCAGTTTTTTTTAGATGTTTTTTTCTTCAATCTTGATTTCATGTTGTTGATTTTTTTTAATAAGCCTTCAGTATCTGATGGTTTACCGAATGTTGATTCGTATTTTTTTCAACATCTTCAAGGCATCGTCCTTTCTCATTTTTATTTTTGGAACTTGTAACTTTTGCAAAATAATGGGAGCAATGGCAATTTCATCTGCGATGAACTGCAGGTCGTTGCCATTATTTTCTATAGTTTCCTCATCACTTGAGGATGACATGCTTATTAATTTGATAAAAAACTGTATCCAGTAAAAATACGGAATGGTCTGTGTAAGCTCTGGAGTACAACTGTCAGTGATGCTGAGTGAACGAACTCCCACGTCAACTACAAGCTGGAACAAGTCAGGACATGTCGCTCAAAATACAAATACCAGGCAACCTTGTACTTCTTCTTGGAGGATATCCTCGCGAGTATAAGGTAATCATTATGAACATGAAAACAAGGATATGCTTATACTTCTACCTTTTTCTCAGAAGCAAGACATTATACTTTTACCTTATGCTTCCGAGGATATGCATCTCTTTTATGAATACTTCTCAAAGATTCTTGCATTATACACTGGAGATGTTCACTAACAAAATACTTTACTTTTCCAAAAATTTATTTCGTCGAGAAAGCGTTTTTTGGAAAATTATCAACGTACAAAATAGTGCAAAGAAATAGTTCTACTGGAAATAAAAATAAAAACAATGAAACGTAAACAACATGTATTTATTAAAAACCAATTTTAATAAATCGGTTTCCTAGAAACTCTTTGTCAATAACATAGGGTCTCTCACTGTTCGTTTTTATACATAACATCATGATCTCGCCCAATACAGACGCTTTTATAAAAAATATTTACATCATTGTACTTTTTGCACATCTATCGCCGAATCGTAATATCTATCGACCAACTAATTTTGACGAACCTTGAATAAACTAAGGTTTTAGCTCAGATTACAATCTACAAATCAAAATCATACAAATATAATTATCCCATTCACTCTTAATCCCTGCAAAATATGACTGGGATTCTGAAAGTACCGACAAATGTATATCACACCACGATGATTAAATCAAGAGAAATGTGTATATGAAAAAAAAAAACTGTATCTGCAAGTTCAAAACTACACTGTATAGCTTAATATTACAGCAAAAAAGGAATTAAAGTATTAGATATAGCTAATAGTTTTTGACCAGAATTAATGTTACTGGTGATGAACTTTAGCAGCATATCTGTTTGAATATGCATTTTCCGTAGTAATGCATTTTACTGGCCTGATGTAATTTAGTTCCTGGACTATAGAGTTGATTCATATCATACAGGCCAGAAACCATCATGCAATTATTTTAAAAACTAACTGATATTGGAGAACAATATTATCGTTATTACTATTTGGAGAACAAAGTTTTGTTTGCACTAGGTTAGGTCAAAATAAGTAAATTCGTTACTACGAAAAAAGCTTCAGACTCAAATGCCAAATATCCAAATACCTGAATAGTTATATTTCATGCATCACTTAAAATTTTTTTTCTGAAGCACCTCTGAAAACTGCCAAACGTTAGTAGAACTGGGAAAAGCTTCATCTTGTGGATTGTTCTACAATCTCGCCACACTAGGTTCCGACAAGCGGCCAGTTCTGGATGTAGGAAGTTCGACTCGGTGAGGATGGGAGGCCAAAGTCAGGCGGGTCTATCTGACAGGAATAAATAGGAGTAAGCCTACGATTTGTTTGTCTCCAAAATGTCAGTCTGTAGTCAGGTTGAAAGTGCATACTACAAGTGGACTTGACATAAGTTAATTATTTGACAGTCATTAAATTCGTATTTTTATTAATTGAGGGTGTTTACGTATAATTGTGGTGTTGGATCATTTCAGGACATGGCACTCCTTCCAAAATTTGCAAAGACAGACACAAGCCTAATGATGGTACATCTTTCCACCGGTAAGTATTATTATTATTATGTCGATACAATGTTGTCACTTTGATAGGCATGGTAGTAAAATATCTCAAAAGTATGCACTAAAACTACGTAATTTTTGGGAGAAACAACACAACATATAGGCTTGACTCCCAATCTATTCGAGTTCGTTGGTTTTGATGATCACCTGTTAGTTCCGAATGCCCAGATACCGCACGAAAGAAGACAAGAGAGACACGGAAAGAGATAAACTGGAGTATTGTGATAGTGTAATTTAAAAAGGGCTACCAAGGCAGTCTAGACGTTCGCAATACTACTAATTCATCATCCGAGGTTTATTGACCAGATTAAGGAAGACTGATCAGAGAGGCAATCACAAGATGAGTTTTAAAAATGTTTATCAATTTTATAAGAAATAAATGTTTAAAGTAGCAAAGGAATGCTTAATAAATGCATCTAGGGTAGGTTATAGCATTCTTTCATCGTAGATATAGGATAAATTAGAAATTACTTGACTAGACTAAGTATCCCAAACTTATTACTTCCAATACAATATATATAAAAATGAACGGCTCCTCAAACATTCCTCTGTCTTAGAGGAGTACATTCATGATTTTATTAGTCATAATTTGACTAAATTCGGCATTTGAATCTGAGTTGCGCAATCAACAAATAAATATATCATGAATTCAGGGAACGCAAGCGGTATTTTTCAGACAGTGTCCATATGATTCAAATAGTCACTGACATCAGTCGCTTTCGTTTCTTGAACATACTCATTGATTGGAATTCTAAAACCCGCCCCTAAAGTTCCTATGGAATAGTCCTCGATTGTTATTCCACTGTTGTGGTCCACCTCTGTTGCCTTTTTGACCACCCCGTGGACTGCTGTTGACACCGCCACCGCGGAACATCATATTGCCTCCACCTCGATTGCCACCCCTTCCTCTTCCTCCTGTCAAGCATTCACATGTGTAAATCATGATATACTATTAAAAAAAATTATATATGCTTGTACTGGGTCTTCACTAAATTGGTTTAAAATATATTTAAATAAGTCGATCACTAATTGTAAAATTATCAAGACATTATATTTCAAATAAATAAAATATAAACATAGGGATACCTCAAGGATTAGTATTAGGCCCGATCATATCTTTAATCTATATCAACGACTTACTAAACTTAATCATAGTTCATAGTCTTTGATGACGATATCACAATACTTTGGCAAAACAAAGATACAAACGAAATTACAACAAAAATTTATAGTGATATACAATCAATCAAATACTTGACATTCAATGTTAATAAGGCAAAATTTATGTCATTTAAATGCTCAATTGATTTTATAAGTGTGAATTATTATCATGTGACAGACTGTAGGAAGCTCTGTATGACTTTTTCACAGACAGGTTTCATTATGTTTTGGGCTCTATATACATCCGAGAGACTGGAATATTCTGGAGCACGCTTTGTATACTCAGTGACACGAAAACTAAACACCCAGCAAAAATGCACTACTTTTTATATAGTTTGTACGTCCATTTTAGATAAGTGTAAAACATGATAAAAAATACTGTTGACATACAGTTGGTGAAAAACATACAAAATATATGAAAGGTACAGGGGAAAAAAGATTAATATCACAAATTTGTTGTTTTGTAGTTAGAACCGGTAACAAGTAGTCTACGCAGTACAATCCCATGAAACGTTAAATAATCATTTGTAAGCAGTTATCATTAATTTGGTTTTGTTTGTTCTATATTCCTTTGAATAGAGATTTTTTGATTCATTGTTTTTTCCTATCACAATTAAAAAAATACTTACACCTAATTCAGTGTTTGAGCTATTGAGGTTAGAAAAAGTCTAATGTTGGCTCTGTGTAATAAATTTCCTGTTAAGGTAGTTCTCATATTAGAACAGATCGTAAAACCCAAGATACGCATTTTGGTGGTTAATAAATCCATAGGTTTTACAGGGTGTCGCATTTGACGAAAGGCTCATTTATAGCCTCAATATCTCAAAAAAAGTTAAATTCGGGCATGGACGCTAACACATAAAAAATGTGTAAAATCATAAAAAGAATCTCAAAATACGAAAGTAAAAAGGATTTTACATCAAAAAATGTTTGGTCAGGTTTCATTTTAGCTACCCTGTATATCAGATTTTTTTTATTAATAATGTAATTTTTATTCAATTTCTTATAATACGGAATCTATGGTACTCCGTCAGAACTTTGACAACGAGTGTTGCAGTCTTAAAACTTTTAGGAGAGAGTCATGATACTCTGGGGGTTCCGGAATTGCATTATGGGGGCCCTCGCCCTTTGTCGCTCGGGACCTGAGGCACAGTGCGTCATCTTAGATCCGCCTCTATCACGAAAAACTATCTCACTTATTTCCGTCTGCCTGTCGATTTGGAAAGTACTGACCGGGTCTGGATAAAATTTTGACACAAGGACAGGACTATGACAAGATAATGATAATTATAATACACGCGACCCCAGCAACGCAACGAACGTAGATATGCCTGCGTCGAAGTTTCACCGATGTTTGACGGATGGCGTTGGGTGGCTGGGCTGACGAGGTTGCCAGATGGACGATATTGTTGGCAGGACAGAAATGTCTATATTGCAACGTGTCAAATGGGTGGGTACTATGGACTAATTGTATAGGTCTGTTTGATTGACTTGATTCATCTTTTGTTACACTTGTTAGTAGCTAACTTTCTTCTCAGAACATAAGTGCACAGTGAACCTACTTGACGTCATTTTTTGCTCTAATATCGGACATGGACGTACATATGAAGGTTATACATTTTTATTGGGCATTCTTTGCTACTACTTACTAACCTCAAAACTTGTTTCTGGACAAGAAAATGCGATTTATAGAGAATCTGCGAGTTTCTAGGCCATCAACTCAAAAATACAAACCGAAGAAATCATTAACTTTCGAATTGAATATTTTGTAACAAATGATGGAATATTAATTTTCCTGTAAATCCTGCAAAGCCCTTTGCATCTTGGGCAAAAAAGACAGACTGATATAATCGCTTACCTCTCTTATTAAATCCCGGGCTGCCCCTACTCATCCCCCTCCCGCCCCTACCGAACTGCATGAACTGCCCGTTATGGGGCGACGCGAGATGCGGGGGCGGCTGCTGCCACGACTGCTGATCCCTGTCCTCCATCATGAGCCCGCCGCCCATCCAATCATGTTGCTGCATATCGTCATCCATGGGCCACGAAGGCGGCGCTTCGCCCATGTACGGCTGTTGGGGCTGAGGTATGGGCAGAAGACTGCCCATAGGTGGGGGCGGCATCGCCATGGGCAGCATATCGTTGAAGCCGGCTAACGACGGAGGTGGCAACATGGGAGCTTGTCCGCCTGATGGTTGCCATGTGGGGGGTGGTACGCCTTGTGGAGGCGGGTCGGCCATTGACGGTGTCGAAAATATTCCCCCTAAACAGGAAACTCATATTTAATAAAATTATATTACATGGTGCTTACAAAACGGCGAAAAAAATTCCAGGTCTGATTCTTTGGACTAACCTAACATTATGTCCTTTCACAATTTTGGAAATACTACTTCGTAATGCAGATTACTGGCTCCTTGAGGACGACATTGGAAAACGGTTTTGAACAACAATATGCAATCAAACGAAACTTGTACTGCATACTAATTAGTTGACGCGTCACTATGATGCCGATAGAAGACAAATAACTCATCTACATTCGCCAGAGGCTGACTAGTCTTAATACAATATTACTAATTTTTTTAGCCGTGCACTCTAAAATTATATTTTTGGAAAATAATCTCTTACATGTATTCCTGTTTGATTTCGTTTAAATAAGCCGTTTGTGAAGAGCAGTCTTATTTGAGTAGTGTTCAGTAAATCTAATTACTAAGCTGTCAATATTTAGTTAGATTATACAGTGTTGCACAAAAGTTTTTTAAGAAAAGCCAATTTGCAATGATGTCTTTTAGGGATATGTGTCTCAAAAACGAACAGTATTCAGAAAATCGTCAGAGCACAAAATAGAGAATATTTTTGGAATAGTCCAAAAAACGGTCTCTTGAATTTTGATCAATGTTTTGTAAACACTCTGTATAAAGCAAGATTAAGCCAATCGACAAAAACAAGGGAAAGATATTTCGCAAAAAAATATTTAGAGAAAGCAGATACATAGAAAAATTTGTGTATGAGGCTGGCTTTTCAATCCCAGGTTAACTGTTAAACAGAATATAACCTTCAAAAAGCGTTTATCAATGTCAGATTTATCCTGAAATAGTATTTGATTTTAACTAGACGGTCATCTATAGCTTAAGTAAAAGGCTGTAGTTAAACAGCAATAACTAACCTTTTTCCCTTGCAAGTAACACGAGTTGTCACAGATGATACAGAGCACAAAGACCGACCATCATAAAACCCAAAGATCGTAGGAGCAACGTTGCCGCATCAACAATTATCAAATGGTTAATGAGTACTTAAAAAACGCACTTATGTGCAACTGATAGAATTACATAACTTGAAAGTTATCCAGCGATTGAAAAACCATCTCCTATGCCTATTAATATCATTTTGAGTTGTCAGATGAATCAATGACAAACTGCCTCGCAGTGATAAGGTCAGATAATTAAGTTTCTCTATCAATTTCCTATGAACATTTATGAATATATAGAATGTACCTTTATCTGAGTTGACATCTGTTGACGAGATAATCCCCAGACTGCTGGTATCCAATCCGTCCGCCGATAAGCTCTCGAACTCATGGAGGTCGTTACTTAGATCATCGAGGAAGTTATTGGCGTCCACGTCATCTGGCAAGTCGGGAAGAGGAGGTGGAGGTTCCAGCAGCATGTTCTGTTGGTTTTGGGGCGAATCAGAGTTTGAGGGATCCACTATCACTTTCAGGTTCTCATTCTGGAATGAAAAGAGAAATATAAGTGATATACAAATACGAGTTCACGTTGAGAACTGGCCGATACGACCGCTCCTTTGTCCCTAGGTGTGGAACAATCTACATTAGGAGGCGTTTTCCAGTTCTACCTTGGGCAGTTCAAAAATAGCATCCGCGGTGCACTGGCCTTTAGGCATCTGCCTTCGCGGCTGCTGCGGTCTAAAAAACGACAGTGTACTGGATTATGGATTCTGTCATTTATGTCAAACAAAAAAATGCAGGTTAAGCTGGATAGCACTGTCTCTAATCCACATGACAAAATTGGAGTACCTCAGGATGGAGTGATATCAGCATTTCTGTTTCTGTTATTAATGAACGATTTAGATGAACACATAATTGATAATGATTGTCTCTTGGTAACCTTTGCTCATGACACAACTATAACAGTATCAGCAAAGTCATACGACACTTTTAGGTTCTGGGCAACGCTGTCTCTGACCGCTTCAACCAATTCATTGGAACGTCTTGGTCGTTGATGAACGGTATTTTGACGATCTCCCACTGTCCCGTACTCAAGAAAATTCGAAACCAAACGACGGTGCCGGTTTGCCACGATATTTTCGACGATATGCACGTTGCGTTAACACAACTGAACGACGATTTTCAATGTACATTGTGACTATTTCGGTGCGTTGTTTTGGTGTAAAGCAATTCATGACTAAAATTGTAGTAAATTGACGTTTCTGAAACACGTATAACCAAATCACTCTGTTGGTAAATATCAAAGTCATTCGATGTTTCAATACCGACATAAAAGACGGCGCATCCGGTACTACTAATAATAATAATAATAAATGGCTTTATTCGTAGAGACAATGCATACAATATATATTCCCACCAACAATATTTAGTGGTATATGGGGATGATCTGTTGAGGCCCAACGAATCTTATCATTCGAAAGAATAAAGTCAGACTCTTATTCTCATTGCATCCTTTAGAGTCTTGTCGAAAAATACTAAGATTAACATCGTTACTCATTCTAGAGGCGTACCTTCATGTGAAATCATATCCTTCCTGATTCACTTACCTAAAATAGTCCCAGAGATACAATCTAACGAATAATAACATTACATTGAACAACTATTGGCTATAATAGCCCTGACTACCCAAGTGGATCTATCTCCAATTATTTGCCCTCTGAGTTGAAAACCATCAACGACTTAAAAGTCCTGAAAAGACAACTTTTAACATACTTGTACCCTAACTGTTTTTATTCTCTGCAAGAGTAAGAGTAATTCTTAATAATTACATATTTATATATTTTATTGATTATTTTACTTATTATACATTTATGCTGCACACCTTTTCTATTCTTCTATTTAACTATTTATACTTCTAAACAAACATCATTTTATAACTTATCACATATTTTATTATAATTTATTCATATATATTTTTCTTTTGCTTATGTAAATATGACCTTTTCCTATTGAATTTCATAATCGCAAAGCAATTTGAATAAAAGTTTACTCAGTGACATTAGAAGTGTTACACCCAGAAAAAAATAATTTCTTCAACTTGATCTTTTGGCAATGAGGTAGTCTTACGTCAAGAATGAAGCGATAACATTCTCACGAAATTGTATTGACAAGTAATTAGAAAAAAAAATAATAATGGACGACCCCGCAGCTGAATACACTCTTTTATACGTCTAGGCATCGACAAAATGAGATGATAGATGTCTGGTTTACATTGACACCTGCTTCTTAGGGAAGTCCGTGGTACGACGAGCAATATGGGGACCTGCATTGTCTTGCTGAAAAAGGACGTATGGACGGCCCTCTAGACACGGCAGTGAATTTGTTTGTAGGACATTATCTACATAACGCGCAGCAGTCATATGGCCTTGAACAACGAGAAGGGGTGATCGGCTATCATTGCTCCAACAGTATTGTGTACATGCCTCTCAACAGCGAATCCAATATCACGCCGTTCTCCACGGCGGCGTCTTACCCTTCTACGATACTCGTGCGTTCCTAGACAGAATCGCGATTCGTCGCTGAAGATGACATAATGCCATTCTGTCTTCCAATCTTGCCGTTCTCTGCTCCAGTTCAAACGTTGACGACAGTGGTCCGCAGTCAGAGAAAGCACTAACCGTGGCCAATAGAACAAACCAACATCTCGATAGGCAATAATTCAACCCTTGTCAAAGTCGCTAACATGGTGATAATTTGGACGTCTTTGAACCCGAGACATTTTGTTATGCTTAACACTAGTAAATGAAAGGGCAATAACTAAAAATATCTGTACTAATCAGCCCTGAGAAAAAGCTAAGAGATAACATTTTAACAACGGTTAACAAAGATAAAACGTTGAAATTGTTTCCACAGCATGCTTTTAATATAGTCATTATGTTGCAAAAAAAACAAATAGGTTGAAGAAATTATTTTTTCTGGGTGTAACACTTCTAATTTCACTGAGAATATTATCAACACTCACCTTGCCGCAATTCGCACTAGTATGCTGTACAGCATCCTCATCGCTAAGATCCATATCTATGTTATCCATATCGATACCGTCGCACAGTTGATCGCCGGCGCCACCATGCTGTATCAGCGGCGGGGGCGGTTGTGGGGGCGGCGACTTCAACATAGCGTCCGGTGGCAGCGGCGGGGGCGGTTCGCCAAACTTGTTCGATGGAGGAGGCGGAGGTGGTGGGGGAAGTTTCAGTTGTTCCAAGTTGAAGCCCATGCGGTAGTCGTGGTCTAGTACGGGGGCGCTGCCTGGTTGATGGTGATTGTTGGAGTCGCCGGATGTTGCCGTCGGAGGAAGCAAGCGGTAATCCTGAAAGGCAAAAAAAGGTCCACAAGTCAAGGATATGGTTCAAGAGTTTACTATCAAACGAAACGCAATACATTCTGTTTGCTCACTGCGCTCGGCATATAGTTCACTTCCTTCTTCTTGAACACTACCAACCTGAATGGCGCCTCTAATTTTCCCAATTGTAGGATTACAGTCACCGTCCATAGCTTTCAGCAACTTTCTTTCCCAATCTAACAATTTAATTGCTTTATTACCAGTTTTTTTTTAGATGTTTTTTTCTTCAATCTCGATTTCATGTTGTTGATTTTTTTTAATAAGCTTTTAGTATCTAATGGTTTAACGAATGTTGATTCGTATTTTTTCAACATCTTCTTCAAGGCATCGTCCTTTCTCATTTTTATTTTTGGAACTTGTGACTTTTGCAAAATAATGGGAGCAATTTCATCTGCCATGAACTGCAGGTCGTTGCCATTATTTTCTATAGTTCCATCATCACTTGAGGATGACATGCTTATTAATTTGATAAGATATTGTATATAGTAAAAATACTGAACGGTCTGTGTAAGCTCTGGAGTACAACTGTCAGTGATGCAGAAAATACATCCCCTCTGAAAAAATGGCGTCAAGTAGGGTGACTATGCGCTTCCCACGCAACGCCGTTATCTGTTCATAAAGGATTGTGTTCAGCATAAACTAGTCGCTCTGAGAAAAAGAAGTATTTCAAACAGGTCCACACAATTAGTCCTTATACATTGTTTCCCTGCTCTAACGGTGGTGCATATGGAAACGTTTCTCCGCGATACCTAACCCCGTCAGGCGTGGCAGCGCGATCAGAGCATAGAAAACACTATGCTGTGCGCTATTGGCGCTGGACACCGCCTGAAGCAGCAACCTCGGCCGGTATGTACGCGATCCGTCTAATAGGTTTGTAGATTTAAACTATCCCCACCCCCCAACAACCCCCACTCCTGTTTTTTGAAACTTTCTTTTAAAAATCATCTGGATCCTCTGAAACGTAATAAAATGAAGTTTGATCGATGTTTACTTGCTTCGTTTTAGGCGTTTCTCTCTGCCGCCTCTGGACCGATTTTCAAAAACTACAAAGCTTTTGCGTCCTACGTTGTGTAAAAATTTCATCGGAGTCCGAGCGCTACTTCTCAAGATATATGCGGACATTAGCAGATATACCGACAGACAGGCCGACGGAAATGAGTGACATGTTTTTTTTATGTGATTTGCTTTTGATTTATATCATCTGTTTAATCAGCCTGAAATTTCCTACGATTCAAAAAAAAAACATAACTTCATAATAGGAGAGTGCTGACGCCGACAACAGTAGAAATCTAGAAATACCCTAGCCATTCTGAAGAACGACTGACGATACGGCCCTTAGGGGCCTACGCGGAAGGTTACATGATTTAGATCAAAAGAGAACAGTCAGAAACTCAATGTTTTCCGACCTCAATAAATAAAATAAAATTTACCTGATCTGCAGTACCGTTGTTCCAGTTCTGTGGCGAGTTTTGTGAATTTGAATTACCAGGTGACCCTGTCAGACTTATTAAATTGCGATGATCAACATCTTTACCGCCCAAGCTACCCATTGAGTCTTCTGAAATTAGAAGAAAAAAATGTTTGAATTCTGAACAAAAACACTTTAGGGAAATTGCAGTGATTTATTTCATTCTGAATATGAATTATGCATAAGAAGAAATGAATTAATTATTTCACATTCTAGATCTTTACACACTCTGCTCTTGGGTCCAGTTGAGTGGATACATGCAGGGCGAGTTTTTAGTGCGTGCTGGGTCGATAACTCCGTTATTACACATGGTGTCTAAAAATAATTTCTAGCCAACAGTATGCTACTGACTTTAAGATACTTTCAATCTCTACGGAGTGATCTATAACAATGCGGTAAACTAAATGAAACGTGAAAATAAACAGGGAGTTCCATTTATTGCATACTTTGAAAAATAGTTTATTTTGCGAACCTCACCACACTGTACAGACTATTAAAATAACTGAAAAATATGGGATCACAAAAAATTTCTGATGAAAAATTCAGTACACTAGCTATAAAAATTGTGGAGGTGCGAGTTATCAAGGTGAGTGAATTTTTCGACGGATAAAATATGTCAACAAAAAGAAATAAAATTGTACAGTGTGTCCCAGGAAACGACGTCAAGCCGGAAACGGGAGATAGTTATCAGAAAAATATAAAAAAATCTAAGTCGTGTACTTTTCAAATTAAAGACTTGAAAAAAAGTCGTAAAAATCTACACCCTGTGATGATAGTTTTAGTTCCCATTCCCGGGATTATCTTCCAAGAGTTGAGTTTTGTCAAACAATGTTACAGATACACTGGGAAGATCCGCGATTTTTAGAGAAAGTCTTATGGACTGATGAGTCGACATTTGAAAAAAGATGATTACATGAATCTACACAACTTATACGAGTGGCATGTAGAAAATCCACATATGATGAGACAAGATACATCACAGGATCGTCTTAAAGTAAACATGTGAACCGGGATTCTAGATGGGAGAATCATTGTACCCTTTGAGCTGACAAAGGCCTTGAATGGCGAAATTTATTTAGACATTTTACAAAATCATTTACCAAATTTATTGGAAAACGTGCCTCTAAGCATTTTACAGAGACATGCATGCATTTTTTCTGATTATTATGACTTGTTCTATCCCCTGTTTCCGGCTTAAGGTCGACTTCTGGGACACCCTATAAATGAAAAGGTTTCTTTTTGAGAAATGTATATGTGATTCACCACATGGTTATGAATCACCCTGTAGAGATAAAAGTCAGCAGCTACAATTTTTGCAATCAACTTTTTTTGATACCATGTGTAATGACCGAGTTAGCGACCGAGCATACACTAAACGCTCGCCCTGTATAATTTTTGACAGTTTTAACACTGTTTCATAGGATTAATATTGATGATGATGATGATTGCATTTTGCAATAAATGGTCAAGATAAGACGATTTTTTTCATCGATTTGTTAAAAAACAATTTGTTCATGAATAATTTCCAAATATGTAATTCTGTCTCACCTATGTGATCTCCCATCCCTCTAGGCATCACCCTATGGTCGACATCGCCCGCAGCCGCCGTATGTGCATCCAACACCGATCCGTCCCCGTCCCTGTACTCCACTGGATCACCGTAGCCCTCTTTTTCGAAGTTGGGAGGACTCTCGGGTGTGTCCAACAGCATATCGGGTGGTTGAGACGGCCAACCTCCACCTGAAATGACAAAGCAAAAATGTAACTGATCGATTTTGCATATACTCCAATGTGCTGGGTGATTAGCAAGATTCTTAAGATGTCTCACTACCTTAGAAATGCTGTGATTTTCTGGTTAGATAAGGATAAAAACAAGATGGAATGGTTAAGGATGCTGTTGAATGGTTAATAAATCCAGGAAGTATCTTCGCATCCGCTCGGAAAAATATTCTGATTCGTTTATTTTTGCGTAACCTTATTCAGAAAATGGCGTCAAGTAGGTTGACTCTGAAGTTCCCACGCAACGCCCTTATTCTTTCCTTGCCCTACCGGTAGTGCATCTGGAAACGTGGCCTTTCTCCGATACCTAACTTGGGCAGACGTGGCACCATAGTAACTTAAAAACGCGTGTAGTTTCATACCAGAACACTCAGACACAGAATTTCCAGGGCTAGTTTACAAAGAAATCAATGATGTGTGAAATATGTCTAATAGGTGCGTAGAATTACCAATGTTGGGAGTGAATAAATGTACCAGCCTCAAGAAATTAAGATAGTCTCTTACAAGTCCCACCCCAAGATTTTGCCTCTAACAGCTTTTTCAAAAATGGTCAGAATCCTCCAAAACGTCAAAAAAACGAAGTTTGAGCGATTTTTACTTTTTTCGTTTTACGCCTTTTTCTCTGCCGCCACTGGACCGATTTTCAAAAAACAAAGGTTTTGCGACCTTGGCATAGTAGTAAAATTGTGTAAAATTTGCATCGAAATCCGAGCGGTACTCTCAAGTTATAGGCGGTTATAAGATTAACGGACAGACCGAGAGACAGACAGACAGACCGACGGAAATGAGTGACATGGTTTTTCGTAATGTAAGTATCATATAACATCCAAAAAATCTCATTTTTTAAAAAATTTCGATTACAATACTTTCCCGCCAGTAGGATCCGATTTACAGATTAGATGTTTCCTGATCCAAAACTGCGTTAAAAATGAGCTCGAAATTTGACGTATTTCGCATTTTTTCAAATACTGAATCGAATATATCTAGAAAAAGATCAACTTTAGAGAAGACATCTGGATGACATTTTTTGTTAAAAAAAACCTGGAAAAATTCTTATCCGGGCAAAGAAAACAATTTTTAGAATTTCTCCAAATACATTTTTGACTCAATTGTTGTCCTTACTATATGCCGATTTGTTGAAGGGGCTTCTATATGAATAATATTATGCAAAAAACGTTTCAGAATATGGTATACTTCCTGGAATACAAATTCTTCACTCACTCTGATTAAAGTTGTGATACCATGACCCCAAGTTACAAATAAAAATGAAATAAATGAATGATGCAATTGCTAACCAAAAATTCGTACCCGTAACCAATTTAAATTCTTTCTGTTGCTCGCTTGAGCAATCAGCCGATAGAATTTGATTTTCATCCTGGATACTGACAGAACGTGACCGAACATTTCACGTCCAACTGTTAATGTGACAGGAGAATATCATTTTTCCCACATTTGAGGGAAGCCTAACCCAGTAGGGTTACGGTCTAAGGTCAGGAAGTCACATAATTCATTCCGCCCAACTTGACATTATTACGTCACAACTGTGACGCTAATTCTGAATTTTGAAATTTGTACGACTGTTTTGCTACCTGACCTTCTAAAAAAAAAAATGAAAACATTCGAAATATAGAATTTAGATGCAAAATCAAAATTATGTAAAATACTACATCGAAAAGCTTGATGATGCTATTAGATATGACAACATATTTCATGATAATCTGTATAAAGATATCACAATCTATAAAGAGCGGCTTATGATTTAGTAATAGCGTTTTCTTTTGTTAAAATTAGTGTGATGCTGGTGTATATATTAATGTTCTTTTGGTCTGTACTTTGGTCATTCCATGCAAAAACATTGCATTTGCACCTTGCACGACTTGGACGAGCTCGTGCTAGTGTAGTCAACTGTCAACAGTGTCACATTTCACAGCTCTGATTTGTTCAAAAATTGACCATAGCAACAAAGAAAATGACAAAGAAATGAAAAAAAATACTTTTCATTGACAGATGACAGCACGAGACATGAAATGGCAGAAACTTTATTCTTTTGGAGGCAAATTTAGGATGAACCAGAGCAAAGGGTTTCAAATACGTAAACTGCACCAGATTTATCAAAAGGAAACGCTATAGGACAAGACAAACACCATCCCCAATCAAAAAATCTAACCTTGATTTTCCCATCCTAAAAGAGGAACCTTTTCAGTTGTAATGTGCTCTTGATTATTGGCTGGTGCTTCGGGAGGATAGGGATTACATCCATCAGGAGGATGACTGGGAGGCGCGTCTGGGAACGGTGAGGCCACATCATCAAGTCCGAAGCACCCTGCAGGTAAGGGTGTTAATACAGAAACATTGACAAAAAGATGTGCTATCTCTCAAAAATCGAGTTATCTGGTAAAATATGCGACCTTTTGAATGATTGAGAAATATTTTCTTGACCCTCAAATCGCCCTGTAATGGCAGCGATGTCCAACTGTGCTCCCGCTAAACGGCGCTTGTGTGGTTGGTGGTGAGACTGTCATATGTACGTATAGATAATAAAGACAGATTTGATAGAAAACAATCTATTTTTCACCACTTCATTACGTTTAGACGTCTATTGACGAGAACAGCTGATCACCAATTCGCATTTTTGTCTGTGTACCACAGGTGCATTCAGGGGTAGGGCTTTGGGGTTCAAGCCCCCACCCCCTAAGCTCCTCAGTCTTACTACGTTTTTCCTTAAATAATACACATTTTATTTGTGAAATGTAAGCCTCCTCCTAGCCCTGCAATTGTCACAACGGCATTCTAGAAACACTGATGCTGCAGATGCCGCCATCACCCTCAAGGCTCCAGAATCTAGCCTTAGCTTTCCAAATTACCTCCCATTGTGCAAGTATCAGCAAACGCTTGTTGCTCAAGATTTTCTTGGTATCGAATATTTAACGCCCGAAAAATGTATCAGATGTTGTATGTCTTTCTCTTCCTCTACAAACTACTTACGTCCTTGAAAGGATAATTGGAATTTCTCAATTGGAGGTGACGGCGTGTGATATTTCTAAATACCTGTGACCTATCTTAACTTTGCACAAATGTCCGTGCTTCAATTAAACTTTAATGAATAATAAAGGTTTTTGCCCACTATATTTTATCAGAGTAGTATCGTATAATGAACGTAGCGTAATTCTGCTGGTGACGGCCATGCACGACTAGCGGCTACTAATACAAACACGTCCATGGAGAATGAATTGAGGAACAATCAATATTTGGAAGACAAATAAGGGAGATAGGGTAATTTTTGTTCAATTTAATCCAAATTATACTAGCAATTAGCAGTCATGAAAAAAAAATTTGGCATTGCTGTTAACATTAAGTTGCAACGGACTCTTACTAAATGGGTATACAGTGCTTTTTGAAAGTACCTTTGACTTTGTTTTTTGAATGGGTCAAGTTAGCAGACTTTAATTCTATGCGATGAAACTGATGAATACTATTTTTTAGCATAAAAGTGACTATTGAAAATTTCAAGCTGGCGGTCGATCGCTATCCTGGAACATTTTGTGAAATGGAATTAGGAGGGTAATATAATACCTCACTTGAAAGCTACTTAAGTGTACTTTACATAGTTTTCTGCTACTTTTTTTTTGGCAACATATTGACTTTATCTTTGTTTTTGTTTACCTTTTACGTTTGTGAAGAAGGCAGTTTCTGAGAGCTGAGGGGTACAGTTATTTTTAGTTATTGCCCTATCATTCACTAGAGTTAAGCATAACAAAATTTCTCGAGTTCGAAGGCGTCCAAATTATCGCCATGTTAGCGAACTTGACAGGGGTAGAATTATCGCCAATCAAGATGTTGGTTTGTCCTATCGCGAAATTGGCCGCCATGTTAATTGTGCTGCAATGTCGGTAAAGCGTGTGTCGCGTGTGGATAGAAGAAGGTAGAGGAACACGAAGAAGGCCAACTGATCTACCGAGGCGTACTACAGGGCGTCAAGATAGGTGCTTCAGACAACTAGCCCTATGAGAGCGTTCTGCTACTACGCGTCAGATCGCTGACCACCGGTTTGGAGAAGGTACTGTTATTATGCGTACACTATAGTCGCATTCGAGCCTTTGGACTTTTTTCATACCGTCCACGGTTAGTGCTTCCTCTGACTGCGGACCACTGTCGTCAACGTTTGAACTGGAGCAGATAACATCAACATTGGGAGGCAGAATGGCATGTCCTACAAACCACTTTACTGCCATGTCTAGAGGGCCCTCCACACGTCATTTTTAAACAAGACAACGCACGTCCCCATATTACTTGTCGTACTACCGACTCTTCAAGAAGCACGCGTTAATGTTTTGCCGTGGCCACCCCATTCACCAGATTTAAATCCCATCAAACGTGTGAGGGATATGATGAGGAGGAGACTATCCACTTTGAACCATCCTCCACAGCTAATCCATGAAGTTTGAATTGCTTGAATTGAGGTGCCGCAACCAGACATCGATCATCTCATTTTGTCGATGTCTAGTCGTATACAGGAGTGTATTCAGCTGCGGGGTCGCCCAACACATTGTTAATTTTTTGTCTTATTATAAATAAAATTTCGTGAGAATGCTATAGTTTCATTTTTGATGTAAGACTACCTCATCGCCAAAAAATCAAGTTGAAGAAATTATTTTTTCTGAGTGTAACACTTTTCATGTCACAACATAATATAAAGTATACAGCCGCTCAACTTTGGCAGCCCACTCGTCCGCCATTTTGAAAAATAGTAAATTTATAAGATGTAAAATAAGGTATGGCATGATTTTCCAACCCACTTAAAAAATGATCCAAAAAGGCGCTAAGCCGCCTTCTTGGTAATTTCTGCCACTTTTTCTCTGAAACATAAGATTCATGCATTAAATGAGCTATCCTAAATTTCAGCTTGCTAACTTGACCCTTTCAAAAAATAAAGTGGGAAGGACCCTTATGAAAAGCTCTGTAGAAGTACAGAACGTGGTTTATGATACAGGACGATACAGTATAATAATGGGTAAAAAGAAAAAAAAAATAGGCCACTTACCGTCCTCCGGTCCCAATCCATCCCATCCCACAAGCGACACATCCTCTTCGGGGTTGTACTCTTCGTCTCCACCAATGGTGCACACTGCCGGGGGGTAGGGGTTACAGCCCTCGGGAGGGTGGGGGCCATTTTCGTCCAGGAAAGGTGGCGCCATATCTGTAGTAGAGAGGAATCCTGCCACCGAGGGAGGCGGTTGGTCAACGGGAGTATTGGCTACTACTGATGAACTGTATGAACCATTTGCTAAAAAGAGACTGGCGGTCAACTATCACTCAAGTAACATTTGACAAGTGACGAAAAAATGCATACTTTTCTTGTAAAACATCAACAAAAGTGACTGAGTGAAAGCACAATGTAGGCCTGCGACCCACCAAGCCCCATGAAAAGAACTGTACAAAAGGAAAATGTCACGGTTCAAGGAATATAAAATGGTTTCTAAAATCCTATGTAAACTTACCATAATCCGAATTAGTAGTACCCCCACCTCCGCTACTCGCGTAACCCTGCGTAGAGTACGCATCCGTCTGTGCCGCGCCATAGTCCTGACGACCGGCAACACCGCCCCCATCCGGTTTACTGAACGGCGGCATAGGGGGTGGCAAGAGGGGCTGCCCCCCGTATACGGTGAAGGTGGTTGGCGGCTGTTGCTGTACGGGGGGTACTGGCGTGGGTCCGCTATTGGAAATGGTACTGGGTGCTGCCGCTTCTAATGAGGATTGAGATGCGCTGGTTGAAAAGATTGAGCCCTGGAGGAAATATGAATCATGAATACTACAGAAATTCCGGGTGCAACATGCGCCTGATTTGCATTAAACGTCGAGCTATCGCCCACGATTGTAAGGGTACATCACTAGTATTAAAGGCCGCATGACACGATATAAAAATCGATACGGAAAAGAATGACAACTGGCAAAGAAGATTGTCAGATCTACACTTCTGCTTTCCTTACTCTAACCAGCCCAGAATTCGGCAATTCAGGCATGTCGGTACATGTCAGATGCAACCATTTTGCCTGGTTGGCAAATGCAGTTCGAATTGTTCATGTCAAATATCATATCGGTCCTTAGTGCAATCGTGATCGTATGCTCGCTGTTCAACGCCAATCAGGGAATCATTTATTCGCTAACATTTTAATTTAACATTTTGAACATTTTAATTAATAATAATAATTAAATACAAAATTTTGATTTGCTCTTTCCCTCAATGAAATATTTAAAATACATATATGTGAGAATGTTTATATGATTATACCGCTAACTTGTTTTTTTTTTTGTGAATATTTCTTAAATCTTTGATTACCTCCAATGTAGATAAGTTCACTGAAATGTCTGAACCAATATAACTAGAAAATCCATTCGAAAGGAAACTGCTGTTGATGAAACTGTTCGAGAGACTCGTATTCGTAACAGGCGTTTCCTCTGCCGTGGCAACATTGTAAAATCCGGCATTGGTGTATTGTACCTGCTGTTGCTCTTTTATCCTCTTCTCCAGATCAGCTTTTGGATTGTATCCTTGTTCTTCTAGAATTAGCATGAAAGGTAAAATATGTATAAGCCTTGCGTTTGAAAAATAATAGGGGCCGTTCGCACCCAAAGGAAACCGACTAATACCGGCTGTAACCCGACGACAATCCAATTAGGTACATGTATTCAAATACAAGTGTTCCCACCAAAGCGACTGGAACTGGATCAGTTGTTGAATAGTTGCTGGAATCTGTATATGTCAATGTGGCCTTCTAACCGATCGTTTTCTCAAAAAATCAATGATAATCCTATAATAGTGCATTACGTACCTAGTTGGGGAAGTTGGTCGTTGTTAGGCGAGCACTTTTATAATTTAGGGCGCGTATCGCATCATGTAAATTATTGGGGTATTCAAAAAGGAGAACTACTCATGTTCAAAACTACTTATTTCTCAAAAGTTTTAAAATATTTCGAAATATAAAATTCGGTTGACAAACTGACACAGTGAAGAAGAGAGGATACAATTTCAAATGACATTATTTATTGTGCTTTTTTGTGTTTAATATTTACCTAGGGAGAGAAATGCTACTGGGCTGCGTTCGCAAATTTTTACATAGTGTACTTTGTACTACTCTGCAACAACTTCAGCGTTCGTAATTGTTTGTCGTACCTGTTCCGTGCGTTCGGAAAAGCTGAAAGTGCACTTTTCTTTCCTTGCTAATACACCTTGGGCATAAGAGTGTCGTCACTTGTCATTCTCATGGTTTACTATTTGTTGACTTTATTTGGTCGTTAAGAAATGCTCAAAATTTATAAGAATACATATTTTTCACGATAAATGGGCTACATCGAATCCATAGCGTTTCTTATAATGAAAACAATGGTCGCAGGAAACGTGATTAGAAATTAGTCGGCTGCCATCAAATGTCTTTGCATGATTCCATAATAACAGATGTTTTAACAATAAAGTTACACAGTATTCCAGAGCAAAATTTCATCTGTCAATCTACAGTCCATAACTGTGTATATATAACACCATCAAGTGATTTACAAACGCAAATTGCTTCCAATGAGAACGCAAAATCAACACAACAACTGAAGTTGAAATCAGGTTAAGTCAAGTTGCGGTCAGGTTGCTTTTGATGAAAACAGTTTTTAAAATATACTCAGTGACATTAGAAGTGTTACACCAAGCAAAAATAATTTCATCAACTTGATTTTTTTGACAATGCGGTAGTCTTACATCGATAATGAAACGATAACATTCTCACAAAATTTTATTGACAATCACTAGAAATATCTGTACTATTCAGCTCTCAGAAACTACTTTATTCACAAAAACTAAGACATAACATTTTAACAAAGGTAAACAAAAACAAAGACAAAACGTTGACATTGTTGCCACAGCATGCTTTAAATATAGTTATTATGTTGGCAAAAAAACAAGTTGAAATTATTTTTTCTGGGTGTAACACTTCTAACGTCACTGAGTATAATATGACAAGAACAAACTCGATAAAAACGTCAAACACAGTGGCAATATCGACTATAACATCAAATTAATGATGTGACGAAAATTGAAAGTACCTACCTTCTTCAGCAGGTTCTGCCGTTTCTGGAATGCATTTTGAACAAAGTGTTAAAAATTAGCATTGGAAAACCAAAATTTATCATTTTATAATACATTATAATGAAGATAGAATACTGTAAGGATGCTAAAATGTATATAGTGGATTATGGTAAGACCCTATCTGTTCCATGTCCTGGGAGGAAGTGATAAGTGTAAGACTTCATATGCAACTGCGTCGTGTACCGCAGTCTAAAGGTCGAGATATTTAGCATAAGACGACTTTGGTTGTAAGACCATACATCCATCAGAATGGTTAGACTTTCTGACTAAATTGTACAATTTTATAACAAAACATATAATGTAAAACCTACCAGGCTCAGCTATTTTTTTCAATGCAGGAGGTTCATCTGGGAGATCAATGTCAGAATCAGGACTAGGTGACGGTGCATTGATATCTGGTGATGGTATGGGGCTGGTCAAAGTAGCTTTATGCTCATCCAACTTTCTTTGGAAAGTTTTCACCCTTGTGCCAAACATCTTGTACGCCTGCCGAAAATAAGCGGGTTGTGTGAGAACGAAAAAGATCTAAGTAAAAATAAATTTGTTATAAAACACTTTTGTTATGTTACTTGATTTTAAGACGGGTGATGGGAAAACTCTTTTACCTCCCGTATTGTCGAACTGCGAAAAAATCACGAACGCGTCATTCATTGTCGCATGGTCTGAGCTTCGATTTTGTCGTATGAAAAATGTCGTTTGCGAGATTCAAGAAAGCAGTTTACGAGTTTCGTGTAATATTATAGATATCTCGCATGCGACATTGACCATTCAACATTCGAGAACACCCTCATATTCACCAATATGCAACAGCAGGTTTGATTGATTTAAATAGCATTCTAGCATTCTACCGAGATTTTAATCAATAATTTATATCAGGTGATTTTTTACACAAATCAGTATTTAAATCAATCTTGATTTTCTTCATTACTAATAACAATCAAATCAGCTATGTAAAACAAAAATACTTATTCAAATACAGTTCTCATTTATTAATGTAATCTATGTTATATAAAACTATTATTGAATAAGAAAGTCAATAAACAACTGTTTATATTAATATTTAAAAAGGTACATGCCACCTTATCATCCGCCCTATTCTGGGGTTTAGATTAGACCAGAACAAATATAGAAAAAAATCCGTTCTGTAGATGCAGATGAAGCAGTAGGCATGAACAACTGGCAGAAGATAGGTGTTAGTTGACCATGCTGCTACTGATCTGTGTTTTCCACCATTGCAATGATTTTACATGTTTTATTGTTATCTCTGCAAATATTACTTCTTTGAATGGATCACTCTTAAATTTAGTTATGGTGTCCCAAATGATTATTGGTGGTTTCATTCAAAATTCCACGTTTTTCGTTCAGCTGAAGTGTTGCTAATGCAAAAAAATAATAGTTTTGTTAGTGAGTTTTCTGCTAATAAAGCCAAAATCTACCATTTATAGTGAATATTGAGTCAATTTTATAATAAAAAGCCACGTTTTATTAGATTTTTTTTAAATCAAAAAAATCTGCCAGAAACATGATTTTTATCAAACTGTGCAGCTGTTTTTCAGTTTACTCATAAGAAAGCTCAAAATATACAAGTAGTAGTTTGTACGGCAAAACTTCCATTTTCATTCAAATTACTACAAGCTATGTTCTTCGATAGTATCTTAGTGCAAGTACGTAATTTGAGGTGCTGGATATGACAGTTAAAAAGTCCTAAAGTGTTGTGGGAATGAATTCGAGCTGAAAAATAAGTCGCTTTAGATTATTTGAAGGTCCTATCATCATATTGCACGCAGATCAGGATATTAAAGGAGCTTGATTTATAATAAACATCATAGAAACTTACATTTGCTACAACTTTTACATCTTTCCTATCAGCTTCCAACTGAGTATCAGCCTGTTTCAATACACCTATTAGTGTTATTCTATTCTTTATTTCCAATTTCAATGCACTGATGTACTCTTCCATATGCTTCACATACACTTCCACCTCCTTCTCAACATCATCAACATGAGCTCGATCTGAAATGGCATCTCCATCAGAAATATATGAAAAATAATTGATTTGCTGAAAATACCTTTTAGAGATCCAATGAGACCATCGTCAATCTGAATTTTTGGGTTGTGCTCTTTCAGAAGCTTCAGCTTGGTGTCTGTGTCTCTTTCCAGCTTTGTGCAAATTTTTATTTTATTTATCACATATGATGGCTGAAAAGTTGAATAGAGACTTGACTCAGATCGCTGTGGAATAAGGAAAAATAAATAAAATTAATTTATGTATAATTTGAAAATACTGACAAATGGACCTGAAAAATTATGCAAATGGTAAAAATAGATGTAGTTTCATATGAAATAAGGAAATGACATTTTTAGTATTTAAAGAATATTTGTTTATGATATAAACATCAAATAAAACAAGACTGCCTCTCACAATCAGACTTTGCTGATAAAATATATTTCTAAATGATGTTATTATGATAGACATTTTTAAACAATCTGGCAATGGTTACATTCAGTTGCACTTAAGTGCTATGAGCAAGTGCTGCATGAAATATGTCTTTGTAAATTTTGAAAACCATCAGATTGATTGACAGAAATCACCTATGTGAAATAGACTATGCTGAGCTATGCTAGTTGTAAGCAGCTTTACTTGATGGTAGTTGGTTTCGATGCAGAGTAAATGTGGTTTGACATTTTAGATTTTTATAAATCACTGTATATAAGAAACAGATGGATACACTCTCATTCAGACCACACAGTTTGGAAATCCTTAAAACTTACCTGAAACTCATGTGGCTCATCAGATTTTTGAGCAGTTGGTGTGATACTGAGAAGCCCACACAAATCAGATATGAACTCTTCATTATATACATTTCTCTGCTCCCAAATTTTAAATATCCTCAGAATCTTGTTCTTCACTTTATCATCCCTTAAAAAATGAATCACTTTCATTCCTTGAACCAAACTGAATGTATCTGAGATGCAATATATACTGTATGGATGGTTGTCACTATTAGGTTCTTCTTTAAAGAGGAATGAGATCAGAATAATATTGTCTTTTCTAATTAAGAGAGTGATATTTTGTAAGCATAACCAATATAGTTAAATATTATATAAAACCATTGCTGTCCAGCGATTGGAAGGTAGATGGCTGACTAGTAGCACCTTCTGTCCTAGTCCTGACAAAATAGCACCTTTTTGATTAATATTTTTTTATAAAATTACAGGAATACCTATAAGCAATGTATTTTTTGCTGGTGAAAAGTTAACAACATATATGATCACCTCCAAAAGCATTAGTTGTGTTATCTAAACACAAAATTTGTAATTACACTTTGTATGCCACTTTTGTCTAATCTGTCTGACCAATGGGCATATTCACCTTGCCTCATTTCATCTCAGATAATTGTTTGTATGGGGGAAAATAGATAGATAAATATGTTTTGTTGTCTGAAGAAAACAATCATTTTTTATGACGAAGCTAACTTAAAACTATAATATAATTATATAAGTGGATCTTAACTAGGTGAATTGCAGAACTCAACACCAGTTATAACATGGTTTACATGTTGAAAAATGTTTAAATTCATGGCAGAGTATCTTTGAAATGGTAATTCCTATAAGAGCATCAGGGAGACACATCTAAATTTTTAGACCATTATAAATTATTGAGTCTTTCACAAGTGTTGTTTTAGGTACTACTAATTTGAGATCTTGTATTCGTCTGATATTGTAACTTATATTTAGATTTATTTTTAAATATAAGAGTTGCTGTTTCTAAAATGAACAATGATACAACAGTCATTATATTAAGATTTACAGATAAATGATACATACCGAACCATAGTAGTAGCTTTCTGCAAAGCAGTCCCCCAACTCTCAACATATTCATAATTTCTCCTCTTAGAATACTGTACAACATCATTAGCTAGATAGAACAAAATCAGTCTTTGCTCTACTTTCACCCTCTTCAACACATTCAACCAAGAACTGACAATCTTTTTGTGATGCCCTCTGTTCTGTAAACACCATTGGCAGCAGTGGTTGATGGCTTCTTGAGAGTCTTTCAGAGTCATCAACTGTTTCTCGAACTGTAGCACGTTGAATTCACTTTCTGTCGCATTCTGAGTCCCCATTTTATTGGTTTAATGCGGGAATAACCACTAACCTATCCACTACTATTTACAGAGTGTCTTGTGTCCAGCATGCCTAGCGCTCCTTTCAAGGCATAACGCTGAATTTACTAATTACTGCACTGAATACATAATTCTTCCACTGTAAATATCACCTCTCGATGTTTGAAAACAGTTTTTCACATGGACGCCGATTTGTTTTTTAATGATGTAATAAGGCAATGTGCCGCGCCTCTTGTATACGAACTGATTTTAAAATCCTATAGATGAATTCTATTGGAATACCCATAAACTGGTAAAAGGAAGTTGTTGATAATTTTCTATCAAGCTGAAATATTTGTCAAACTATCAGCCATTATCCATTTTCCAATTTTCCAAGATAATCACAAAACTGACAGATAGAATCCTAGAAACAAAAACGAAGGAGTTGACATCTCCGTGGTTCCAATACTTCTAGTGAATGAAGTGATCAAATAGGGTTTTAAACAATCTGACCAATCAAAAAAGGATCAGACAGTCACGTGAAGTACATTAAACCACGCTCTGTTTTCTACTCACTAACTCATAATGTTCAATTTGGTGCCGGCTGCCCGTGGAGGCATTCTGCATTCGTTTTTGTTCTCCGGGACCCCATGTCTGCCTAGCTGAAGTCTGGGGCTCACCCGTTTCGTTCTTATTTGAGATCGACGCATGCTCTTCCGCCTTCGTTTTAAACGGTGTTACAGGTAAGCGTACCTGACACAAAATAATTATATAATACTGATATGCTTACTGTTCTGTAACCTCTTCTAATGTTTTGCGGTTTTATGATGCTACAACATAACATACCGTAAGGACCAAATCTGGCTGACGGACGCGTGTTCATGTATACGATAGTGAAGCGCAAGAAGTATGTAAGGCACATATGTTAGAAAGAGATAGAAGCAGGCTGGACAGCGAAGCTCAACGATCATCGCCACGTTGCCCAACATCGGTGACGCCAAACTAATGGTTTTATTCTGAGCGTACATATTTTTTAGTGGTGTTGAATCTGTCTAGGATTGATTCCCGATCGATCCCCTAACGGCAATCAATTTTAGCTCGATTTAAAAGGTCACGATTCACTATCGCCACAAATTCTGCAACATTGCATCATTAGTTCATTTGACAACACCGCATCTAGTCCAGTAGTATTGGTACTGAGCAAACTCGTCTCTTATGCTTCGGCCTCGGTTTGTAGAACTATGTTGTGTATCCAGAAATAATCTCATCCAGATATCTTGCTTCCTTAATTTATCACGTATGCGTATGCCAATATGAAGTTCATCGAAAGATTGTATTGACATCCTATAGAAATTAAAGAATTTATCTGGATGTGCTCGTAACTTTGCTCTTTTTAGATAAAATGGACTCTCGTAGATTCTCCGACCTTTTAACGGATGCACCCAATACCGACGTTTCTTTTTCTTCTTTTTTGATAATGATAATAGATGCAATCGCAATTAAATCGTCGTTCTCCATCGCCAAGTATTCACAGAGCCGGCACTCAACGTACTGGTGGTATAATATTCACTTCAAAAAATTGAATGTTTGCGCTAGGCTCACGGAATTCCGAATTGGAATTCCTTATTAGGAAACCGTATAACGAAAACGAATGTATGCGCCCGGCCTTAGCGTTGACAAATGACTCATCATTAACAGTGTAGGCGTATTTTTTAATTCACCGGTTGAGCCACCGGTGCAAGCAATTAACCGATTTTTCTTCTTTTATTTCCGTCTGGGCGACCGGTTGTACACCAAGCTTGTCTATAAACTTGTCTATATAGTTTATAGACAAGTTTGGTGTACAACCGGTCGCTCAGACGGAAATTTTGGTTGCACCGGTGGCTCAACCGGTGAATTAAAAAATACGCCTCATATAATCAAATTCAAGCGGATAACCAAATGGAAATGGTATTTACCATTTTGGGTTGGTATTTACCAATCCGTTCAAGCGAGTGTAGTTATCAGTTTGGTTATAAGATCCGTGACGTCACGAATCAGCTGTTATATGTCATAGTTATCACCGCAAAATTGTGGTATTTACCCAACTCAAGAGTAGTTTTATATTTCTGGTTATTATTTGAAATGTGACAAGTTAGAATTTTACCGGGTATTGGATATTGTTATTGTACTTCAGCTTCATTATTGAGAAAAATGATACAGGCTGACTTCAGTTTTATCATAAAGTGGAGCACCTTATTAGTTATACTCATTACAGTTGTTGGGGACACTTTAAATGTAGTTCCTATGCTTAACAAAGTATCCTGTGTAGCCATACACCACAAGAATATTAAAATATGGCCATATAAACTCACTAGATGATATCCACCTGTATACGGTTTTGCTAATTTCTTTTTTCATCATTTCTGCTGAATCAATAAATGTTTTCTTTGACATGCGGAAAAATTTAGAGAATTATCATAGCTACAAAGCCATGGTTCCATCATTAAAAAAAATCTGAAAAAAACATTTCTCCCATGAATATTATGAAAGGTTTCTTATTTAAACTTTCCATATACAGTTGTAGACGAAAAAGCACCGATTATTAAGTGATTATAAAAATAATCAGAGATTATATACGCGCTTTTCTAAAATAAACAACTTGCAACAAAACCGCGGTTAAAACCAACGCGTTCAAGCGATTCGTGTAACTGACGTCATCAACCCGTGTGTCATCTTGAACCAACCAAGGTATATTCTTTAATTCACCGGTTGAGCTACCGGTGCAACCGGTTAGCCAATTTTGCGTCCTTTAATTTCCGCTGGAACGACCAGTTGTACATCAAACTTGTTTTTATATTGATGGTGGATATGCCACCGGTGCCAACAGCATCCACCGACGTACGGGCTCGGTTGATCCACGATATTCTAACCTCTACATTTTATCAGTTTTTGACAACTACAGTTTAGTGTGAAAAATGGAAGAAGAAAAGATTGAAGTTTTTCTACAGCATAGGTGTCGCGTGAAATTTATTGGTTTGTTTTCAACACAATTCGAAATAATCAGAGCATCTGAAAGCAAGTGAATTTGTTTTGTTTTATGGATATCGACGATCTCAAATCAATAATCAAATTCAAGCGGATAACCAAATGGAAATGGTATTTACCATTTTGGGTTGGTATTTACCAATCCGTTCAAGCGAGTGTAGTTATCAGTTTGGTTATAAGATCCGTGACGTCACGAATCAGCTGTTATATGTCATAGTTATCACCGCAAAATTGTGGTATTTACCCAACTCAAGAGTAGTTTTATATTTCTGGTTATTATTTGAAATGTGACAAGTTAGAATTTTACCGGGTATTGGATATTGTTATTGTACTTCAGCTTCATTATTGAGAAAAATGATACAGGCTGACTTCAGTTTTACCATAAAGTGGAGCACCTTATTAGTTATACTCATTACAGTTGTTTGGGACACTTTAAATGTAGTTCCTATGCTTAACAAAGTATCCTGTGTAGCCATACACCACAAGGATATTAAAATATGGCCATATAAACTCACTAGATGATATCCACCTGTATACGGTTTTGCTAATTTATTTTTTCATCATTTCTGCTGAATCAATAAATGTTTTCTTTGACATGCGGAAAAATTTAGAGAATTGAAAGTTATCATAGCTACAAAGCCATGGTACCACCATTAAAAAAAAAAACTGAAAAAAACATTTCTCCCATGAATATTATGAAAGGTTTCTTATTTAAACTTTCCATATACAGTTGTAGACGAAAAAGCACCGATTATTAAGTGATAATAAAAATAATCAGAGATTATATACGCGCTTTTCTAAAATAAACAACTTGCAGCAAAACCGCGGTTAAAACCAACGCGTTCAAGCGATTCGTGTAATTGACGTCATCAACCCGTGTGTCATCTTGAACCGTATTATAACCGCGGTACATAACACAGAAATTTTGGTTATTCGCTTGGATTTGATTAATACCTCGTAAGTCCGAAAATGTCGATTTTATGATTTTGTTCCTGTATGCATACAAGAATGCTCTCAGAAAATCCATATCGATGGTTCTTATTCCGAAAGCATCGTATTGATTTGAGATCGTCGATATCTGAAAATTTCTTGGTTTTCTGATTTATAGTTCTTATATTGATTCTCGGAGCGCAAATTCTCTCCGCTGGATAACTTCTTCATCCGAATCATTACTCGAATCACTTAACAAACGTTCCACGATAATACCAAGTGCTGCGTACATTGCCATAATGTTTTAAATGATACGGTGTTCAAATTAACATGTATCCATTTACGATAAAACAAAGGTTAAGTTTTCTCATATGACAGCAACCTGAAGGCTAAAATGCGTCTTTTTATTAACAACCAATCAACGGAACCGGTTGCTGACGTCATCGCATCAGCTGTCAACCATAAGCTCACCGGATCCATCAGTGATGGAATCAACCGGTGAATTAAAGAATATACCTATTATAACCGCGGCACATAACATTTGATTTTTAATCAAATCCAAGCGAATAACCAAAATTTCTGTGTTATGTGCCGCGGTTATAATATGGTTCAAGATGACACACGGGTTGATGACGTCAGTTATATGAATCGCTTGAACGCGTTGGTTTTAACCGCGGTTTTGTTGCAAGATGTTTATTTTAGAAAAGTGCGTATATAATTTCTGATTATTCTTATTATTGCTCAATAATCCTGCGGGGCTGCTTTGGTATAAAAAAATAAAACATTCAAATTTTCTGACGTGAAAAATTTGTTTTATGAAGCTGTCAACAGAGTGACGGCAAACCATTGGAAAGACTGCAGGCAGCAGCGGTGGCCGCAGTAGTAGACTCTTCGGTCTCCTGATCAGTCGCCGTGCGCTGTGCGGGTTCGAGTCCCGTCCCAGGAGAAATTTTTCTCTTGGCTATGGTTGTTGTGATTGTCCGTAGGTGGTAGACGGTCTCTGACTGTCGAACGTGGAGGTACCACCCGGCGGATCTCGTAGGCGGAGCCAGAATGTGTGCATGTTGCATGCACACGTGTTCCCTCGCTAGAGTCCGTGTGGCGTTCCCCCTTTCCCCAGTATCCCCCTATAGCCCCACGGTACCCAATGGGTGTTTAGGCCTTAGGCCTTCGTGGTAGTTGGAGTATAAAAAAAAAGCGCGTATATAATCTCTGATTATTTTTATTATCACTTAATAATCCGTGCTTTTTCGTCTACAACTGTATATGGAAAGTTTAAATAAGAAACCTTTCATAATATTCATGAGAGAAATGTTTTTTTCGGATTTTTTTTAATGATGGAACCATGGCTTTGTAACTATGATAACTTTCAATTCTATAAATTTTTCTGCATGTCAAAGAAAACATTTATTGATTCAGCAGAAATGGTGAAAAAAGAAATTAGCAAAACCGTATACAGGTGGATATCATCTAGTGAGTTTATATGGCCATATTTTAATATTCTTGTGGTATATGGCTACACAGGATACTTTGTTAAGCATAGGAACTACATTCAAAGTGTCCCCAACAACCGTAATGAGTATAACTAATAAGGTGCTCCACTTTATGGTAAAACTGAAGTCAGTCTGTATCATTTTTCTCAAAAATGAAGCTGAATTACAATAACACTATCCAATACCCGGCAAAATTCTAACTTGTCACATTTCAAATAATAACCAGAAATATAAAACTACTCTTGAGTTGGGTAAATACCACAATTTTGCGTGATAACTATGACATATAACAGCTGATTCGTGACGTCACGGATCTTATAACCAAACTGATAACTACACTCGCTTGAACGGATTGGTAAATACCAACCCAAAATGGTAAATACCATTTCCATTTGGTTATCCGCTTGAATTTGATTAAATTTTGGTTATTCGCTTGGATTTGATTTATATGTTTTGTGGTGCACAGTACCCACGATCCAGGAATGAAAGTGAAACTGAACCCACTCCGTAGAATTTTCCTGTGATTGTGGTGTTCCATGTATATTCGATTGTAGGTGTTGACAGTTATGTTTATGACATAACCTATAATTTTTGACAACATTTGAAATTCAAATTATTTTCATTTATTAAGATTTTGATGAGGATTCCCAACTTAAAAAACTGTTTACAATTACGAAAATGTTATTTACACACAACAAATATACTGGCAAACCGCCAGACAGGAAATGCAATGAAAAAAGTGCTGGGACTGAAGAAGAGGTGATAAACACTATTTCTCAATTTCAGAATATAACATCAAATATGCACCAATTTCTAGGAAATATTTTTTTGCTGATTCGCCACCTGCGATTTCATCCCCAGAGATTTTCAGCAAAGGAGCTTCAGATGGAAAGCATGGAGATTCACGAAGAGTTGCAGTCCTGAACAAACTATTCATGAGGCACATTACCGATCAAATGGTAACTGGTCAGTATGCCTCAGAAATATTAGGGCATGGAATTGAAGTTAATAAGGTATGCTTTTTATTCACCGTTTTGTGAAGAATGCAACATATTCAATTATATAGTTAAACAGCATTATACTTGTTTTGATTATTGTTACCATTGATTAAAATATATTAATCAATGTTACCTAGTATTGTCATTTTACTATTAACAATCAGATAGCCACTAGGTTCTTTGAAATTCAATTGGTTATAACAAGCAAGTGTAAAATTTCTAATAATTTTTCTAGCCATACATAATCTTTTACCTTAATAATTCATTGTAGGTCAAAGTTACACCAGACTATAAATTTTTAAGAGTGTATTGGATAGCTAGAAAAAGCAAAAATGATGAAGCTATTGAGAGAATCTTAAATAAAAATGCAGGCTTTTTAAGACATGAATTATCCTCCCTACAAGTAATGGGAAAAATGCCTATGATACATTTTGTTAAAGGTATGCTATATGTGCATTTTTTTTTTTTAATTAAGGTTATCCAACATTACTTATAAACTTATATTCAGTATTACAATTGTCACTAAAGACTTTAGTAAATAGTTTTTACTTCCTATGCCAGTGGGAGCATATGAAATTTTTTTAATGTATATTTATATGCTCTCAACTCTGATAATTAGCCATATTTCATACATCATAGATTTCCCTCTACTTGCTAAAACATATACACACAATAAATGATAACTTCCTACATCAGTGCCACACAGATATCGAAAGGGACAGCATTGCCAGATCAACAGTAATTACTGGTAGCACAGGGAAATAATGTCTATAGACTAATTGTATGGACTGGTTTGACTGACTTAATTTGTTTAATTTCTTTGTTGTACATGTTCATAACTAACTTTTTTCTGAGAGGATTTAAATTACACTAAACTTTATCATTTATGAACTGATGCTGACATTGCATAGCAAGTGCAGAGTCAACCTACTTGACGCCATTTTTTGTTCAGCAGAAGATTGAGATGTTATTGAGGAACCCATGGACTAGCCAATAGTTTACTACCATTTTACTTTAATGCCAGTAAAGTATGTTAGCGTTGGCATATTATGTCTTATGCTTCTCTTTTCCTTCAGATAAGGAGTATGGTTCCATCAGTGAAGTAGATAACAGACTAGCAGTAGCTGATTTTGGTGAAGACCATATTCCCATAGATCCAGCAGATAAGTTAAAATCTGAACTGGAACTTTGTGTGCCTCTGGAAGCGAGTACAAAGGTATGTTACCTGTACATTATTTTATCTCAAAACCTGAAGTCCTGGGAGGCAAGTCCTCAATCAAAAATATTATTTTACCAATGTTTCCAGTATCATCCACATCAAAATATAGGTTGATTACACAAAGCAATACTCACGAACATTGATGTTTTGAGGAAATTGGTTAATTCAAATCATATTCTAATTGTGAATTATTCTACTAATAGGAAAAGATAAAACAATTAGAAGAAGAACATGATGAGATAGAGGATATTCCCCTTCCAGCAATGCCTCAGAATGTTTTAGGTTTAGATTATGCTGCTATTTTGAATAGGGTAAGATATATGGATATGTGTAGTTTTCCAATAACACATTTCAAGGACGTGAGCTTATGATCACTATTTTACTCTGTATACATAGATACATTTTTTGAGTGAAGAAATATTGAACCATTATTTTTGAAGGTCAAAAAGCAGATGAAAAAATCAGAAGGTATCCATAGACAAAGCAGCACAGAAAATGAGGAAACTTGGGCTAAGTTTAAATTGAGTCAGTCAGTTAATGAAGATCCTTTAATTCTTGGTAGTGGGAAGACTCAACGAGAGGCATTCAGGGAATTCTTATTTAAAAGACAGGTACATACAATAAGAAAAAATGTGTGACAATAGGAATATAAAACTTTCATTTATAATTTCCATAGTAATGACTTATGGCCAATTTTTCCAGTTAACGAGAAATAAAGCAAAAAGAGCCAAAAATGCCACAGCTGATATTGAGTATATCAGAGAGGAGTTGAGAGAAAGACATCTGGATAGGTTGCAGAAGCTCAACTTGACTGAAAATGTAGATGACGATTTTATTGAAGAGGATGTAGATGACCATCATTTACCTAAATGAGTTTATAAAATTATGACCATTAAAAGGATATTTATTATAGTACAGTTGTAATATACAAAAATAAAAATAAGCTTGAAATTGGTTTTCATGTTGATTAAAAATCACAATCATCTGTCATTGAAGCCTTAAGGCAATATAAACTGCAACGTTTGGTGTATTTGTCATTTTAACTCTGTTTGTTTTGAGCGAAACTGTTTACAGAATATTTGTACTGATAGCCTATAAACTACGACCACCAGCGTAGCTGCAAAAAATTCTATAAGTGATCCCAAATGCAATACACAAAATATTATTGCATGATAATAATTAGAAAATACTATAAATTCTCTAACTTGTCAAGAATTTGGCACAATGGAGAAGTTTTGTGATGTTCAGAATCACATAAGTAATGACATACCAGCAAAATATAGAAGAAACATAATCAACCAGCGAAGAAATCATTGAAATCGTTCAATAAATGACAGATAAATTAATACCTAAATTTAGGGCATTATAGCGCGAAATCATTGCTGCTGTCAGTTCGCGTCTGACGTCACACTTCACTAGTGACGAGCGTGCCCACAGCGTCTGTAGTAATAATTTTTTTTAAACGTTGTTTCTAGTTGATAACTATTGAATAGGTACTAGGTATGTTCGTACCATTATGGAAGCCGGATTTGTAAAAGTTTTAAGTGACAATTTGCCCAAAATTGACATTTATGAGCTGTAAAATGTGCGATACTTAGTTTTAAACAAATTAATGTGATGCCTAATATGAGTACAGATTTGCGAATATGACTCGATATTTTCCAGGGCAGGTACAGATTCGTATCGTGAAGATGCTTTTGGTTATGGTCACTTGAAACGTGAAGGTACTAGATGCATTGTAAAATGCACAGTTACACGTGAACATAAAGTGAAAACTACGCCTTACCACTGTACATTGGTCTGTGAAGAAAGCGAGGAATAAATTGAAACTGTTGTGTGTCATAATTGTGCTGCTAAGCTTGGTGGATATAAACGCACAATAACGTTTTTGATCAGACTTTTGAAAAGAAGCGAGAAACCTGCAAGAACTTCAGTCGAATGTTACTGGATGAAACAGGTGCATTCTCTCAGAGGCACCCCTTTTTGGCAGTCAAACTTATGAGGGTTTACTTAGACTTTCAGCTTCAATCTTCCACCGACTAGTTTATATTTTATTTTATTAAAAAGCCATTCGACGTAGAAATTTGAAGTAATCCAATTTGATAAAGCTGTTACTGTTCTAAAATCTCATTAAAATATATAATAATATTGCACATGATGCAGTACAGAGTCAACCTAGTTGACGCCTTTTTAGCGAGGTAAGTGACACTATACTCACAGCTATTTCCGCTGAGTTGAAACAAGTGAATGAAGAAATGAGCTTGCAAATCATATAATAACCAATAATCATGAATAAGTAGTAAAGTGATATACTCATATCAAAGTGGTCTCCACAAAACATATGCTATACTTTTTGGTCCAATCAAATCACACTTCATGAGTGCACCATTTCTTCCTGATATTTTCATGTGAGGGTACGTAGAAAAAAATGTTTATTAGGGGTTGTAATTGATGTGCTCGTACGTTTTGGAATGATACAGTATTTATGACAACCTTTTTTGTTGTTTCGCTCATAACCGATCGGATGTACAGTCATAACTAATTAAACAAATTGGCGCGTAAGACTTTTAGCCTACCACGTGTTCCCGCTGTATGTGTACCTATGCGTGTGTTTAGGTGATTGAGTTGGCCGGGCCTAGGAGTCGGCCGCGGCCGTCGCAACTGGATAGTGAAGTGTGACGTCACGCTTCGCGTCCAAACCGAATAAAAATATTCTCGCGGGGCGCAACTTTGATAGGCTGTAACTTTTTTGTATTCAGAGATAAATTAATCGTTTTTTCACCATCTTGTTTCATTTTTCTTAAAATTTCATTTGAGCTAATAACAAAAACTTGTGCATTCAGTGTGTAATATAAGCATTTTGAAACTGTCGACTGGACTATATACTTGTGGGCGATTCGCTTCCTGGATGTTTTTTGTGTAGACGAGTAAACGTGCCACGCCAACATTGTTTACGTTTTCGTATAAAGGCAACATAACCTCCCTTATTTTTTCACGGCGCTGCTTTTGTTGCTTTTTTACTTTATTTGTTTAGATTAGAACACTTAGTAGTTGTGGTCGTGTTATTCCGCTTGTATATTTTTTCTTCTTGTTTTATCTTGTATGTCTAGATTAGCTAAACTTTGGACTTTGATCCTTTGAGGGCAATGTTCACAGTGAACTAATAGTAGGATTAAAGTTACACCTTGACAACTTTTGCTCATTGCTGACTCTTCCTTCGAGTTCCCCACAAAGCTGGAACCTATCTGAATCAGCAAGTGTAATTCATTCAAAAAACTCCAGATAAATCTATAGGATACAATGGCAGCTTTGGCAAAAGGTAAGCAATAAAATCTTGAATTTTTTTCTTTATGAATAAATTGCAATATCATGTAGGTGTTTTCATTGTTGGTGCTAAACGAACACCATTTGGCACATATGGAGGCAAACTGACAAAGACACATATCTCAGATTTACAAACTATAGCTGCAAAGGCTGCTCTAACTGCAGCTAATGTGAAACCTGAATTGATAGACTCTGTTATTGTTGGAAATGTTCTCACTGTAAGTATTTATTATACTATAAAATTTAAGACGCTTTGTTAATCATTAATGCTAGGTTTGCTATAGTGTCTACTATACATAGGGTGACTATAATTTTTAAACAACAAAAAAGTATACTTTTAAGGAAAATCACCACAGATACTTGAAGCAATTTTTTCTCTAAATCTAACACATTTTTAATCAAACAAAATAAAGGTATTTATGTTTGAGTATAATACAGATGCAGCAGCAATATAACAAAAGATTTAAAAAAAAATGTACATAAATATTTAAAAGTGAATTTTCCTTTTCTAGTCACACATTGGGTTGAAATCCAAATATGCAATACATCAAAAATACAAAAACAGTTTTAATTATTTCGTTTCTTTAAACAAAAAGTAGGACATAATTTAAATAAAAAAAGTACATTTAGGTGGACTTGATGAACTTTCAAAGGACAGTAGTACAGAGTTCAAAGAGAGAGTACTGTCCTACTGAAAAAAGTACATATAGTCACAGTAACTAAAGGGATGTACATACTTGAGGCGGTTTTTGGGTTCATTTAAAAAAAACACCTGCATATGAATGTATGTCCTCAACATTTGGGATACAGGGTAGGGTTTTCAATATAGAAATTTCTTAAAATAGAAAAAAATTGAAATCTGTATTAATTTATGAGCAGATTTGATTTCTCTAATCATTTTAGTTTGACACATTGTTATCACCTCAAAAACTTGAAGCTATATCTCTGTATAGTGATATTGTCATAACAATATTGTTATGTTCACAAAGGGTAACTGTTATTTTTTTAAGCAAAATGCATCATTTTGAAAAAATCAAGTGATCTAAATTGTTTGGAAATGACTGGAGATTTCAATAATAATTCCTATTTTAAGAGAAATTAGTGGCATACCATCAATGTTTGCCAAAATGTTCAGGTACAATTCTGTATGAATGCCTCTGGCGGAAATTAAAAAAAAGTAGTACATTAAAAACGCCTCTTGTTGTACAGTAATGGACAAAAGTATATAGACAAATTAATATTGTGCTGTGTTTCTTTTTTAACTTGTTTTATTGATACACCAACCTGTATACATAATTCGTTATAGTATAATACTCACTTATACATAAATAAATTCATTAGACTCCCTTCAATAAAAAATTAATTAAAAAAACTGGAACTATGAAGGTCAAAAATATACAGGCAAAGCAAAACAATTATAGAAAAAAGAAGCTCATCGGCGCCTGGCATCGTCTCGACATAGACTGTAGAAGTTTCTTGATATAAGATTCATCAATCTATCTCCACTTTTGCTCTAAAGCAGCAAAAAGTTCATCCTTGTTTGAATAATTTTTATCTCGTACTTGCTTATCTAAGTATTCCCAATGGGGCTTATATCAGGAGACTGTGAAGGCCATTTGAGAACTGGTATTTTTTCATCCAGAAAGAATTTCTTTGAGAGATTTGAAGAGTGCTTCAGGTCATTATCTTGCTGGAAGATTGATCTCAAGGGCATATTGTCTTCCATATAGGGTAACATGTCATGCTTTAGTATGTCTGTGTATACAAACTTATACATAATGCCATCTATTCTATGTAAAGGTCCCATCCCAAACCCCGAAAAGCACCCCCAAACCATAACAGACCCGCCTCCATCTCTGACAGTGGGCAAAGTGTACTTGAGGTTCAATCTTTGTCCACTAGGACGTCTAATGTACTGAACACCATCTGATCCAAACATATTGAACTTGGATTCGTCACTGAAACATACGCTCTTCCAGTCACAGATGCACAGATCTTTCTCTGTCCGTGTTGGAGACGCCTATTCTTCTAGACATCGTGTTACTAGTGGAGTTCCACAAGGATCTGCTAGGGCCAATACTTTTTCTTCTTTATACAAGCGACCTTCCCACCCGACTTTATTCTATGTGTTCCAACTATGCAGATGATACTAAAGTCTATAACACTGTCATGAACTCATCTGTGCTTCAAGAAGACCTCAAGCTGATCAGAAAGTGGTCAGAACTCTGGCTCCTGCCTTTAAATCTATCGAAATGCTACGTTCTCCACCTGGGAAAGAATAATCCTAACTTAACATATAAGATTGGCAAACATACCTTAGAGACTGTTCTTCATCACACAGATCTTGGTCTGACAGTTAATGGCCGGCTCACCTGGTCGGAGCACATTCAGAACATAACCTCTAAGGCAAAGCGGTTGCTATATATGATGGAAAGGTCATTTAGCGGTTGCACCGTTAGTACCTCCTCCTTTTTGTACACAACTTTCGTACGACCCCTACTGGAGTTTGCTGGTCTGGTATGGGATTCAAACCTTGTTCGCGATAGCAGCTTATTAGAGGCCGTTCAGCGTCGTGCTACACGTATGCCATATGGCACACGTAGGCCAAGTTATGAAGACCGCCTCGAGCTATATAACCTGCCTGCTTTTGCTGATAGAAGAGTACGAGGAGATCTCATCATCACTTTCAGAGCACTGCATAATTTGTTTGGTGTGGACATGTCGCATCTGTTTCGTCTGGCAACGAACAGTCTCAGAGGCCATAACTTCAAATTGCAGAAGGAAGCTTTTAGAACCTCTACTCGTCAGCGCTTCATCTCAAACCGTGTCTTCGATGCATGGAACAGTCTTCCATCTTATGTAGTGAACTCGGAATCCGTCAACAGTTTCAAAAACAATTACGATAGACACCGCAGTGCTTAACATATTGTTCCCATTCTGTATATGTCTACTTCAGAAGTGCTAAGATTGTCAAATTGTTATATTTCTTTTGTCTGTACACTATTATCTATTTTTGTGTTTGAGTTAGAGTACTTGTACTCAACTCAAATTTGTTGTTTAATAATAATAATAATAACTTTTTATTAATACCAAAATAAATTCTAATATATTGGAACAATACTTACAATTCTTTTTTATAATCTACTATATATTTGTGATGGTAGCAATGTGGCTTTGTGTGAGCTATACAAAAATAAAAATTTCACCTACATTTAGTCCAATTATTGGAATTTGTAGTGAAACATGAATTACGAAAAGTACCATACAGTGAGTAAGAGTGACACAAAATGCAGTGCAGTAAAAATTATACCAGAATAAAATTCGAAGGTGAGCTAAATTAAAGATTTAGATAAGCAACAAAAATATTATATAAGTACCATCAAGTACCAACAGCAGAGATAAGCGGAGGGCCACGTCCGTTTTTCTGCAGTGTTGCCGAGTTGTGCAGAAAGGCGGAAGAGAGGCAAAGGGAAACAACATTGTAGTAAATGCATTGAATTTGGAAAATATTGAGGAAACAGCAATGAAAGAGAATAGAAAATTTTATAAAGCAGCACCTGAATGAAGATGTCAAAATCGAGCGAGCTATAAAAGTGTCACAAAGAAAATGTCTAGTGAAAATGCAGAATGAAAATGAGAAAAAACAGTCACGCAAAAGAAGAGTAAACTGAACGCGATTGGGGGGATAAAATATATATTAACGATGACCTGATCGTAAAAGAAAGGAGGATCCAAAAGGAAACTCGTGATAAAGCGAAATAAGCTAAAAAACAAGGAAAAACTGCTAAGATTGGATAGCGAAAACCCACTGTAGATGGGAAGGTATGGAAATGGAAGGAGGAAGAAGCATTTGAGGAAGAGAGAAAGATAATCATTGCACCAAAAAAACGGATAGTCACAGGAAATAGAAGTTTGGACGGGAAAAAGAGAGAAACGGCGACTGCTGCGAAAAAGTATATGAGCCCAGACACATAAAATGAGAGATAATAACGGACACAGGAGGAAAAATTGTAAACTAATGCCAAGAACGACAAATAAAAGATGAAATATTGGTACAACATGGTCAGAGAAATATTCGAAGAAGGAGCACTTAAACACTTGAACAAAGAATACAAAAACTTTAAATTCGACATAGTTGCTACTCAAGAAACAAAGCAGTTGGGGAACGAGATAGTAGAAGTCGGTAATTATGTATTCTTTAATAGCGGTGGAGAAAAAAGAATACAGGGGGAACAGGCTTTCTTGTGAACAAAAGATTTAAATCTACAGTAATAGACTTTAAAGCAATTAATGGGCGAATGTGTCTTTCAAGACTTCGAGGAAAATTTTAGAAAATAAGCCTACTGAATTTCCGTCTGAAGGGAAGAATATATTAATTAAGGAGGAATTTTAAAATATGCTAATTGAAGAATTTGATAAAATCGCGAAGAATGACGTCAAAATAGGCAAAGAATCAATATATGGAAAAACAATTGGCAAATTTACGAGTAGTATACATAGCCTTACATCAGAGAATGGAGAATTTCACATAGATTTTGCAATGGAAAATAATATGGTTATCAAAAGCACAGAAGAAAGAAGAAAGAAAAGAATTATATAAGGGAACTTTGAAATCTCCAGATGGGAAAACTATAAACCAAATAGACCACGTTTTGATACAAAATGAAGAGGTATGAAGTATTAAAAAATATCAGGACATATAGAGCATTAGAAGCAGACAGTAACCACTTCATGGTGGGAGTAAAATTTATACCGATATTACTTGTGCAAAGGAACAGAAAAAATGAAAAAAGAACCGTTATAAACACAAAACGATTAGAAAAACAGGAAGATACCAGGGCGAAGGGTCCATGTAACCATTGTTACCATTGGTAACAGTTAAAAATCTTAAGAATGTATATTTTATGACTAAGTACTGTGAAATAATTTCATTTATTTGTTTACCAACAGTGATATGTAATAGTAATTCAGTAAATAGCAAATTAGCCCCACGAAAATAATGCGCCCTATAGTGTCTAGGTTTTGCGAACACGATGCCTCGACTTGTTGTCGGTTGCTACCATTTTCATTTATGGATACACTTGGTAGTCCCTCGGGGACCGTCGGTACCGGCTCGTGTCTGATCGCGGCCGCCCGAGTGCGTGGGGCGCTTGGACTATTATGTGGGCTTCTCTTCACTTCTCACTCGTCAGTAGCCGTTTTGGTTACCGGCTGTAGT